ATATTTTATTTAAAAAATGCCATCCATAAAGAAATGCCAAGCAGAGTAGCCGGCCGATTCTAACCAAGTACTGTCTGGTGGCGATTTTTCGCCAGCAGCCGGCTACTTTTCACAACCCTGTCTGTATATTGTCATTCAATATAATTCTTGTTCTTTGCGTAGCTCTTTGAAATATACTGATTCATAATGGAGATTTTCACGCATATTCCACACAACAGGTGAGATATAAACAGGAAACGCAAGGTTCCATGCACTAATTGAGTTCGATTTACAAATTAATGGCTTTAATCAAAACATTTTCAGTTTCAAGAATATTTTATTCTAAACCATATGAAAAGATTTGATTAGAAGTTGGAATTTTCCGCTATTTCTCTTTCACTTTTTTAATAGATACAGTTCATTTTGTTAGCCGGAAAGTAATTAAGCCTTAGAAATTAAAAGGTTTGATCAATTCACACTCATGCATTCTAGTCTTTTCTGTTCTAACTATTTTAATAGTTAAAACTAAGTTTAAACTATTTTTTAAAGTATTGTCGTAAAAGACAACACTTCGTTCCTTTTTTTTTTTTTTTTGAAAATGCCAAAAATTTGGGTCGGTCGGACGACGCCAAACAGAGGATGGCCTAAGAATTCATAAAACCTCGCTTTCTTGACTTTGCAATATGATGATGTCACTGGTAATCTTTACACTAGAGTCTAAATAAGCTAAGAAATATTTGAAGACAAGTAAATTTTAAATTCTTCAAGTAAAAGGAAGCTTCACGCACAATTTTCCTTTCTCACTTCAGGTTTACTTAAGGCCATTTTCCACGTAACATAATTAAGATTGATTGACACGATTCGCCTTTCTCAAATACAAGAAACCACAAGTTCGCTAAGTCGGTTTTAAAGGGACTGGTTCACGATAATGTACATGCCCGCCATTTGTCTCTTCAGAATAAATTTGTCGGGTCAACACTAAATTCGAAATCGCCATTACCTGTACAATCATTGAAAATCCTTCCTTTCATTCGGACATCTGTCGCTTTGGCTGGTCTAGTTATACTTCGGTAGTGGTGATTAACGTGTGGTTGTGTTGTTTGACTGGTTACATTTTAAGAAGACGCAAAAAATAATGTTTTGATTATGGAGGTTCAGAAGAGCATCGTGGCCGTCCGGCAACAGGACGTTCTCAAGAGTCTTTGGAGATAGAGAAGCTTAGCCTATCGATCCGGTATGGTTCTAGGAGTAGGGTGTTGCTTACGAAAAGAATACACGACACTTGGAAAGTGGTTAAAGGCATGAGTTTGTTCAACTTTGATTTGATTTTTGACTCCGACCTATAGTTATACCGCAACAGGTCGCGCAATCTTCACCGATCTGGTACACTTGAAATGCTCCTTGTATCTTTGCTTTACGATCGTATATGTTTAAGAATTGATGTTTTTAAAATAAATTATTACCTGAATATTCTGTTTATAATACAGTTTCTTTATGTGTGCTACTCGATAACATTTGTTTTGCGGAACACTGACCTGATGCAACGCAAATAAATTTGTTCATTTGCTGATAAGCATTTGAAATTTATGCTCAATTAAGGATAATCTTTATACTCATACGTTGTGTGTTTTTGTCACCGGTCAGGCACTATTTTTAGGTATTTCTGGGTTTATATAAGGCGAACTGAGAGAACAGTAATAAGATGTTTGTTTACAAATTTTGTTTGCCGATCGGTGACTGCTTTGTTAGTGTGGGTACGACCTCGTAAAAATACACTTTGGTAAATGTTTGTTTCAAAGCAGGACAGGGCTGTAAATCTTATTCTTATCGGCTGCAACATATATCTGAGGAGTAGCAAAGAATAAACTTGAATTATGGGGATAAATAAAATCAAACCAAATGCCCTGAAATACTGTCGCGTCACGAACAATTAATTTGAATTTTGTGAATTTACTTGCGTGCATCTAACTCGCTTCCCACTACCCGCCCCTGGCCAGGCCTGTCTTTTAGTTAGACCATTGCATTTATACTGCAAAAAGCATCCAAAAGAAATCACCAAATATAAGCTTAAGAACGTTCAAGATTACCACAGAATCCACGCAGCCACAAGTCATAAACATCAGGGTCAATAAACGCTGGATCCATATAGAATACATCAATATCCTCCATTATTTCTTCCTGCAGCTAATTAACCAACGTAGCTAATAATTGGGACATGTTCATTTAAAAATAAGGTTATTTTGACTCACAATCAGATAACTCTCCAATACTCCGCCACTCCGCCATCTTTAAAGACGGCTCTGCTCAGCGGTCTTTCCTTCAATACTTTTCAAAATCATTTACAGAGCACCAACAATAACCTTACCTCTTGGAACGGGCAAATAAAAAAGTAGAAGTAACAAAAATGTTCATTAAAAATAAAGAAATCATGAACAAAAGTGCCGTGTTTGTATAGGTAATAGCATGATCTGTAGTGATATTTGGCATAAATACCACCAGTGATATTTCAAAATTGTTATACGAAATTTCACGAGCCATTAGGCGAGTGAAATTTGAGACAATTTTGAAATATCACGAGTGGTATTTATGCCAAATATCACGTACAAATCATGCTATTATTTGTTTATACTACTACCCGCAAAGGTTTTGTAATTTTTACATGTAGGTATTTCAAATTAAGCTGAAATACCACTGCTCTAAGCCAATCAAATTGCAGAAATTTCTCATGTAGTAGTATAAAGGTTGAAATTATCCTTTCCAAACGTTTCGGGCCTGGCCCTTCATCAGTGGAATTACCAGTTCGTTGAACCCGTTGCAAGGTTTATATACGCCATAAATTAGAAATAAAAATTAAAGGCTTTGTGGTGCACGCGCGGATGTGCGCGCGGCCTAGGGGAAACGGAAGTCGGAGTTTAAACCGCGCGGTAGTAAGTAACAAGTTAGCGACGCTGCGATTAAACAGTGTCTAACCTCAGGGGCGCCCAGCGACTTTATTCTGTAAAATAACTTTTCGAAGGAGAAAATATTGCTTAGAAATTTCTAAAGCTTGAGAAAAGCTAAAACTTTCTGGCTAACCGTTCCATGTTTTCACACTTTAACATCAAGATATTGCAGAGCATGATAAATGAAATTGTCCCCATCTGCAAGCTTCTCCTGGTAAATCCGCAACCATCGCAGCATGAAAAGGTCAATTTCGGCAGCTCGCAGGTTAAAACCAACTGAAACATGGCTCCATTCCGTGACAATGAATAAAGAAAGGTTCTAAACGCCGCAAGGAGAGAACGGACAAACTTTTGAAGTAAATGAAACAGCGAAAATTATGCTGCTTCTGTGCATGGTAACATCTTTGTTACTAACTCCTTTCTCGTTTGTTAAACTATTTAAAAAAAAAATGATTAAAGAGTGGTAACTGTATCAAAAAATATTGAGTCGGCACTAGGTAAACTATTTTTAAAGTCCACAATCCCACCCCCCCCCCCCAAGCCCCACAACTTCACATCAAAAGAGGTGGATCGGCCCCCGCACTTTGAAAACTGTTCCGCGGGCTCTGTTCCATACAACTACCACGCCTTGTTGCTAGATCGATGTCTCAAGTTATGTTTCATAAGGGGTTTTGAATAAAAAATAGTTAACACTTTTTGGAGAATTAGAACGGTAATTTTATTTATATAACAGTAACAGCAATTTTGTACAAAGCCATGACAAAATGAACAAATCTCCGCCTTTTTCAATATGAAACTAGTGCGGCATTACTAACATTAGTATATAGTAAGATGTGCGAAATGAGCGAAAACTTAAATGAGGCTAAAGGCATATTTACATGATTTCCCTTACTATTTACACGCACCTGAAAACTATAATGTACACAAGTGCAGGGAGAGGGTGCTATTTACACACACACCTGTACAGTAGCTTAGGTTTACAAAAGCGAGATATTTACTCTGCTCTAAACAATCATCGAAATCAAACTGTAAAACGACTGCAAGGTATGCCACCATTAGTAAAGTTGGCTTGCAATGTGTTTGATTATCCCTGCTAGATGGCCGTTGGCTCCGGTAGCTCATCGCCCTTANCGAGAAATCTCTTTAGCTAATTATACATACCTTTAACAGGCAATCAAAAACTGAAAAAGGAAAATAAGATCTTTACTATTCCCGCGAATCAACTGCAAAGTATGTGATGGCTCTTTGGTTTAGAACACATTACAGCATTTACTTGCTAGTGTCAGTTTTAACTCAGGACTTGAGGAAGGCCAGACTGTAAGAAATCTGATGGCTGAGGGTAACACAGGAAAAAATAACAGATTCCCAATATTGGATATTTTAGGGTATTTAAAGAATACCCACAAAAATCCCAAATTTGGCAAAGTGAGACAAGTCCCAACCAGGGAATTCCCAACCAAGTTCCCTGGCTGGGACTTGTCTCACTCTTCCAAATTTGGGCTTTTTGTGGGTATTCTTTAAATACCCTAAAATATCCAAAAATGGGAATCTGTTATTTTATCCTGTGTAATAACGATAAAGTTGTGAATTCTGACTTCACAGTACTGGGATAGTGATCGTGACCTTAAGATACGCCGTTTCTCGCTAAGGGTACGAATAGACGAACACGTTTGCCACGTACAGTTATACAAAAGGCTAGCATGATTTCCCAGATGTGATAATGGCATCGCTATTCACCCCCGGAAGCCTACCCGTTTTTCCGTAAGAGGCAGTTTACCCGTATTTAAGGCGACAAGTACAGATAGTTTACCCGTACCCGTACTCAGAAAACGTGTTTAACAATTTTTAATGTCATTCAGCTGCGCTCAAAGGTCTCACTTCCACTTCTCCACAACTGTTAACAAACGCCACAACAGATGTAACGCTGGGGGCAATGGGAGTGGCACTGCTTCTACCCTCAAATTGTGTCGGTACAGTTAACGTTTGCGGAGGTAAAGTACTTGAATTCCCACTCCGGCTAAGCCTGGTCGGCTGTAAGCCTGGCCGCCGTCTACAGAAACTGAAACACGGAAAGAACTTTGCCGCAATAGTTTTCATGGTTCTGCCCATTTCTGGGTTCCGATATCCATAAATGATTGGATTCAAGCCTGAATTACTGTAGTGCAAGGCTTTTACAAAAGCAACCAGTCTTAGTAATCCGGCTGGTTCGGGTAGACGTTCCATTTCGTACGTTGCTAAAGCAGTAACAACGAAAAACGGAAACCATGCAATTAGAAAGACACCTGTTACCAGGGCGACGGTTCCGGTGACACGAATCTCGCGGCGAAAATTCGCGCTCGCAATTTCAGAGCAGACGCGCGTTCTTGAATTCCTGGCTCTATCGTAAATGAGGACGTAGACTCCAAACAGAACGATGAAAGGCCCAGCAAAGCAGATTGAAAAGATGAAGGCCGTGTAGCCTTCTTCCCAGTGCTTTAGTTGAACTGGATATAGTCCAGCCACGAAAGCAGAGGCGATCCACGCGACTATTATCATCTTATGGAAAACTCCCACGCGAATCCCACGATGTCGTATCGGCCAAACTATGGCGATGCATCTTTCTATGCTGATGGAAGTGAGCTGAAAGATCGATGCGCAGCCTATGAACACATCATAAGTTATGTATAGATCATATGCAACTGGATGAAGTGTAATGTCGAAGTAATGACAACTGTAGACGTATAGCCAGCCTGGAATCGAGATTACCCCGACTAGGAAGTCCGCCACAGCTAAACCAAGGATGAAAGTGTTCGTCTTGGTTTGAAGGCGAACGTTTTTCGCGAAGGCTGCAATAACTAAAGTGTTTCCAGTGACAATTGCGATAGATATGATGGTGAAGTAAACTAAACTTATCACGATTTCAACGGTTGTAACATGTTTCAAGAAATTCTCGTGTAAAGTTGTCGGAGTCGATGAAATGTTTGCCACAAGATCACTTCTCAGCGTTGTAGGCATAGTGAAAAAGTTTGAAAAACTTTCGTGTCCCAAAATTCAAATGACGTACACGAATGCAGCGGAGCGGTTAAAGAAAATCCATTAACGTTTTCACTCTCTCTCATTTACACTTCTGTTGATTACTTCCTGCATCTGTAAGTTCCGCTTATTGATAAATTAACTTGAAGCTCAACATCGCCGCGTACTGGTTCATATAAACTAACGTGGCGCAGTTCTTCCCGCAGAAATCATCTTAGTCGGGCGGAATTATTAAAGTTTCTGCGAGGTGGGCAAAAGCCACGCTATTTGAAAGCCGCCTTGCATTATTTACGCCACTTCCCATTGTAAGTCTGGACAGAAATTTATTGCATTTAGCCAATAGTGGAATCGCTTCACAAGCTTTTGTCGCTCCCTAACTACCTCAACAATAAATCTCCGCATGCTTCCATAAACTAAAAAGAATTTAGACAATGGCACTTGAAAACATACCACTTTACGGTCTCTTGACTTAAAAGCCAGCTCCAGGCCATGTCTAGATAAGATAAGCATGTTACAGTGACCAAAAAAATTTAATTGCGATACATTTTATAATGTCAACAACTAAGTCAAAATTTAATGAGAAAATTGTGAATGGAACATTTATCAGTTAAAGATGTTAAGACAAACAAGTTTAGAAAGGTAGCTAATTCACTCAGCCTTTTTTTCCTTAACAAAAGTCCATCACTCATGTGCATGTGCGAGATGGAGTGCGTGCCAACTGGAATGTCGTCGAGCTATATCGCGTGACCTTCAGCCCACTAACATTTTTCCCCGGGCATTTTTCCTTCTTTGTTAAAAGTTTAAGGGGCAATATTGCGTGTTTTAATCTTAGGTTGGAGAGTCAAATATCTTTTAAAGCTCTAAAATATCGTATTATCTAGATTAACTTATTTTTTTGCTGAAGTTCCCTTGAGAAAGTTGCCTACATGGTTCCATGCCTATGTCGTGATGATTTTGTTCTGAACGATTGCCTTTCTATTGGTGCAAACGACCCCCACGTCAACGGGAGGAATTAAATTTCCAATGATTTCATCCGTGACCGAATCAGTAAACAGATTCGGCGCATGTATGTAGACTGCAAAACAGTCCGTATTTTTGCGTATTCAAGTACGCGCGAGCAGTCAAACAAAAGGTCTGGAATGAGGCTGAAAACAGAGAGCGAGACTGGGTAGAGAAGCGGGTAATTCGAACGAATATAACGTATGCAAAACGGATAGTCCGTATTTTTAGCGTCTCTCCCCAGTCTCGCTCTCTGTTTTCAGCCTCATTCCAGACCTTTTGTTTGACTGCTCGCGCGTACTTGAATACGCAAAAATACGGACTGTTTTGCAGTCTACGACACTACCAATCTGTCGGCCCTTTGTAGCCGTGAACGCCTGCCACTGCCAAGTTTGTTTATGTATTGTTTTTGTTCAGCCCCTGCTCTAAGATCTTCCTAGGGAAGAAATCTTACATGGCGCTGGGACTCGTCTTTCACCTAGAAACTGATCCAAGCGTTGGAAAGGTTATACTAAGCACACAAAACGGTATGCCGCTAGGAAGCCCCGCCCTCTACCATCTTCCGAGTGCCAGACCCTTCCTTTAGCCATGTTAGCATCCCCTACGAAAGTTTTACAATTTTACAAATTTTCCATGTGTAGTTTTTTAAAATAATAATAACAATAACAATAATAATAATGATGAGGATGATAATGACAATAATAATAACAATAATAACAGTATTATTATTACTATTATTATTATTATTATTATTATTATTATTATTATTAAATAAAAGAGAATAGCATGGAGGCTTGTCTTCCACCCGTTTGGGAGGTTCTATAGTTGTAAGTGTTCTACGAGGCAGATCCTAGCTTCGGTGTGAAAGTTATGTAGTGTCCTACGCAGCTGCAGAATAAGCTGTCGAGCTGATTGAATTTTACTATTATTTTCGATCTAATTGTCACTTTAGCCTCATCATTCCGCAGGTCTCCTTAAGGGAGCAGTCTGGCAAAAAACCTTGCCAATTTTCGTTTATTTCCATCCTTTTCTTAAAGTGCTCACGATCATAACCTAAAAATTTTAACTTTTTAACTGAAGATTTACCTTAATAAGAGAACCTCTGAGAAGATTTTTTTTATTTTGAACACAACGTGATTTTAAATTTCTTTGGCATACCCGTTCCGCTGATATCACGAAATTGACAGGCTCGTATGTGACGTCATGAGACATAGATTCAGGATCTTTCTTAGGGGGCCAGTCGCTGCCCCTGGGGGGACTGCTCGATAAAGTTTAATACGGGGAGGCTCTGCTCGAAGGTCCAACCCTTACCCTTTTACAAACCGTTTTTTACAGAAAACATATAACTAGTTTAGAACTTTGCATCTCACATAATATTGTTGTAAATGCACTGTCCTCAAAACATAAATAAAGTAAAAAACCAGAACGTTTTCTCGACTTTTTCACAGCCATAAAATGCATCTGTTAGACCTTTTGGGCCTTTTCACTGAACGAAATCACAGATATGATCAGTCCCTTCCCCTACGTTTTCCTATATACTTCAACTAGTGAAATCACTGCCCCTTCATATGCCTGAAGCTTGGAGCCTCCTCGTATACACCCTTATAGGGAGTACCTCCCCCGGAAAGTGACTGTATTTTCTCAGAAAATGCAGCTAAATTTAGCCATATCGTGATAGATTTTGTAAGCGACAATGTCCAGTTGTTTGAATGACCTTTAACTTTGCTTTGATTTTAATAAAAACGTCTTCATTTGCTGCCAATCACAAGCCTAGAAACTGAACATCTTTGAGCCCTTTTGCGGAAATGCTGTTCATTAGTGAATCTTACAGCCGTGAGCTTCGCGGTGAGTAATAACCTGGAAATTTTTATTTGCAAGTGTTGCTAAGTATGGAGGAGAGCGAGCGCGAAAGAGAATTGGTTCGAATGTTGGGTAAGGGTGCCATTGACGAAAAAGGGTATGATGAACGAAGACGACAATATATAGAAGACCGAAAACGCGAAAAGAAAATTGACGCTTGTCGGCGTTTGGAGACGATTTTACGATGTATGTGCTGTTGCCCCTGTGCCAACTTATGCTTCACGGATGAAGGTGATAAATGGAAAAGGCGCTTTTGTGCCTCTTCGTTGACTTGTTTGATTTACGGGGGAATAACCACTCTCCTTTCGTCTGGTGTTTTTCCACGCTTTAGTTCCAGTTGTCTCGGTCTCAAAATAGGCATACCTGTTTCAGCGCTCGGTTGTCTTTGTGCAACGGTATTATGCGCTTGTAAAAGCGAGAAGTGCCCTTGTTCTAGGAAAGAGAAACAATACGAGACTTCCTCTACTACTTCGTTGGGCCGAGTTGTCAACACCCAGCCGAGGCCAAAGCGCGGCCAGTGTTCTGATGACGATGAAAATTACGCCGAGGATGATTCGCTTCTGTAGCGTACTTCCGCCTGTTGGCTGGAATAGTTTTAATTCCGGCGCTTGGTCGGCGTGGCGGACAGATATGCATCCTCGGTTCTAATTTCTCGAAACAGTCTCTACGATGGCGTCATCGCCATGCAAAGTTATTGGGTATAGATTTTTAAAAATTTCTGAACATATCGACAAGACTATTCTAGACCGTTTGCAGAGCGGTGTTAATTAGCTTAATTAAATATTTAGTTAGACGACTAAAATGGACTGTGAGACGTTGTTGTATTCGGATAACCGATTTCGAAGTGTACATGACGCTGAAGTCGTTGTTTTGCGGCTCCCATTTCACGTTTTGAGCCATAGAGAAAGAGGACAACGAACAAAATGAATCTCTAAGAAAACAAACAGGAAAAGAATGCATTGTAAAGGTTAAGTGTCTGGCAAGGTTAGTCAATGAAAGCTGCCTTCGTTAGTTCGTTAGTACTAGAGTCGAGTGCGAGAATTCTACATTACTGTTTGAAGTTTGATGTACATGCTCAAAGACCTCGTGACACTGAGTGACTTAATGCATATACAATAGCTTAGTCGTTTAAAATAGAGGTTGCTAACAAAAACTTTCATTATACCTACTAGAGTTACAACTGAATTTCAGACCAAAAATTCACACAAATTTTCTTTAAGTAGTGGCATATAGCCAGGACAATTAAAGTTGAAAATAATTCCAACCCATTGCGCCCTAGCCAGTGTGCATTCCTTCGTTAGCATTTATATGATCTTCCATGTTATTTGTTTTGTTTGTTTGTTTTTTCGTCATTGCAATATTGTCATTGCAAGATATTTTAAATTCATAGCTAAGATTCGTTGCAGTGATATTAGTTGTCAGTCAAATTTGTCGTATTCGACTATGTCCTATCCCTTTGAAAAATTTCGAAATAGGTGCGCCCAGAAATAACCCATTTTTAATTAGGCGTTACCAAGAAAAAAACTCATTTGTCATTTATAAAGTTTTGTTTTGTTTTGTTTTGTTTTTTTGTTTTTTTGTTTTTGTTTTCGTTTTTTTCTGTTTTAGATATAGATATATTTAACAATTATTCCTCGATCCCGAATGGGCTCTGAGACAATTGTTTGCTTTTTTATAGTCGTCAGACAATGAATTATTATGCATTCTTAAAGTTCTAGATGTAAATAGGGTAAATGTGTTTGCCATATACTAGTTTGTTGCATAGTTATTGAGGTGTTTTTACCAAATTTAAAGTAAAATGTAGAAGCATAAGTTCTGCATTTTTTGCTAAAATGGGCATAATTTACAAAAACTGTTGAGACATTATTTTCCATGTGTTTTTCAATTTCTCGCCATGCATGCAACTTTATAGTCGAAACGGAACAAAGTCGCCCCCCTTCCCACCCCTTGACCACTATTGTTTTGGCCCGAATGGGCTCTGAGTCAATAGCCCATTCGGCCTTCGGCCTCATGGGCTATTGATTTAGAGGCCATGAGGGCGAGAGGAATCATTGTTTTAGTAAAATCCAACTAGTTGGTCAAAAATATCGAGGATAAAAAAAATTTAGCTAGTTAAAGCTACACTTTAATCCTTTTTTGCCGCCAAAAAGCCCACACTTTTCGCTGCTAGTGGGCTATAACATATAGTCTAGTAGTAGCTCAACCAATCAGAGCGCAGCATTGATAATAGACCACTAGTTGGATTTTACTAAATTATTATACTATAGCAGACCCTTCCCCGGTTTTTTCCACTCATGGACCAGTAAGGGAAAATCCGTCGATACCACTAGGAAGAACGCTTTAAAATTACGGTGAAATTGCCAAGTGTGGAAGTGAATTGTTAAAAACTAACGAAGATATAGCTTCCCATATTGGCGAAAATTTACAGACGTTTGTATGAGGTTCTGGCTGGATGGGGTTAACTGACAACTGACAAATGGCCAAAATTTTAACTGACAACTGACATTTGCCTTGGGTTTTACTGACAACTGACAAAGGACCCGATTGTCCTTTATTTTGTACGAGACCCGTTTTTGAGGCCTTCTAACAGCATCGTTCCACTCTCTGAGTTCGTCAGACAATGTGATCAAATGTGCGCTTATATCGGTAATCTTAGCAGCACGACGCTTAAGTGCCTTCTTTCAAAGCAAAACTGATAAAAATTAAGGTACCATTGCATCAGTTTTCGAATTTAATGCTTAATTCACATTATATGTGCTTTTTTAGCTAAATTTGGGATTTAAAATAAACAAATAAGTTTAATAGTTAATTATTAATAATCATTTAACTGACAACTGACAAAAATCCTAGATTTAACTGACAGATGGCCAAAATTTTAACTTACAACTGACATTTGTACCCCCTCAACCCTCACCTAGACCCTCTTGTATGGTGGGGGTACAGACTCCCCCCCCCCCCCCCCCCCCAAAAAGGGTATGATGAACGAAGACGACAATATATAGAAGACCGAAAACGCGAAAAGAAAATTGACGCTTGTCGGCGTTTGGAGACGATTTTACGATGTATGTGCTGTTGCCCCTGTGCCAACTTATGCTTCAAGGATGAAAGTGATAAATGGAAAAGGCGCTTTTGTGCCTCGTCGTTGACTTGTTTGATTTACGGGGGAGTAACCACTCTCCTTTCCTCTGGTGTTTTTCCACGCTTTAGTTCCAGTTGTCTCGCTCTCAAAATAGGCATACCTGTTTCAGTGCTCGGTTGTCTTTGTTCAACGGTATTATGCGCTTGTAAAAGCGAAAAGTGTCCTTGTTCTAGGAAAAAGAAACAAGGCGAGACTTCCTCTACTACTTCGTTGGGCCGAGTTGTCAACACCCAGCCGAGGCCAAAGTGCAGCCATTGTTCTGATGACGATGAAAATTACGCCGAGGATGATTCGCCTCTGTTGCGTACTCCCGCTTGTCGGCCGGAACAGTTTTAATTCTGGCGCTCAGTTCGTGGCGGACATATATGCCTCGTCGGTTTTAATTTCTCGAAACATACTCTAAGATGGCGTGTAGGGTTTGATCATTGTGCTGGCATAATTTTTTTGCATAATTCGTCACTACAGACATCATTTTCATCTATTTTCCGATAAAAGTACTGCTAGCATAATTTGCATTTTTTGGCTAGTTTTGCAGCTCAAAATTGCCATTCATTGATTATGCAACCAATTATTTTGGCCCGATATTAGCGTTACAGGAAAATTTAAGTGACAAAAACAATTTTTTGTCTGCTTACAGTCACATTCATGGACCTGTTTCCTACAGAAAGTGACCACTTTTCACAAGACTCAACGCCCGCGTACCTAAGATTATAGCTAGCGCCCGCGTGCAGGTTTTTTTTTAATTGTTTGCTTTTTTATACTCGTCAGACAATGAATTATGCATTCATAAAGTTCTAGATGTAAATAGGGTAAATGTGTTTGCCATATACTAGTTCGTTGCATAGTTATTGAGGTGTTCTTACCAAATTTAAAGTAAAATGTAGAAGCATAAGTTCTGCATTATTTGCTAAAATGAGCATAATTTACAAAAACTACAACCCCGGACAAAACTGTTGAGGCACTTCCATGTGTTTTTCAATTTCGCGCCATGCAGCCATCTAGTTGAAACGGAACAAAGTCGCCCCCCCTTCCCACCCCTTGTGCAATGTTGTTTTGGCCTAACAGCTCACGTGTGCATTTCTTGTGTTACCGCAAAGAACACTGCAATAGGGGAGGGGGGAAAAGGTCTTTTAATTTGCGACGGTAAGCATTTTTGTCAGGACGAGTACAAAAAATAGGTATTTTTGTAATGTGTCTCAACAGGTTTTGTCCGGGGTTGTAGCCTGCATAATTATAAACAATTATTGGATGAGGTTTTTGTGATATCCGGAATAATCAACGACGAGGTAAGTGTTATCAGCCGAAGCCGAAGGCTGAGCGAGACCTTGATTATTCCGAATATCACAAAAAGCGAATCTAATAATTGTTTTATTATACTTTATCTTCAAGTAATTTCTCAATTTCTTGCTGGGTCGATGAAGCGAATCGAGAAGCCATTCTTACTTCGCTGTCCGCGAACTTGACATTGCTCAGTCCGTGCACTTGACATTGCTCTTGGAAATCATGCATTGCGCGCGCAACCTACAGGTTATTCAACTGTAGGCTTTTAGCCAATGAGAAGACAGATGGTGACTACAATGTATAACAATGCCTATAATTTTACAAATATACGAGAACTGCTAGTAGCATATGCTACTTTTGCCAGCAGAATCTATCAAAGCCTAATGCTGTGGAGAGTTCTTGGGGCTAGATTTTTAAAGATTTAAGTGCATATCAACAAAAATATTCTAGGTTGTTTGCAGAGCGGTGTTAATTAGCTTAATATTTAGTTACACGACTAAAATAGACTGTAAGACGTTGCTGTATTGATAACCGATCTCGAAATGTACAAGACGCTGAAGTCGTTGTTTTGCCGCTCCCATAGTTCACGTTTTGAGCCACTGAGAAAGAAGACACCGAACAAACTGAATCTCTAAGAAAACAAACAGGAAAGGAATGCATTGTAAAGGTTTAGTGTCTGACAAGGTTAGTTAATGAAAGCTGCCTTTGTTAGTACTAGAGTCGAATTCGAGCATTCTACATGACTGTTTGATGTTTGATGTGCATACTTATATACTTATGAAACCGAGAGTGATAATGCCGCATACACAATAGCTGGATCGTTAAAAATAGAGGTTGCTAACAAAAAATTTCATTATACCTACTAGAGTTACAACTGAATTTCAGACTAAAAATTGACACAAATTTTTTTTAAGTTATGGCATATCGCCAGGACATTGCAGTATTGTCATTGCAAGGTATTTTAAATTCATAGCTAAGATTCGTTGCGATGATATTAGTTGTCAGTCAAATTTGTCGCATTCGGCTACGTCCTTTCCGTTTTAAAAATTTCGAAATAGGTGCGCCCAGTAATAACCCATTTAGACGTTACCAAGAAAAAAACTTGTTTGTCATTTATCAGCGTTAATTTTTGTTTTGCTTTGTTTTTTTGCTCTTGTTTTCGTTTCTTTTCTGTTTTAGATATAGCTTATATATTATTCCGTCCATGGTTTTTTCAACTTTTGACATGGACAAGTTAGGGACAATCCGTCGACACCACTGGAAAGAGCGCCTTAAAATTAGTTAAATTGCCAAGTTTGGAAGTGAATTGTTAAAAACTAAAGAAGATATAGCTCCTCATATTGTCGAAAATTTACAGACATTTGTATGAGGGTCTGGCTGGATGGGGTTAACTGACAACTGACAAATGGCCAAAATTTTAACTGACAACTGACATTTGCCTCGGGTTTTACTGACAACTGACAAAGGACCCGATTGTCCTTTATTTTGTACGAAACCCGTTTTTGAGGCCTTCTAATAGCACTGTTCCACTCTTTTCGTCAGACAATGTAATCAACTGCGCGTTTATATCAGTAATTTTAGCAGCAGGACGCTTAAGTATCATCAGTTTCAAAGCAAAACTGATAAAAATTAATTAAGGTACCATTGCATCAGTTTTCGAATTTAATGCTTAATTCACATCATATGTGCTTTTTTAGCTAAATTTGGGATTTAAAATAAACAAATAAGTTTAATAGTTAATTATTAATAATCATTTAACTGACAACTGACAAAAATCCTAAATTTAACTGACAAATGGCCAAAATTTTAACTTACAACTGACATTTGTACTCCCCCACCCCCCATCTAGACCCTCTTGTATGGTGGGGGTACCGACTCCCCCATATAAACGTCTTTAAATTTTCGCAACTTTGCGGAGCTACATCTTCGCTCACTTAAGGTGATGTTACACTGGACGATAGGCCACGACAATTTTTAGCGCAACATAGCGCTGCAGTGTTGGAACAACGTTGCAATCATTCGAAACAATATCGCAACAATGTTGCAACGCTGTGTTGCTCTAACTTAAAAGCGTCGTCGCGAATCGTTTCGTGTAACATCACCTTTAAGACGCGTCACTTTCAAATTTGGCAGTGTTACTAATTTTAAGGCGCTCCTATTTCCAGTGGTGTAAACGGATTTTTCCGAACTAGTCCATGTCAAATAAAATAAAATAAAATAAATAATAATAATAAATGTCAAAAGTTGAAAAAACCGTAAAAGAGTCCTTCTTCCAATTTTGTAGCCAAAAGGCCAAAAATCAAACATCTCTCCAGAAGGTAACACACAAAAGGGAGCTGAACTTGCAGTTGAGTATGTTTTGTTTTGTTTCGTTTCGCTTTGCATTGGTTTGTGTTTTCGTATCCCAGTACCAGTATGAAAGGTTTTAGCTAACGGAATTAGAGTACACGAGGCACAATTATTAATTGAAGACTTATTTCCGAAAAAAAAGCATAAACTTTAGATTTAGGTATATATTAAGCTGTAACAAAATACCATTTTGAAAACTGGGCAAATAAACTCTGCAAGTCATCTATAATTGGGTGCATTGTTTTGCCCTATTGTTTATTGCAAAATCTTTAAGTGCTGCAATTTAGTGTGTCAGTAACCGTAAATAATGCTGTTTTAACAATTAATCTAAAAACAAGCTTTTTTTGTTTTATTTCCTCGCATTGGACGTTTAGAAAAACCGTCCTGTGTAAGGTTACGTTGTTTTTCCTTGAATGAATGTAACCCTACGGCTTTCCCAAATAATTGATATAAATTGGGCCGTATGAAGTCGTAGCGATTGGAGTGACTCATAACTGTTTGCGTGTTCAAAGAACGGAGTTATAAATTAAATCGTCCGAACGTACACTTTCTGAAAGAGTACGAAATTTGTTTTGTAAATATAAACATATAATTTTAGATCTAGCAGCAAAGAAGATGTGAACTGAAGATGTGAAAGGAAATTCCGCAATTATAGTTGCGATTCATGTTTTCGTGTTTTTTCGTGGTCTCCGGGCGATGCAACACTACCTTCAGTCAGCGGTGCTATGATGGCGGGCGCAATTCGCCTTCCGCTGGACTCCAGAACACGTCTGCACGGCCCAAGAAGCCTGACAAACGTTTTTCTCATTTCAGCATCACGAAAAGCGTACACCATTGGGTTCATTCCGCTATTACAATACTGCAACCACTTTACAAATATAAGAAAGTTAGTCATTTTTTCGAAGGGCACGCAATAGGTGCAAAAAACCGCGATGGTGCTGATTGTGAAAAACGATAACCATGAGACTAAGAACATTGCAGTGACGAACGCAAGAGTGAGCGCAATTCGTCTTTGTTTATTTATATTTGTACGTATTTGGGTACTTTCCTCTGAGTCTTGAAGAGTGCAGTTTGGAAGATTTGCAATAAGCTTGCGAGCCACTTTGAAGATAGAGTAATTCACTATGCAGATTAATATCCCGGGTCCAACGTAGCCCACAAGCAATAAGAAAGGAGTGTAAATCCTATGAGGATTGCTACTTGCTGTGTTATCCAGCGCAGGTCTAACGGCTGCTATGGCGAACGCTGAGATCCACACCCCGCAAATTATCAGCGAGTAATGCAACGTAGAGAGCGTCTCGTAAAAAAACGGCCGCGAAATTGAGAGCCAGCGTTCCAGGCTTACGGTGGTCAGATGAAAAATTGAAGCCAGCGCGCTGAAGATATCGAAAGACAGGAAAATTGTGTTAAGTGTTCCCCTCTGAATGTTTTGTAAAATGATGTACATCCACAAAGGCAGTGAAACGCAGCCTACAAGCAGATCCGAGATCGCCAAGCTAACAAGGAACGTGTAGGTCCCTGTACGAATTCTATAGTTCGAGAAATATGCCGCGACTACAAACGAATTACCAGTTATTATAACAAACATGAGGGCCACACATGACGCTATCTGAATGGCAGTACTCGTAGATATTTCAACTGTTTGGGATAGTTCCGTTTCTTTTGTATCCTTCTCCATCCGTCGTTTTCAAGTCACCGGAGCAAGGATGTTTAGAGCGGTATCAGCCAACTGTTTTATCACTATAACTTCAAATGACAATTTTGTCGTCTCGTTAGGCTTTGAACTCTGATTGCGTAGTGATACGAAGCCTGATTCTAAAAATGCTTTGTCACTGGTGACTTAAAGATGACACAAAAGTCGTAGAAAATAAACAGCTTGATAATAAAAGAGATCCAATCAGTTTTAGCTCTTTTCTCACAGCAACAAAAGGAGCAACGCTTATCTGCAAAGAGAGGAAGTAACGCTCACCTTTCGACATTATGATTCTCACGTTTTTCCCGAAGAAATTAAAAAGTGATAAGCGATCCGCGTATTGTCCATTTATAAGGTGTCTAAGGTGCCCCACTCATCGTGGTAATGCTAAAAAGCAATAGAAAAAATTAACTTCGGGGCTTTGTTCTCGCCACAAGACAAACGGAAACCTATTTAGTTGAAAGGATATGGTTTATCCTCGTTTTAATCAGTTCATAGTTCTCTTGCATACACAGCTGCCAAAAGCTCGCTCGAGGCTATATAAATGCAAATGATTTTGAGAAAGCCCTTTATTGTTCACTAATAACACTTGATTATAGTTTTACTGCCATTAATTCCAAAATTATAAAGATTACTAAATTTGATTTTCTTGAAGAAAGAGCCAGGAAATTTAGAACTAGTGTTTCTAGCGAGTTTGAACTTGCTCATTGGTCAAACTGAGCTTCGTCATCAAATTCAATTCAAATAAACGAGTCTAAAAGTAAAGTGTCTCTAGAATAAAAACACAGCTACCAATTCGGATACTAATGCAAGTTTACTTTGTTAGCTGCCAAATTTAAATTTCTGTTTCTTGTGATTACTAAAGAAAGAAAATCGAAATTTCAGCTTCTTTTTGAGATCCTGAGTTCCTCACTTATGTTCAGGTTATTCCGAGCATAAAGTTTTTACCCAATTTCTACCAATTCTGCGACAGTTAGGAAAGCATTTTCCCTTGAATTTAACATCCATTCATTAATCATATTGACAAAGAAATTAAAGACCAACCCAAAGAGAATATATTTTAAAAGGTTCGGGATGTCAAAAAGATGATAAAGATGTCAAAAGTTAAGGTATTAAAAAATCAAATTTCTTTGATGAATACAAAACTGATGTTTTGTTTCTAATTTCTCCTTTAGTAAGCTAACTAACAAATCAATTAAGGAAATAAAAGAGCAGATAGTAATATCTGGATATTTTTGAAAAGCAGATTTAAAAGGTTTTATTTTTGTTTAAACCCTTTCGTTCGTCGTTCAATGGCTAGAAACGCCTGGGAACTTTTTTGTTAGTGTGTGATGAAGTAAGACAAAACATTGCCGGGTTTAATTGTTTTATCACGACTTGAGCGATTTATGTCAATCTCCATTAAGTCGGTTTTTCAGCCACAATTGAAAACTATCTGAGCTAAAAGTAAATTCAATTTGCAATTGAAAAATTACTCTAAAAACCAAAGCACTGAGTATTGACATAACAGGATAAACATTGACAAAAAAGCCATTTTTCCTTACCCTGACCAATTTAAAATGCCAAATTGGCTTAAAGTTTAATCTGTTCTAAAAGTCATTACTGAACAATCATGGATCCATTAATACAAGCTAGTCACGTCCTCTTTTAATTAAAGCAGCTCCAATTCAAAAGAAAGCAATCGCGAAAGTGATACACAAACCCCTGCCCCTGACGAAGGTTTGTGTTTCAAATCTAAATAACGGGTAAAACAAAATAAAATAATAATAATAATAATAGTAATAATAATACTAATAATAATGTTACTACAGCAGTGCTGTAGTAAGGAGTTTTCAGCATTTATGGTCAGCGGTTGTTACCATTTTGCTTAGGACTCGTGCTAGTTGCCGCCATGTTCTTGTTTATCACATGTGTGATTTAGGTTTACAATCCATGTAATCCTTCGCTCATCCGTATCGTGTAAGGCAGACTAAGTTGTTATCTGAAGAACTGAAGAGTTAAAGATTATTTGGAGATAAAGGAAAGATCTGACGATTCAAGTTTTCTTTTTTTCTTGTGAATAACAACGAAACTCCTTCGGATGCCAAGTACGACTTTCGAGGGCAGCCGCAAATAAAGATGATGATAATGATGATGATGATGATGATGATGATGATGATGATGATGATGATAACAGTTTATATTTTTGAAGTTTTGTATATTTTTTTGCTTTTAATTTCGCGAATCCGAAACAAAAGATGAGAGGCAAATTTACTGGTTTGTTGACATGAAGTTTTGCTTTTCAATTTTAAACTCGAAGAGAAACTGTCCAGGATTTTTTGAAGTTGTTCACTGTTTTGTTTTGTATTGAGGAGATAGTCTGCGAGCAAGCTCTCCTATTTGGGCGAGCGAAGCAGGCCTCGCGAGAACGCGCGAGCGAGGGGCCGAGGAAAGGAGAACTAAACAAGTCGCTTTGTACAAACGAATACAACTTATCAAGAGCTTTCATTTTCCTTCCACAAGAACTAAAAACTCGGTGTGACTTATCCTCGGCTCGCAATATTCTCTTTGCGAGAACTAAATCAAACGAGCCCCCTCGTCTGCTTTGAGGGCTGAAACAAGTTCTCGGTACCAATCTGATCCCCCTGAGAACCAAACTTGTCACGCAAACGAAGGCGGTGCCAGCTTGGCCTGTTATCAATTAACTTTGTTTTCCGGAACGTCGTTTTTCAGCCAATGGTATTTCCCTTCGTCTGGGCGAAGTACAAATGAAAATTTATGAGAGGTCGTTGCAAGCTCTCCTTTCCTCTGCCCCTTGCGGCTTCGCCGCTCGCTCGCGCGTTCACGCGAGACTCGCTTCGCTTGCCCAAATAGGAGAGCTTGCTCGCAGGCTGTTGAGGAGGAACCCGGTCACCTAGACCCTGTGATAGGGCGCGTGGGGGGGGGGGGGGGGGGGGGGGGGCTGAAAAAAATAAAAATATAGGCTAATGACACGCTTGTTTGCGGTGGTGTTTTAATTGTTTTTTTTCCAGGATTAGAAACCAATTTTAACCCATTGCCTCCTGGGAGTTTTCCCGAAAAACGCGTTTTGAAGCAGTTCCGGTGGTTTTCTGGGAAATACAGTGTTTTANGAATACAACTTATCAAGAGCTTTCATTTTCCTTCCACAAGAACTAAAAACTCGGTGTGACTTATCCTCGGCTCGCAATATTCTCTTTGCGAGAACTAAATCAAACGAGCCCCCTCGTCTGCTTTGAGGGCTGAAACAAGTTCTCGGTACCAATCTGATCCCCCTGAGAACCAAACTTGTCACGCAAACGAAGGCGGTGCCAGCTTGGCCTGTTATCAATTAACTTTGTTTTCCGGAACGTCGTTTTTCAGCCAATGGTATTTCCCTTCGTCTGGGCGAAGTACAAATGAAAATTTATGAGAGGTCGTTGCAAGCTCTCCTTTCCTCTGCCCCTTGCGGCTTCGCCGCTCGCTCGCGCGTTCACGCGAGACTCGCTTCGCTTGCCCAAATAGGAGAGCTTGCTCGCAGGCTGTTGAGGAGGAACCCGGTCACCTAGACCCTGTGATAGGGCGCGTGGGGGGGGGGGGAGGGGAGGGGGGTCTGAAAAAAATGTTTTTCGTCCCTTCTGGCCTCAGTTTCGTCTAAAAATAAGGGGGCGGGGTCCCCGGGCCCCTCCCCTGAATTCGCCTCTGAATTGTAATATTAGGTGAATCTTGACAATCAATGGAATGCCGATGACACTCTTCTTTGTCGTTTGGACAGACTTCGTTATTACCGACAGGAGCATATTGTCCTTCTTAAACGTAGGGTACTCCGTGCTGATCTTCATGTTAGTCTGTGTCACGTTGTATTCACAGACTAGTACACAGTCAAACTTATATTAAACGTACCTGCATTAAGCAGTTACCCAGGTTACCCTCTAAGCTTTCTTAAGTCCAGAAAATTATTCCCCTTGATTGCTCTAAAACTGTCCTCTATTAAGCGGTCGCCTGTAAATATCGCCCGGTATGGGTATGAAATCAATGTTCCCCATCTCCCTGAAAAAAATCATCAGTTTCTGGGTTATCCAAGGTATCTTTTGTTATGAATATTGGTCATGTTCTCTTGGTCCTCACTAAAATCCCTGAGAGGCCACTTGTGATAGTCAAAAGTTGCATTAGGCCATTTCGAAAAATACCAAAATACTCTCAAATTTCCGTTTAGAAAATTATGGTATTTTCGAAGTGGCCTATCTGAGTTCCTTGTCTGACTCTTCCCCAGCCCTCTCTCTTTGGATCGCAGGGGAGAAGCGCGACCAAAGGGAGCGCGAGGGGTGATGGGAATTAGGATAACCGACTGAGGAAGAGTCAGATCCCTTGTCACACTAATGTAAGTTCTTCAGGGATCTACTTGTGCTGGTCCGCAGCAGGAAAAGGTAATTGTTCTGAAGACACAACAGGCTCGAATCTCCAAAGCCGTACTCGATCTTGATCTCGCAAGGACTGCGAAAACGTGGTGAAAGCCATCCGTCTACATTATCACCCATGGAAAATGTGTCCTACTATACAACCTTGGCCATACCAACAACCAGGCCTCGGTTGTTCAAAGTGGATAGCACTATCATGGCACCGGATAATTAAATCTCTATCCAGTGGATAGTACAATTATTTTCCCTAATTCCTCATCCGCTGAATAGTGATTTATCCGGTGGATAGCGCTATCCAACGTTTGAACAACTGGGGCCAAGGCTTTTAAAAAACCGGTGAGATCATGCTGGCTTTGTTTTAAGACCTCGTCTTACTAGATCATCGCGTCATTGCGCGGTGACGTTAAGCCGTTGGCCTTGTCTCCTTCACCCTTCTTTCATTAGTCAAATCGAAGGGGACGTAAAAGAACCCACAATACTGTTCGAAAGGAGCAGGAGAAGTTTCCCCGGTGGTGTGGTTTACCTTTCACGCAACATTCATATCATAGGCTATGGGTGGGTTACAGTAAGCTCATAAATGGACTCATAGCGGCTGCCACTGGCACCCTTGTATGCCGACGTTCGAGCTTACTGTTTAGGTGCTTTAATGTAGTGTAAAGAGGGCGCGTCATGTTGTCCTCTAATCCACGACATAACATGACATTACGGCTATACGAGGCAAACGTCGTTACGAAACATTTGCGCGCCAGTTCCAGTATCAGTAAAATTGTGTGTGTGGACGTCTTGTCACAAAAAATCGTGAGGCTTCTAAGCTCCCTCGACCAATAACATGTCAGCCCTCCGTGGTTCACAGGGAGATGTACCTGCCTTGTCGCCCGGTGGAATCAATTGAGATGCGAAAACAGAGACTGCAGACCTTTATGGGACAGCACACCTTCCCATCAGACTACAAGTGCCGCTTTCAGGCAACAAGAACGAAAAGTGTAAAGAGGTTTAGTACTTTTAATGTCTCCCTCTGGAGTAAATTGTTTTCCAGCAACATTTTAACTTTAGTTGCTAGCTGTTCGAAGTAGACAAGACTGGCACTTCGCATACCTAATCAAGAGACTTTAATTTCATGCTCTAAAGTTCCCTTGGCGTATTTTAACATTATCACAAGAAGCTGAAGTTTGATTATACTGCACGTTTTTACTATGAGAGGAACAACTCCTCTCAAATCAAATGGAAACTCCCAGTCTCGTGATTCCACAGTATGTTCAGGATAAGTCTGAAAGTAATCGCTGTCATTATATTATTCCCGATTATTGGCTACAATCAAACTCCTTCAGTCTATTAATGTCACGTTCGAATTTTAAGTAAATACAGTCATCTTTTAAATAAATAGTTTTTAAAGCAAAGAGGGAAAAAACGTACAAATACTTGATGTACACTAAAGCAATTTATTCTTAATTAACATATTACCACAAAGAGACTTTGACGACGTAATAACGTAGCCGTTATGAGAAAATGAAGTTACCGCACGTAGATTTAACTAACGCCGCAAAAGATAACTTTGGTCCTGAGCTTTTTTAAATCTGTCGCGTTTTCGTGAACACGAACCGCAAATAACTCGCGACCGTCGGTTATCGCTAAGCAGCGATCACAGACCTAATTATTTGAGGAAAAAAATCTAGAAGGAGATCTCTGGGGAGCAAGGTTGATCTGATAAAGCTAACGAATCAAATTTATACCAAAGGACATAAATCTTTATCTGAATAAAGGGATTCAGAGTAAAGGTGAAATCCAACGAAAAACATCAGCTAAGTACAGTAAGGCAATAAAAAGCTTCAACCGACGCCGGCGACAGCAACTTCCCTATAAAAGTGGCGGGGGTGCTCGTACCTTTTACGGGTTTAAATTTGTGGATTGGTACCGCTTAGGGAGCTAAAACCTAAAATGACCGCTGCCAGGATGAACATTGATAACAATAAAGATTTATGAGCTCTTACAGATTTCGCTTAAACTTCACGAACATCGAGGCAGCTATCGTAGGTAAAAGCTCCAGTAAACGATTTGGGAAGAACAGTTCCCAGTGCCGAGAAATACTGCTGGAAGTAAAATAGGTAATGGCGACATTTCGTTGCTATGACAACTCCGATGTCATTCTAACCCTGATCATAACAAATTTCATCTTTATCTAATACAACTGTGGTGTTAATTTTTCCAAATCTTTGTTTATGGCGACGTAGTTTACGCTCAAACTTGGGAGGTATTGACCTTGAAAAACTGTATCGAGCCACCTTAAGACCTCGTCTCAGTTTAGATGATCGCGTCATTGCGCGGTGACGTTAAGCCGTTGGCCTTGTCTCCTTCTTCCTTCTTTCATTAGTCAAATCGAAGGGGACGTAAAAGAACCCACACTACTGTTGGAAAAGAGCAGGAGAAGTTTCCCCGGTGATGTGATGGGTGGGTTACAGTAAGCTCATAAATGGAATGACCGCAGCTGCCACTGGCGCCCTTGTGTGCCGACTTTCGAGCTTACTGTTTAGGTGTTAATATGTAGTGTAAAGAGGGCGCGTCATGTTGTCCTCTAATCCACGAGATGGCATGACATTACGGCTATACGAGGCAAACGTCGTTGCGAAATATTTGCGCGCCAGTTCCAGTATCAGTAAAATTGTGTGTGTAGACGTCTTGTCACAAGAAATCGTGAGGCTTCTAAGCTCCCTCGACTAATAACATGTCAGCCCTCCGTGGTTCACAGGGAGATGTACCTGCCTTGTCGCCCGGTGGAATCAATTGAGATGCGAAAACAGAGACTTCAGACCTTTATGGAACAGCACACCTTCCCATCAGACTACAAGTGCCGCTTTCAGGCAACAAGAACGAAAAGTGCAAAGAGGTTTAGTACTTTTAATGTCTCCCTCTGGAGTAAATTGTTTTCCAGCAACATTTTAACTTTAGTTCCTAGCTGTTCGAAGTAGACAAGACTGGCACTTCGCATATCTAATCAAGAGACTTTCATGCTCTAAAGTTCCCTCGGCGTATTTTAACATTATCACAAGAAGGCTGAAGTTTGATTATACGGCACGTTTTAACTATGAGAGTAACAACTCCTCTCAAATCAAATGGAAACTCCCAGTCTCGTGATTCCACGGTATGTTCAGGATAAGTCTGAAAGTAATCGCTGTCATTATACTATTCCTGATTATTCGCTACAATCAAACTCCTTCAGTCTATTAATGTCACGTTCGAATTTTAAGTAAATACAATCATCTTTTAAATAAATAGTTTTTAAAGCAAAGAGGGAAAAAACGTACAAATACTTGATGTACACTAAAGCAATTTATTCTTAATTAACATGTTACCACAAAGAGACTTTGACGACGTAATAACGTAGCCGTTATGAGAAAATGAAGTTACCGCACGTAGATTTAACTAACGCCGCAAAGATAACTTTGGTCCTGAGCTTTTTTAAATCTGCCGCGTTTTCGTGAACACGAACCGCAAATAACTCGCGACCGTCGGTTATCGCTAAGCAGCGATCACAGACCTAATTATTTGAGGAAAAAAATCTAGAAGGAGATCTCTGGGGAGCAAGATTGATCTGATAAGGCTAACGAATCATAAATTTATACTAAAGGGACATGGATCTTTATCTGAATAAAGGGATTCAGAGTAAAGGTGAAATCAAACGAAAAACATCAGCTAAGTACAGTAAGGCAATAAAAAGCTTCAACCGACGCCGGCGACAGCAACGAGAACGGCACTGAAAAAGCAATAGGTAGTCGTGATTAGCGAAACAACAACTCTGCAAGTGCATCACACATTTTCCTTGTACATTTATTTTCGACGTGAACCTTTCTAGTTTCACAAGACAACGATTTAACTTAAAAAGCCTCTTTTATCTCCATTTGCCAATTAAAAGCCCCATGCAGCGGGACCCCTCCGGCGGCGGCGGGGGGGGGGGAGTGTATACTTCCCTATAAAAGTGGCGGGGGTGCTCGTACCTTTTACGGGTTTAAATTTGTGGATTGGTACCGCTTAGGGAGCTAAAACCTAAAATGACCGCTGCCAGGATGAACATTGATAACAATAAAGATTTATGAGACCCTACAAAGATTAATAGCGGGGTTAATTTATATTTGATGATGTAAGGTGAGTGATAAGGAAATGTCTCCTTTTGTTATGTTTCCATCACCCACAATCAATTACAAGCGATATCCTTCAATCAGTATAAAATATAGTAAAATTAGGCCCGAAAGCTAATCAACCTGACCTTTGATGATTTTTTTTTACTGGGTTAACTGACTGGATGCAAGATCACGAGGTTTCAAAAGTCCTCTGAATACGGTTTCAAACCATTTACTTTTCATTACTTTAATTTTTCAGTTTTAAAGGAATTAAAATAACCTCACTTTCGCAATTACACACATTTTAACTCAGTTAAAACCATTAATTTTATCGCTGGTCATGCAGTGAAACTCATTTTGTGACACAATACTGAGATCAAGCAAAACAAAATGAAAGAAACAGATGGGCCGAGCAGTAGATATAAATTTTCCTTTTTTTCTAAGGTTTAAATCGGGATACTGCAATCAATCTGACCTTCTTTCCCGTAGCTACATTTTGATTCCGTGCATTGTTCGTTGAAAATGATCTGTAAGTTATCAGGAAATTTAAAATGACAAAGATGGCGGAAATGATATCAAAATAAACAATCGTTACGTATAGCTATATAATATTGTTTGTATTATAACTACCTGCTTTTAAGTTATAGGCTTCGATTATCTACAGTCACAATATCTGATATTAAAAGATGTCGTTCTCTGCAGGCAACACAACAACGCCAAATAACGCAACTCAAGACAGGACGACCGACCTGATGGCTTTCCCTGGCTTAATCTTTGTTCTTTCCATCATTCTTATTTTTGTCATATTATTTGGCAATTCTCTTGTTATTGCATCTTACAAGACTAACAGAAGACTATAAGAACTCGAACAAATGCCTTTTTGGTCAGTTTAGCCTTCTCGGATTTTCTGGTTGGCAGCATATCTTTACCTATGTGGATTTACGGGATCATGTCGCAGCAGAACGTTTCTATCACTTTTCAAGCCTTTTTTAAAAGTTTTGACGTGTTTTCTGCTCTTGCGTCTATTTTTCATCTGACGGCGATAAGCGCGGAAAGGTACATCGCAGTTTCTCGGCCGTTTTATTATCAACGCTTGCCGTTGTCCTTTCATCGATCGTTGATTGCATCAGCCTGGTGCTTCGCTGGCTTTTTAGCCTCGTTGTCTTACATTACACTCATTAAAAACAGCTGGAGTAGTCAAGTCTACGCCGTGGTGTTGTCCATCTGCGGCTTGGCTGTTCCCACCGTCATCATTGCGCGCATGTACATTGGGGTGTTCTTAGTCGCGCGATCTCTGTTGCAACGTAACCCAGCTCACGCTGCGAGAATGCAAAGCGTAACAAGCCTGAAGCGATACTATCAAGGGGAGAGGAAAGTCGCAATCACTGTCGGCCTCGTAACATGTTTATTTATCGCTGCATGGCTGCCCTTCTTTGTTGTGTCAGTGACAGCTGCTTTTTGCATTCACTGCCTCCCTTCTTCCCATAATTCCCTCTACAAAATCATCGTCATAGTGAAGAGTGTGTATTACATGAACAGCGCTGTCAACCCACTCGTGTATGCGCGCCGTGACCCCGAAATGAGACAAACATTTTTAAGGCTGCTCGGATTACACAGCGGTATTTGCCGATTATATGGCGAAAAGAATAGTCCAGAAGGATTCCCCATGCGAGTGAGGTGACTTTTCTGCCCGCATAGTAGCCCTGTGCTTGAGTAACAATTAAGCTGATACAAGCAGTGCAGATGGCAGTATAGTATTGAAACGCCATGCGGGAAGCTGGAGTCCTTTGAAATCACACTTGCTGTTATGTTTAGGGTTAGCCAGGGACATTGATTGGGGTCATTCATCAGTTGTTTCGAGTTTCTTTGGATAACTAAACGACTTGTTTTTGCATGAGAGTTTCGTGGCGTTCCAATATGGAAGAACGTGAAAGCCGTCAAGATTCGTGAATTTTATATATTCACTTTCACAAGATTGATATACGTTATAAAGTAAACGAGAGCAAAAGTTCAAACATTTTAGGTCGATGATGGCAGTAAGTCGTCTTGAGGCGCTTGCGAAAAACACGAACATAACTTAGAGAATCCGAAAACCTATTAAAATCAAAGAATATAGAAGAAACCTTGATCAAGAAATCAAGTTCAAGCAGGGGTACCCAACGTCAATTTTCGGAAAATGTCAGTTCGGAAGACGATTTGAGATCTAGTAAGAGTTTTCGGAACATTTGTTGTAAAATTTCCTGCTTGCCTGCCTCTCCTAGGATTTTCGAACATCTAAAAAATGGTATAATTGCTTATTTTTAACGGATTTTTACCCTAAAAAGGTCACCTAGAATTTTCGGGAGCCTTTTTTCTGGCAGAAATTTTCGAAAAGGTAAGTTTTGATCCCCATAACTTTCGGATCACTAGACTCCGAACAGACGAAAAATTTTTAGGGGATAAAAGCTGAATATGCCTATATCTACCGTTTAAATACTAAAATACGTTTAACAATGCTATGTTTAAGTGTTTTTGAACTATATTCTCGTTGGGTGCCCCTGTTCAAGTTCAAGTTCATTTATTCACACTTATTCAATTACAATACAACAACAATAAGAAAAAAAAAAGAAGTAAAAACAGAGCTAACTATAAAATGAATTAAACATAACAGTTATAATTAAAAGAAAAAAGTGTGTAGCAGCCAAAGGAGCCAAGCTTTCGAGTTGGCTACTACCAAAAAGCGGTTACAAGTGGGTGGAGGTTATATAGTACTTATAAAAGCTAGTTATGGAGTTCTGGCTAAATTAATCATATTAAAAAAGGAAGGGTATATATGAGTAATGATAACAGTTAAACTCGTGCTTTGGATTAAATTCTGTGCAGTTAAACTCTTAAATTCTGTACGGTTAAACTCTCCACGCGTTTAACTCTACACCCGCCATCTTCGCGTTCCAGGCCTCATTCAATGTATAACAATATTTTCATTCTAAAGTAAAGTGACTATAGTCTTTACGAAAATCGCGAGTAAAAATGAGATTTACAAGTTAAGCAGGGTACGCCACAAAGAACGCTCTAGCGACAAAATAATGGAGTCGTATGTCCAAAATCCTAGCTTGCGTAAAAGCCCTAATCAGCACTGAGAAGCTCGCTGGGTACTAGCTTTTATGGTTGTACCAAAGTGCCGTATTTATTCGATTAAGCACCCTGGGCGCTTATGAATTTTTGGACCTTGACAGTGGGCGCTTATTCGAGGTGGGCGCTTATTCGAGGTTGGGCGCTTATTGAAGTTTCACGATTTTCAGCGTTAGTAATTTTATTCTTCAACAAAACGTGAAGATGTTCCCGATGTTCCAAATCAGAATTTTAACTGTTCATTGAAAGTTTCTTTAAAATACTAAGAAAACTCGGTCTTCAAGGAAGTATGTTAGAAGAACTTAGTCCATGCTAATCCGGCTCATTGTCAGTAAGTTCAAACTTTTTGCTTTTTGTGGGCGCTTATTCGAGGCTGGGCACTTACTAACTTTTCCTACCTATAGGGTGAGCGGTTATTCGAGGATGGACGTGCTTAATCAAATCCGGCACTTGAGAATCAAGTTAAGGGCTCGAAATTTTTGTCCATTACAGTAGGCTGCAATTATCTTTGATCTTCCCAAAACGATCCCTGATTTAGGAAATATGGGCAATGCTATCCTACTAGACGACATGTGCGGTGCAACAGTGTGTTTGGTTGCTGACTGAGATTCAGCTTGTTATTCGTTTTCTGATCAAATCTCAAATAAACTACTTTTTGTAACAGTTTAATGCTGCGCACTGCGCCGGCGCGGTATTACTAATATGCGAAACCAAAACGAAGAACTTTGGCAGAATTTTGGGTTGGAAACGAATAATGGTAAGCACCACTCAATGGCAAACCAGCGGAATACTTAATACATCTTTGCATTCCATTTCTTTATTTGTTCAATCTGGCACAATATTATATCAACAGCAATCAGTTTGACGGAACCAAGTTACTAAAGTTACGTGTGATCTACACTGCAGTTTTATAAACTACCACAAACACGAGTTTACTTGCTGGAAGTGTCGGGCGTACATTTTTGTCTCTGAAAATTTTTGTTAATTAGTGTAACCAAGATAGTTGTGACTGATTGTTAGACCAATGGTTCAAGGTAGAATTCGATTCCTTCTTACTCTGCCAATAAGCAAACTTGAAACTGATGAGCTATGCGGGTAAACTCCCAAACCAAACGCACACCAGTATTAACCATGTACGGTTTATGATCTCTTGGTATAAAAGAAGAGTTGGGTTGGACCCAGTTCATACCGGGGAGGAAACTGACTTGCAATTTTTTCCAGCTTAGCTTTGCCTATCAGTGTTTAAATTCAGAAGTTATATGAGAATACAGAGGCAACAACGCAACCCACCAGGTCCCGATTGTTCCATGGATAGCGCTATCCACCGGATAAATCACTGTCCAGTGGATAACCAATTGCGCTATCCAGTGGATAGATATTTATCCGATAGATAGCGTTATCTCATATCCACCTTTTGAACAACTGATGGGACCAGGCCAAGACTTAAAAATGTATTCATGTTATTTCCCAATTACATCTCGCATAAACAAATGGATCAAGGCCGCTATTCATAGAGCGCACACTGTTGTAACAACTACCGATATAGGAAGTGATGTAGAAAGACCTCTAAATGACTCGGTTTGAGCTTTTTAGAAAAAGGCAAAGAACCTCCTAACACGCAAACTGCAGACAGGAATGTTAAATCGTACGCATGGCCAATGCTTCTGGGCTACTTTTTTCGAATGAAAATCGACTAGTACCGCTGTGTAACCCGAGGAGTCTTAAAAATGTTTGTCTCATTTCACGATCACGGCGCGCATACACGAGTGGGTTGACGGCGCTGTTCATGTAATGCACACTCTTCACTATGACGATGATTCTGTAGAGGGAGTGTGGGGAAGAAGAAAGGCAATGGACGCAAAAAGCAGCTGTGACTGACACAGCGAAGAATGGCAGCCATGCAGCGATGAATAAGACTGTTATAAGCGCAACGGTGATGGCGACTTTTTTCTCCCCTTGATAATATCGCTTCAAACTTCCATCGCTTTGCTTTGTCGTAGTATGAGATGGGTTACGTTGTTGGAGAGATCGCGCAACTGAAAACACTCCAATGTACATGCGCGCGATGATGGCGGTGGGTACGACTAAGCCGCACATAAGCAAAACCAGAGAGTAGCATTGACTACTCCAGCTGTTTTCCAGAAGAGTAAAGTTAGATAACAGTGCGAGAAAGCAGGCGGCAGACCAGGCTGTCGTTATTAATACCCGCTGAAAGAGAGACGGCAAGCGTTTGTAATAAAACGGCCGCGAAACTGCGATGTAACGTTCCATGCTTATTGCCGTCAGGTGAAAAATAGATGCGAGAGCAGAAAAGACGTCAAAACTTTTGAAAACGGCGTTGAAAGCGATAGAAACGTTCCACGGCTCCGATGTGATCCCATAAATGCACATAGGTAGAGATATGCTGCCAACCAGAAAATCCGAGACGGCTAAACTAACCAGAAATGCCTTTGTCCGAGTTTTCAGCCTTCTGTTAATCTTGTAGGAGGCAATGACTAGAGAATTGCCAAATAATATGGCAACGATAAGAATGATTGAAGGAGCGGCAATCACATGGAAAGAAGTCATCCCGACCTGCTTTACTTGACTTGTGTTCTTGCTAACGGTGTCGGTTGAGGCCGAAGTCATTTGCATTGCCTTGATGTGCAGATAACACTCATTCAACACCTCTAACAAAGCACAACAGTTAAAGTTAAAATGACAGCTAACAACCTAACTGGATACAGCTCCGTTAACAGTTCTGATGTCGAATCAGAGAAGATAGGGAACTGTACCGAAACTCGGCTGGAAGAAAAAAAAACCGGCCGGCTAATGGAGATGTTTTCAATAGCTTATAAAACAAAGAGGCTGACAGTAAAACACATTCACCTGCTTCAGTAGTGTAGCGTAAATACATTTTCTGCCATTTATATTTGTTTTACGTCCGATTTCTGGTTTGACGACACAACCGCAGGATATGAATCTTTTTAACTGATGTCGTAAAGAATACACAATTGCCATTCGAATATGACCCAAGTTTAGCATCTAGACACATCTTCATTTGAAAGTCGGAAATTGGAAGTAGATCTCTTTATTTTCTGTTTAATGAATACATTGTGGCATCAAGATGGCGTTTAATTCTAGGTCGGACTTTTGTTGTGTGTATTGTTTCACGCTAAAGAGGTGAATATATTATATTTTTAATTTCGGTTGGATTAAACGTTACACTTCTTTAAGACAGTTATGCTATTATAAAAAAATATTGATTCAGAAAGGGCTGTAAGAACCAATATATTGATTCTATTGATCAATTTATTTAGTCCGCAAAATAAGAACATTTCAGAATCGGTGTTGAAAGGAATCGACAAGCTATTGTACATGTAGGAGATGATAACTGCATTTTTTAATTCAAACTATTATTATTAAGCCTTTTTCCAGTTTTTTTAGTCTATTAATTTACAGAGCGCATTATGTCATGGTAATTGAAATGTCACCAAGAGATCTGAAACGACGGATATCAACTACCCTGCACAGGAATGACGTAATCGTTTCGTCAAAGAAAAGATGGCTGCCATTTACTGTGTGTTTATCGCAGAGAAGGAGTTTTCAGCACAAAAAGCTAAAAAAACTTCCCTTTGGCAGAACTGAATTAAGCCATGATTGACAAACTCTACCGTTTTATCAGACACTTGTTTACTTAGTGTTGTAGCAAAAACAACATGCTTAAAAAAAAATTATAAACTGCATAAAACATGCTCTGTTGAGTGGAGCCTGCATGTAGAGTAGATGTCTCAGCTGAGTTGAAACTTGTTAATTTGACCGGAGCGGTTAATAATTCATACTGTTTCATGTGCAAATAGGCCTTGCTTACGAAAAACGGAATCGTCAGCACACCTTTTAAAGTTTCAGTAATTTCACGGCTTTTAGCTAAACACCGGACCATTTCTACACTTTTGTTAGTCGGATCTTAAATATTGAACTTTTATAAAAACTGTTAAAAACCTCTTATACAGCCAACAATATTAAAATACAATTTTGGTCAATTCTCAGCTGGGCTGTTCCAGTTCATTTCGGTAAGTAGGGACTAACGAAAGAAAAACGAGCGAAAGAAAGAGACGGACGAGGACTCTTTTTTGCGCTTTTCAACTTGCTAAAATTCTCTCCCCTTATCCCAACTAACTGAGAGCCTAAAAAGGCTAATTTTGAGCTATCGTTAAATCCCATCCAGAATTCATTGTAGAGTAAATAACATTCAGACTGATGGGAAACTCGGTCCACAGGCAACAAGAAAGATAGTTTGGCTGCCAGCAGAATAGTTCAAGAAAACACGTAGTTCCTTAGACTAATGGGAAGCACAACTTGGCCGCGAAAGTAATCTTCTATAAACAGGTCAATAGTTTTCATAACATGAAACTTGAAATGAACAATGTCGTGTTCCTTATAATAAGCCACATCAGGACCCCCGGTACCTTCTGGGTAGGACCTCGTGAAGGGGTACACATCAAGGACCTCTAACCCAGTACGGCACATTAGGGACGTCGCGTAGGAGTTGTAGAGATTCACCCGCTGAAAGAGAACAACCTGTTAGTGATTTCAATGAATCTTCGTCGATCGCCAAGTGTTTGCTCGCGCGCATGATTGTCGCGTGTCAGAAAGAGTTAACATGCAACAAACGTATACAATACCATTAAAATAAACATAATTTATATGCAATGGAAACTACTAGACGTCGACTTACATGTAGATGCCTTTTCGTTTGTTAGTAATATGGTGTGGGGAACCGGGAGGGTAAGAATAAACCAGTTTGTTTGGTTTAGTTTATAGATATTTGTAAAGGAAGAAAATTACAAATATACATCAGCACAGCCCGCTGACAGGAGATGAAAACAGGACAGGAGCCCCAACTGACTTTCAACCCCTACAATGTTTAAAACTTTGAGACGAACATACTAAAATCGGACGAAAAAACGTATATAAAGGAAAAAAGGGCGTGCGCAGAAAGAGTGTGATTCAGGTGTAACTATGGCGACCGATAGAAACTTAGCCTGGTCTTATGGTAAGTATGTAGAACGCTTTTAAACTGTTGAGCACAAGTAGCATGCTTAATAGAATGAGGGGGATTATTCCAAACCGTAACGGTCCTGGGTAAGTACGAGAGCTAGCGGTCAGGGCGTGACTTGCACTCCAGCTCCCGGATTACAAATCCAGCCGTTATGCTGCCTTCTTTTGCGCATCGGTTGTGTCAGAATCACATCAATATTTTTCCAGATACATTTAAAATCACTCTACTCTACTCACTGACTCTGATTACAATAATAATTTCCGCAGAAAAAAATTACTTAATGTGGTAGTCGTTATAGATGTTGTACTTGACTTTAAGGTATTTTTACTCACCGGCAATGTTAAAAATCTTCGGCGATCGCTCTTCAGCTGACCGCCAGTGTCCTTTTCCTTGCTTAAAGAAGTGCTGGTTTTCCATATTACTCGTGATTTGTGCCTCAGTTCACCAGTCGTGCTGTCCCTTTCGTTCAGTAAATCAACAACTTTGTCCAAGAGGTTTTGGTAATCCTTTAGACTAATGCTCTCCATGTAATGTAATCCTAGATTTAAAATCAATATGCTATTCTCGTTCATCTCCGGCCTCTCCAGTACTTTTCTTAGATCGTTAAGGATTAATTTGTCATCGTAGTCTTTGTTGTCCCAGGGTGGAACCTGGCTGGTGTAAGGATAAACCCACATTTTACTTATGTTGCAAGATTTGAAGATCTTTGTGCACAGCGGTCCACCCTCTATTGACAGGTGCAGTCTCTCAGCCTGTGAATCCCCGTATATCCACAAGGTGTCCAGCTTGCGAGGGGTAACTGATTTCTTGGCCGATGGACGATTTGATGGTTCTTTTAAAAAAATAAAACAACAGTCCATATAAACATTAATAAAGGCTAAGCTTGAAATAAAGAAGGTAGCTGGTATTTGAAAATTTGGTTAGGTGACCCTTTTCTTTATTGCAAGGTCTAAAAGAACGACGGGATGTGTTCATTCTTATAGATGTTTGGGTGCGGAGCCTTATTTCAAAATCAGCAGATCTACGAATTAAATTGGTAAAAGTGAGACAATGGTTAAATTAGCATTAAAAACTTTTATATACGAGACCGACAGTTAAAAAGAAATTTACCTGTAAGATAAGGTTTCCAGTTTTTTCCAAGCCAACGACCAAAGCCGTCCCACATGAATTTGCATTTAATACCACAGGTCAAGTCAAATTTGGAAGCGACACATGAACTGTCAGGCAATCGATTTATTAGAAATGCTCCTGGTGAGGAAAGAGGAAGCCACAGGTTTACCAGCCTTGTAGTGTTTGTGCTGGAAACTGTGCTTTTATGTGTTTGAAATAGTATAAAATATGACTCTGAGTAAAATAAGTTTGTGTCTACCGTTATCGTGATCGTTAAATCAACAAAATAAAGACGTGACAAAGTTAGGCACGTTACTGATTCATATGTGTGACGATGATGATAAAAAATATGATGATTATGATGATGATGATGGTGATGGTGGTAGGAGTGGTGGGAGGGAGCTTAAGCAAAGATATCGGCGACGTCAACATGCGTGGCAAAAAAGTAAAGGTTTAGATTGGCAAAACAACAACTCTGCACGTGCATCACGCTTTTTTGTGCATTTCTTTGCGGTAACTGCATGACTACGACGTGAAAATACCTAACTTCACGTTTTGTCGAGGACGTGAACACCAGACGACGACTTTCTTTTTATTTTCCTGAACTTTGATACAGTCTTCTAGAATTCAACTCCAGAGAAAATTGCCAACATTTGATGAATTAAACGAGATGGAATAAGTGCGATAAAGTTTGAAGCAGCGCGGCTTTACTTTTTGAGTGACGTTTTCGTAGCCATCGCCGTCGTTGTTGCTTAAGCTCCCTAATGTTGATGATGATGGTGGTGGTGGTGGTGGTGGTGGTGATGCTGCTACTGCTGCTGATGATGATGGTGGTGGTGGTGGTAGTGGTGGTGACCGGGTGATGATGATGATGATGATGATCTTGACGATAGTGATGAAAGCTGACGATCAAGATGATGATGCTTAAAGGAGCTGTTTCACGAAATTCAGCCAAATTAGGAATTTATAAAATGCCCACTACATAAAGAGAAACATAAAAATAACCGCTTAAAACTTTAAAGGAAGGTTAAAATAACATAACAGAAACAACAGATGCCACGGATGGGCAAAACTGAAGAAGATTGAAACGGATTGAAATTAGGGTTTTTGAAAACTGATCAGCCTTACAGTTTTTCAAAGTTGATCCCTGCTGCTTTCAACTTAAAAAATAATGCTCAGGAGACATATTTGTTTGTCACGGATCTCTGATTTCGTCATTTGCGTGTAATTTCTTTGCTTACGTTAAGTTTCATAGCGATTGAGAGCGAGTAATTGGCAAAATTAAACAAAATGAACTGGACTGCTGTGACACAGCCCCTTTAACATCCACTAAAACGTGCCACAGTCCCATTATTTTCATCTGTCAAATTGGCAATGAGAAGTCTCACAATTTGAAACTTCAACTCAATATAACCAAATAAAACCACCCGAAAAAAATCGATATTCGTTTCTATTAGTTCTCTATCTTACCTCCATTCGTAGGCATCGGTATATTGATTATAATCAATTTTCCTTTCTGGAAGGGTTGAAGAAGGTAATCATTTTTTGCGCGATTTTGACCAAGAGTCCCATCTTTTTGCATTTTTCCTTGAGAATTCCCTGTTAAAAACGACATGATCTCCATGATTCAAAAATACGTGGATGTACAAAAGTTGTAGTAGACGGGATAAAACATACGACTCAGTGATGCTAAGGTGAGGCAAGTGCTGAACAGATGAGTTGGCTGGATATTGAAGTAAACAAAGATGCGTTGAATTTTTTTTAAGGCCAGAAGCCACAAAAAAAGCTACAGCATGGGTAAATTAGATCACCTTTTCGGAACGGTATTTCTACCACATTAAGGGCAAAATGGAATTCAGGTTTTGCAAAACAATTCGACTGTTTTAAGCGCAGTTAATTGGGCAAATGCCATGTAACTCAATGCTTTAATTCACTTCATGTACTGATTCGCTCACCCGATTTAGTTACTTTGTTACGATATATGATGTTTGTCAACATTAGTGTAGCTATGCATACTATAAATAATCTTTCTCTATAACAAATTATTTTTAGGTTTTTTCTTATCCCTAACCTCCCGTCTCGACTACTCAACTACTCACCTACAATAAACCAATTTTTCGGTGGATCCCGGTATCCATCACACAAGCTATAATCCAGGGTGATATCCAATTTATAGACACCTGGGTCCATAATCAAAAACAAAAATTCGTATGTACCATTGCCGTGATCAAACACGGTGGGTGACACAGTGGCGGGTCCGCGTAATAAAACACGCCACGAGTCACCGCCAATAAGCTTCAGTTCGCCATTTTGAGTTTTAGTCTGAATAGTAAAACGGCTAAATTGACCGGCCGGTCTGATATCAAATAATGAAATAAAGCTCTGGCTAGCGTCTGTTTGTAGCAAACGATTCGGTGATTCTCCATTCCATGAAATGTTATAATTGCAGGGTTTTAAAAACGAATTCAAGTCAATTCTCGCACGTTGCATGCGACACCAATTTTGCTGGAAGGCGACAATATCCTGAGAAATTCTCATCTGATGCCCATGTTTTTGCGAGTTTGCGTCGTTGTTGACATATTGATAATAAACTAAATGAGCTGCCACAGTTGAAAACCATAGCTTTAAAAACAACTTCCACTTTTGGAGCAAGATTTGAATCATTTGCGGCAGTTATCTCTCTGATTAGGTTCGCGATTATGGGTCAATCGATAGCATGAAAAAGAAATATTAATAAAGAGTCCATCACCATAGCAACCCCACCCATTTACTCGGCATGTTATTTTGTGACGAGGGTGCCATATTTTTTCTAATTTTCGCGTTCTTTGTGGTCGTCAAACCTCTTTTTAAACATTTTTTTTTCGCTCACCATTCTAATTTTTAACAATTATTCGTCTGAGTCAATAGACCAAGAGAGCGAGAGGGATAATTTTTTTAGTAAAACAAAATATCGAGACAAAACAATTTTAGCTAGCAAAAGGCGATTGAGCCGCCATTGTTTTGGTTTTCAAAGCCGGCGCTTTTCGCTACTAGTGGGCTATAACATACAGCCTAGTAGTAGCTCAACCAGTCAGAACGCAGGATTGACAATAGACCACTAGTTGGATTTTACTAAAACCTGCTAGTCATGAGAAACATAGACTGAGCTCAAGATTGTTACATACGTCAAAGAAAAGAGACGGTAGTGGCAAGAACGTTTTGTAACGACAACGTACTCAGGTTATTGCTGTATTATAATCATTTCTTTACACCACAACTGACAAGTGAATGAATGGTTCTGGTACGTTTTCGCCACTGTTATCAGTGACATATTAGGAGGTTTCCACAAGTATCCCTTAAACAATTTAAGCCGAGTTCTCTCAGTTATAAGCTTGTTATTCCACTGGATCTCAGATCTCAGTTTGAAAAAAAAACACTTCATTTCTCCGCTGCCGGTTAAAAAAGGACAAGTCACAGCTATCAGGGAGTACTAATCATAATAATTTTTATACTGGTGATTTTTGCGGGCATAGCGGTAAATCTTGAAAAAGTTGGCCCAACGTTTTCAATTTTCAATCCATGTCCATCCTTGCCATCTTTTGTGACAGACGATAGGAAACAGTTTCAATGCCTAAAGATAGCCTTAAATAACAAAACTGGACCGTTATTTTTGAAATTCAATTTCAATTAAAGCGAAGGCAAGTTTTAGTTTTTTAAAAGACAGCAAATAGCGTGACATAGCCCCTTTAACTGGTGTGATTTGGCAAGTGTTATCCATGTGATGGTGACTCACAATGGGAAATTGAACTGAACGGATGATTGTTGGCTTCACACTAGAGCTTCAAGTATAATGTAAGTGTACTTGGAACCTACTTTGAGTGTGAAGCGGTAAAATGTACCTAATTCAACTTTACTTGGTGACCATGGAAACGTTCGTATTTTAAAGAGGTCGCAGTTCGCCGCCAAGTATGGTCTACATCACAGATGAAAACAACTTCTATCGGCCACGGAATTGTTGTCAAATGGAGTATGGTTCTTCAAAAAAAAATAATATGGACCCCTCTTCCCATTCTACAAACATCATTGTCTTTGTTGTGTTTCCTCCAGATGACCCAGCATTGTTTGAGGGGGGAGGGAAGGCTTGCCTTTCTTAAATGAAGCATGCAGAGCGCCGTCAAAACGCGAATAATATCATTGAGGACAAAGTGTTTAAGCTTACATGAACACAAAATCTCTCAGCCTCGACAGAACCTCACCAGCGTTCTGCAACATTAACTGAAACTTACATTCATTGAACAAGGTGTGCTTTTATTTACACTTTACCAATGAAAATAGACAAATTAAGAAAAGTGGTAATTTTCAAGGTTTATAGGAGAAGGCACTTTTTCCGTAAAATAATCTTCTAAAAATAGGTGAACCGGTTTCATAACATAGTATTTAAAATGTACTGTGTCGTGCTCCTTATAATGTGCTACGTCAGGACCCCCGGTACCCCCTGGGAAGGATCTCGTAAGTGGATACACATCAAGGACCTCTAGACCAGCCTGGCACATAAGGGACGTTGCGAAAGCATTATATAGACGCACTCGCTGAAAAGAAACAAATATGACTGCATCAGACATGAGAGGTTGTTCCTCTCGGGTATTAAAAGTTTATGGCTTGTTTTCTGGTCATTCAATCCAATTAGAAGTAGCAAAGAGGCTAGCAGAAAAAACAAAGGACCTTCTTTTACAGCGTTTTACGGAGTCAAACTAAAGAGACAATGTTTTATGAACCAATATAGTATAATCCCAGGGCCGTAGTTAGTTTTTTTTGTAACGGGGGCGGGGGGCATTATCGCGAGTGCCGAAGGTACGAGCCTTGTAGGGGGGTCTGGGAGTATCCTCTCCCAGAAAAGTTTCAAATTTGGAGGCTCCGAAACGCTTTTTGAGCACTTGTCATGAGATATGTCTCCGAAAAAATCGACTTCGAATATGAAAATGGAAAACAATTGCAAGTCACTACAATCAAAATAACTGAGTCTAAAGAAAGCAAATCCATCCACAGACTTGATTTGTCTGGCTCAATGAGAGGTCTTCACAGCAGTGAGGATGGAATATCGTACGAAGCTAACAGTAAACCCAAATCCGCCAATGTGGTATACCCAATTCCACAATGCAAATGAAGCCCTAAGACCTTGGGGTAACTCTTTGTCAAGCTTCACCACCTGCCCCAGTATATACCCCAGGGATTGCGAGGTTACTTACCGGTAAATTAAGAAATCTTTGCCAGTCAGCCTTCAGCCGGCTTCCTATGTCTTTCTCTTTGTTCATAGATGTGGTAGTCTTCCAAATCACGTGAGTCTTGTACTTCATCTCTCCAGTCTCTGCGTTTCTCTCGTTCAGAAGATTTAAAACTCCATTTAGAAGGATCTTATAATTGGTGAAGCTTGTACTCTCGATGTAGTGAAGTCCTAAATTTAAGATCATGGCGCTCTTTTTACTATTCATTTCTGGCCGTTCCAGGACTCCTCGTATATGATCAAGGATTTGTTGGGGTTCAAAGTCTTTGTTATCCCAGGCCACTGGCTGAACACTTGGCCATGGGTAGACCCACATTTTGCTCAAATTACAAGACTTGAAGACCTTTGTGCATAGCAATAAATCTTTTATCGACACATGCATTCTTTCAGCGTTCGAGTCGCCAAAAATCCACAAGGTTTCTAGCTTGGAAACATTCATAAGTGTACCTCTGGTCATTGAAGTTGGCAGCTCTGCAAAGAAGTTGTAGGTCCATCTTATTGAAGTGAATCAAATACTAACCTAACGAAGGTAATAATAATAATAATGATAATAATAATAATGATGATGATGATGATGATGATGATGATGATGATGATAATGCCTGAAGACATGACATTGTTGTTGTTGAGAAAGAGAGTAACAAGGCAATTATTGCTGATATTGCTTCACCATGGGATCACAGAGTTTACGAAAAGCAGAGTGAAAAGGTTGAGAAATACCAAGATCTGAAGAAGGAGATTAGAAAATTATGGGGTATTAGACGTGTGAAGGTGGTACTGGTAGTGGTTGGTGCACTCGGTGCAGTAAGCAAAAGATTGGATACATGGCTTGACAAGCTGGGGATTACCATTAATACGGGTTTGCAGCAGAAAACGGCTTTGTTGGGAATTGAGAAAAGATTTTAAGGGAGGTACTGAAAAGTTGAAGGGAGGAGAACTAACCCAAGGGACCTTTGGCCATTAGCCATGGCTCGCTCTCTTGGTGTAACGTCGGTACAACATCCACCCGTGCTAAAGCATTTCGATAATAATAATAACACATGAATACATACTTATTACGATTATTAATCCTCAGCGGTTTTTCAGGGATAATGAAAAAAAAAGATAGCACTTTTGAACAAACCATACAACTATAATTAAGCTTACGTCTGAGAAAAGATTTCCAATTTCTTCCCAACCAACGACCGAAGCCATCCCACATGAAGTTGCACTTGATTCTGCAGGACAAGTCAAAACTGGATAAAGGATCTGAACTTTCCAATAGCCTGTTCATTAAATACGTTCCTATGGAAATGGATAGAACACGCTGTCAACAGTTTGAAATCAATACTACATGTATTACTTGTTTTCTACTACTACATGAGAAATTTCTCCAATTTGATTAGCTTAGAGCTGTGGTATTTCAGCTCAAATTGAAATACCTACATGTGAAAATTACAAACCTTTTGCGGGTAGTATTATAAACAAATAATAGCATGATTTGTACGTGATATTTGGCATAAATACCACGAGTGAAATTTCAAAATTGTCTCAAATTTAACTCGCCTAAAGGCTCGTGAAATTACCTACCGTATAACAATTTCAAAATATCACTCGTGGTATTTATGCCAAATATCACTACAAGTCATGCTATTACCTATACTAATGACTAAAAAAAGGGTATGCTTGAAACACCAGTGATATATACGAGTTATTAGGGAGCTTAAGTAACGACGACGGTAACGGCAGCAAAAAACGTCACCCAGGAAGAGAATTCGCGCTGTTACAAACTTCATCGCTCTTATTCCAACTCCTTTAATTTGCCAAATGTTGGCGATTTTTCTGGAGTTGAATTCTAAAGTACTGTATCTAAGTTCACAAAAACAAAGACAAAATCGTTGTCTTGTGTTCACGTCCTCCAAAACACGTGAAATTAGGAAGTTTCACGTCGTATATCGTGCAGTGACGGAAAGAAATATACACAAGAGCGTGATGCACGTGCAAAGTTGTTGTTCAGTGCCAATCTCAACCTTCTCAACCTATTGCTTATTTTTTTGCCGTTCTCGTTGACGTCATCGTCGTCGTTGCGGCTTAAGCACCGGCCTGTTATTTATGATTGAGATGCGAGTGAGTTATGGTGTTCGTTAAGATTCCAGTTAGCTGTAAGTTATTTCTTGGAAAACTACCCTAGGTTAAGGAGGTGTATGAGTGCGCTATGAAAGTGCTACGAGTAAGGAAAAAACTGAAAGGAGTTAGATAATGTAAGAGTGAGCTAAGAGCAGGTCTCGGGTGAACTGCAAATAAGGCCAGGCAGCTGCAAAGTAACAGCGTGCTACGAGTAAGGTACGGGTCAACTACGAATGAGACATGAGACAGCTACGACGAGTTACAATTTAAGAATTCATGAGGAAGACTCCAACGCGAGAATTACGATTTCAGTTATAACTGAGACAAACAAGCAAATTATAAACGAGGGAGGAAAAGCGAGTTGAGTACGAGAACTAGCATTCTTGAAATGCGTTCGGTAGGAGTGATGTTCGATTCTAGGACGCGGGTGAAGTTCGATTAAAGCAGTAAATGAAAGGGAGGTTTATTCTTTTGCAGATCACATTACACATTGGTCAGGGGCACAAGCCATTGTTAATATTATCTACGGTCAACTCTTTCTAATAAGGACACCTTTAGGACCGTCACTAAAGAGATGTTCGTCTTACCGAGAGTCAACTTATCTTATAGAGGTGTCCGTTAAGAGGTAGCTGACTGAGTGGTAACTTAAAGTCAAATATCAAAAAGGAGTATCACCTTCATTTGTAGGCATCGGTATATTGATCATAATCAGTTTCCCTTTCTGGAATGGTTGAAGGAGGTAGTCATCCCTAGCACGATTCACGCCAAGAAAGCCATTTCTTTGTAATTTACCATGAGAATTCCCTGGCAGTAAGAAAAACAGGTTTTATGTTCAGGTTACCAATCATAAAAGACAGCATCTCTTGTTTGATTTTCTTCGTGCGCTGGGATACTCAATATCTACTACTAGTTCAATAATCTCTGGATAACACAATTAGATTGTTAAGGCGCAATCCATGATTTTTAGTTCAGTAAACGAAGATTTGTGCAAGGGGTACTGAAATGGAGGTAATCGAAAGTCTCCTCACATTGAGCTTATAATGCATTGAACATTTATCACCCTAAAAATGTGGACTTCCCTATTTTCACCTTGAAATTCTATAAGCCATCGATAAGGCTAAACTTCCTTACCGCCAAAAGTCCCGCAAAAGAAGACATAGTGGAAGCAGGGCGTGTGGCCGAGCGGTTAGAGCGCTGGACTTGTAAGTTCAAGTCCCACCCTGACCGCTAGCTAGATTTGTTCTCTGTAATCCCGAGTTCAAATCCTCGGCCACGCTTGTAAAATAATCCGCCTTTGTCTCCTCCCAGATGGGATTCTTGACTATGTTACGATTCATTTTCAATTGTTTGTTTCCTTATCCCTGAGATTCTAATTTGATTTAAGACAACTCTTTTAAAAAACACGATTTTACCAGGCCATATTCATAATGTGCACAACGTCAGTATACGCTGACCTAAAAGATTGGATCGACACTACTTTGCAACCGTGTGTGGATGTTTTAAAAGTTCTCAGCATTTAAGCAGTTAACATATTGTGTGAACTAAAACACTTCGTTACAATCATTACTTACCTACGATAAACCAATCGTCAGGAGGATCTCGGTATCCATCACACAAGCTGTAATCCAGGGTGATATCCAACTTATAGACACCTGGATCCATAACAAGAAACAAAAACTCGTATGTACCATTGCCGTGATCAAAAACGGTGGGCGACACTGTGGCGGGTCCGCGTAATAGAACACGCCACGAATCGCCCCCAGCAAGCTTTAGTTTGCCATTTCGAGCTTTGGTTTGAATACTGAAACGACTAAATTGACCGGCGGGTCGAACGTCAAAAAATGAAATAAAACTTTGGCTAGCGTCCGTTTGAAGAAGGCGATTCGGCGAGTCTCCATTCCACGAAATGTTATAATTACAAGGCTTTAATAAAGAGTGTAAATCTATCCTTGCTTGACGAATTCGGCACCAATTCTGCTTGAACTCCTCGATATTTTGCAACATTTTCACGGTGTATTTATTTTCTGCCAAGAACGCTTCTCTGCTGAAATGCTCAAAATAAAGGGCATAGATAGCAACCAAGCAAAGCCATAACTTTAGTGTTTTCCACTTTTTTGTGAAAACTACTTCCATTTGGCTTCTTTTGGACGGTAAATAATCTCAAATAAAAATCACTCTTGACATTGCCAGGAGCAACGCCTCTGATCCAAAAAGAATTTATGCAAAGAGGATTGTTTCAAAACGATAAACTTTGACCTAGTGTATAGTATTTAGATTAAAAGAACTTCTTCACTAACTATATTTTTATGATAATATAATACTTACTTGACAATAATGACTTTAAATGCGCAATTTTTAAAGTCGGTGAATAACTTTTTCAATCTAGGTTACGCTACAAAAGACGCAATAATGTCCTCTCTGGGACAAAAAAGAGTTATTTCTCAGCAACAATTTTATCAAGCACAAAAGATATATTGCGTGAGGTTAAGTCTTTTCAAGCACTGCATTTACTCGCTAGAAATTGAATTTACCTAGGTTGACTTGAAACAACTTACAAGTTTACAAATTTTGAGATCTAAGCTACAAACTAAAGACGCGTACACAACCTGCAAATAACAACGATTCGAGGCGGGTAATGTAAATACAGTTAACTAGATTAGTAAATGTAAAAATTTAGAGGAAATCTAGGCAAAAAAAATAATAAAACAGTAGAGCACAATCGATGAGAATAATTGAGCCTGTTGTTACACAATAAAGGCTAGTTCTAAGAGATGCAATTTTCTTGGACAAAGACTCATGAGTCAAAAACACGTGGCTATCTTGGTCCGCTCATCGATACCGCTGACGAGCCTAAATTGATTTTGTCTCTCTTCAAGAACTTCAAATGAACGTTTTTAAAGTTCTGTAGGGAAGTAGGACTATTTCTATTGTCTTTTCTGTAGTTGCAATATCACTGAACGAACTATAGAGGTTGAACATTTTGGTGTTGGAACAAAAACACTTGAGCATTTACAGTAGTACGTCTTACATACGAACCACTGCAGCCAGAGAATTTTGGGTTTGAGTGACTTGAAGCATTTCACGTTAAGAGCCATACAAATGAAACTGCTTACAGGTGCTCTCCATCAAAACACCCGTTTCCAATGAGGATGAGTATTAAATTACTACTTTCGTAATTCAGACCGGAATTTGGTGATAATTTTCCAGCATCGTATCCCTCAATGACTTGACAAGGCTTACAAAGTTCAAAATAGGAAGCTTTTAGGTTTGAAGACAAATAACATTCATCGCGACATGAATTCGACGGCAAAATGTGATCGCCGAAGCCCGCCTTGTTCACTTCCACGGATCCTAATAAGTTTCATAAAGCTGCATCGCATTTCTTTATCTCTAAACGCATATACCAATGGATTTACACCACTGTTTGTATAATGCATCCATTTTGCAAAAGTCACCAGCGTGTTTTGAGCATCTCCTTCTGGAAAACAATGCATACAAAATTGCCCAAGCATGGACATGACAAAGAAAGGTAACCAGGCCAACAGAAATAGAATGGTAACAACGCTCACTGTCAAGGCTACCTTGCGCTCCTCGCGTACCCGATTTCGTATCGATTCCTCCGTTCGGGTATTGGGGGTTCTGTCGATAAGGGCTCGCGCTGTTCTGAAGATTCTTACGTACACGGTCAGCATTAAAACTGCCTGTAATAGGAACCCGAATGTAAACACGATGACAGTGCTGACGGCAGTGAAAGCAAACAACTTAGAAAATACGGACAATATCGTCATTGCACCAGCTGTGATCCAGGCTGAGATCACCATGTATTTGTAGAAGCGAAACGACCGCATCCCGTGGTCGAAAGGTCTTGAGATTGCCATGTATCGTTCAAGCGAGATGGCAGTTAAATGGAAAATGGACGCCAAAGCGCTAAACCGGTCAAAGTTTATGAAGAACTCAAAGAAACCGTCCAGATCTTGCTCGTAGTTAACGAACGTAAGATATGTCCATATCGGCACGGAAATACCACCGACGAGTAAGTCCGACACGGCTAGACTCACAATAAAGACATTGGTGCGAGTTTGAAGGCGGGTGTTCTTTCGATATGCAGCGATAACAAGCGAGTTTCCTGTTATGATTAATACCGCAAGCATGGAAGACAGAACAAGGAAAACGTACGCTGATTGTCTGGACGGTACAGGCAATGAAGTTAAGTTCATGTTGGAGGTGCTATCCGCCTTGGAGAAATTATTGACGAATAGTATCATGAAGCTACGTTAAATATCACTCTGCGGCGCTTGTTCAATTCTCTTTGGCAAAGCTCTCATTTCCGCAGTCTTTCAAGGGGATTTCAAGTACTTTTAATCAAATCTCGGTCAAATAAAAGAAAATCTCATCTCTTGTCATATCTTTTTCTGAAAGAAAATCATTCGCCCATCCCGGTATGTTATCTGTTAGACTTGAAGAGACGCGGGAATGAAAATTTTTCCTCATGCAGTGGTTAGCTTGATGAGTAAACAGCTCATTGATACTCTGTTCCTCAAGGATTCTATTCGTTTTCATTAAATTTCCACACACTTTATGCAAACGTTCGCTACTTTCTAGTTCTGTTGACGATGCCCAATACCGCGTCTTTCACTTAGGATTTTCTGCTTTGACCTTTTCGAATTTTCAGTCTTCCAAGTGACCTCCTTTATAAGATGTGCAGCACGTGAACTGAATGTAAAACAATAATTTGCCTCAAAAAGAAAATTGTTGAATAGAAAACAGGAAACAAATCTTGACACATTTGCTAAGTACTCATCACGAGGTTTTTGTTATGATTATTATTGCGTTTTTTTATTACCAAAATTTATAATCAAACTAAATTATTATCTCCAGTTGGCGATGCCATCTGCAATCTTTTATGATCTCTTCTTATAAATCTTTTATTCTTTACTTGTCAGGAAAAGCTTTTACTTGCGAAGAGATTCATATTTCTCTCAATAGACTCGAGTCATATTGCTTTCAAATAGACTCGATAATGCCAATCAAATCCGGCTAGTCTTTCAAAACTTTTACTTCATTATATTTAGTTTCGGGCAGTTAATACTTGCGTCTATCATTTGCCTGCCATTAACAGACAATTTTCAATGCTTTTATTACGCGGGATTATCGCAGATGTGATATTACTCGTAGTGGGTTTTATTAACTATTCCAACACCAACTGCTCCTTGTCCAATTCAGCGAACAGATGTATTTCCGCGAAGGTCTTTTTTTGTTTTTATAGATGATTATTTTCGAAAATGGCTAAACAGCAGAATATACGACTCTTAGTTTTAGGAAGGTTTCCGTACGAGATTGGCCAAAATTTCTAAAACATCCTAACAAGGAAACTACGTGGGTAAGGGGGTGGGGGGGAAAGTGGTCACACGAGAACTGGTTGTTGTGCCGCAGTAATGGAAAAGAGAAGTAATTCAGTCCCCTTCCCACTCCCCCACTTGACGTTCTTTTCAGCTTTTGTCCACCTCATTGATTTCTGAAAGTCTCCAGTCTTTCTGTGCTCGGCAAAATCGAAGGTGGTGACTCCACTTAGGAATTCGGAGGTACATACTGACGGAGTGCCCCTTTAACAAACTCTGTCTCGCCACTTTTTGTTTACCGCGCAAAGTTCCCTGGCAGCAGAGACCTCGGGAAAAAAGGCCACTGCTCATAAGCAGGCAGGGAAGAAATCCGTGGTCACTATGTCCGAACTCAGTTAAATATCTACATTTCATTTGTACAAAGGTGCCTTTAGCGAAATGAAGACAGAAGTCGCGAGAAGTTGGCCTGCACTAAACGCCTCTACCAAACCGGACGTCAAGAAACATCAAAACGAAACTTTGTGTTAGTTCAAATATCCAGCATTGTCAGGTTATTTTTTCTTGAATATTTTGAAAAAGGAACCGCTGGAGTGAGGGTGCAGCTTCTTACAAGCTTCATGGTCAATTTGTATGTCATGGCTTGAGTAATGGCTTTTGGGTGCACGCCAGAATAAAGATGCTTTTGGCGTGACATGCAACAAAGAACCGGTAGTGCTGTCACGCGGCTCAAATTGTTCCTCGGATTAATGTGTTGCACCATCACAATGCAACATTGACACAATTTCATGATGACCATGAAATAATGACGCTTTCGCGATACTTTTTTTAAAAGTGATATTACATTATCATCAATGTCAAATATAACTCCTCTTCGAACTGTGTGTACGGTCGCGCTTCATGCTCCACTATTAAAATAAATCGCTACATCGGCTGTCTACCTATCCATACGGCCGCCGAGGTGAGTTTGCATTTCTAATTTGTCTCAATGTTAAAGGCCCACCTAGTGTAACCCAACAAATTCTATACCTCGTCCAATGCTTGCTGCAAACGAAATGTTGCAAGGACCATTAAGTAAACTACCGGGTAGCCGGTAATAATGCATTTACCTTCGTAAAAAGATTCTGCTTGTTTGTCTTCTTCAGATTTTAACGATAAGTTAGGTAAGGCCAAAGGCAGAATAGGAGGAAACTATTAGCGACATTTTGACCCACATGGCTCTCAACTAAGGATAATTTGGCACTCGCAGATGTTCTTACACTTAAAAGCCATATAAATTTCTAGGTTTTAATAAGCCGAGCGGATAAGGTAAACCGGCATACCCCACCGTAGTGGGGGGGGGGGGGGGGGGGGGGTGGTTTAAAAAGTTATCGGGGGGGGTTCCGCCCAAAAGCCGACGGACACCAACGGGAGGGGGGGCCTTGCGGATAAAAAATTTATTTCCTTTACTTTTTTTTCTTTTTTTCGAGCGTTTTGTCGGAAAATTGTGGAGAACAACAGGCCACCCCCCCCCCCCCCCCCCCCCCCCCGGGGGGGGGTGGGCTTTTCTTTTCCCCCCCTCCTTTTTTAAAAAAAAAAATTTTTATTGTTTTTTTTTTTAAAAAAAAATTGGGGGGCCAAAAATTTTTTTTTTTAGGGGCAGGTGGGGGAAAAAATGTTTTATAATTTTTTCTTCTTTTTTCCTTGTGTTTCCCCACCTTTTATTTAAAAAAAAAAAAAAAAAAAAAAAAAAAACTTTTTTTTACAATAAAAAGCCAAAAAAATTTCTGGTTTTTAAAGAGCGGGGGGGAAAAGGAAAACCGGAAACCCCCCCGGGGGGGGGGGGGGGGGGGGGAGTGCTGTTTAAAAAGTTATACGAGGAGGTTCCGCCCGAAAGTCGACGGACGTCAACCGGAAGTGTGGCCTTGACGATATAAAATTTGTATTGCTTAGCTTCTTTACTCTTATGGCGACGATTTGACTGCAAATTTGGGCGAAACCAACGCTCAAGAATGTAGAAAAGTCCACTTCGGGTTGACGTGCGTCACTTGAAAACGCCTTTGTTTAAGCTCCCTAATCAATTTAAGGGGCCTTTTGTTAAATACTGTGGAACCTCGATATAACGAAGGGCCGAGGGGTTGGCAAAAATTGTTTTCTATAACGAGGTTTCTTTATATTGAGGTTATTTACTATTACTGGGGTAAAGAAAATCGTCCGTTATACCTAGGTCTTCGTTATATAGAGGTTCGTTATATCAAGCTTCCACTGAAATTACGTAAATGGTATAAAAAATGGTTTGGGGCTGGACATACGAGGGCCTCCCCCTAATAGTTGCCACCCCCCCCCCTTCCCCATCACACTCATGACATATGACATTAACATCCGACGAAACGATTGAAGTGCCCTCTGATCTCGTAATTCAATTAAGTCATGTCTCTTTGCGTATTTCGATTTACGCTTTTTAAAGTCAAGTTTGTCTATTTAAACTTCCTTCTCGTGAATAGAAATAAGGCCCTTATAGCAGGTTAAAAAAAAATATTTAAATTATATGAACCATTTTTTTTTTTAAGTCTTTGAACGAAACTCGAGACTGAAATCAAGTACAGGACGCAGTGATACCCCTCGAATGACCTTGGGAAAAATATCACCAAACTTGTCTCATTTTCTACTGTTTCAAAGTTTACGCGTGAAATTTGTGAAAGGTTTCATCGATGTTCTCTTTATCGATTTCGCATTAACTAATGTCTGACTTTGGTTAAATGTCTACTCGTATATTTTCCCCCCGAGAAAAGCACCAGAACGAGTTTATTCGAGAACTCCGAGGAATTGTAACGCATTTCGAGGTTTCCAAACTAAACCTGAATTTTCCCTATTTTATACGTGTTTTGACTTCTACCTAGGAAGCTTTCATGGTGGATATGGACAAAATTTGTGTAGTTGAACTCCGCTAAAAAGGCCCGCTCTGACCTGGCTCTGAACGCGGGTAAAAAGTAAGTGGGAGTGTGATTGGGTCACGTGGGACGGGAATGGGACAATACCAGTCGATCGGGGGCTGACGAGGAAAAATGCAATAACAATAAACGGAGAAATTTTTGTCTTTGGAAAGAAAGGATTGTAATGCCATTTTAGCAGAAATAACGGTATGCCGATTTTCTCTATCCGGAGTAAGTAGATTATATCGAACGGAATAATGATTTTAGTTTTTGACTGAAATAATGGCATAAGATTTTTTTGCGTTTTTACTGACCACGAATGTGTTTTCGGTCCATTAATTCCTTTCAGCTGTATTGAAACTAATTTGTGCCATAACAAGAGAGGATAATTCTCTCTTGGCCATAATCAGCCAAAGAAACGAATAATGCATCGTAAAGGCATAGGACACCCAAGCTCAGTATTAAAACGTGTATTGATACAACTCTGTGAACTGACTCTCTGTGCTTATCAAACGTCTCGAAAGTTCTCCATGCTGTTATGGAGACTACGTTGGCGATCCATCACAAGAATTCATTTCGGAGTATTTTATACATTTTAAAGTCAGCCATATATAGTAGATACAAGAACAGCCCCTTATGAGTTTCTGGTGGATACTGAAATGGCCATGCAGATATGCCGTTGACGGGCGGGCCATGGCGATAAATATTCGTGTTGTTTGGTTATAAAACACAAAATGGCAGTTTCATATACGAATTATAAAACTTGTGTCCAGGGATAGTTGACCTTCCATTTAATTAAATGATATGAAGGTCTATTGCTTGGCTCAAACGAAAACCTCAGCCAGGCTTCGCTTTAATAACGAGCCGCTGTTGTTAAGCTGTGTACCGAAGTACAGCCAAGCACACCAACTGTTGCGGCGAACTAGGGCAGAATTAGTAGGGTAGAAATAGAGAATGCATTACAATATAGAATTCCCACACCCTTCCGTCACTGTGATCTTGTTACTCCCGATCTTTAAGAACAGTAAACGACAAGCAGTTTTTTAAAGGACATCTTACTCGCCAAGGAAAAAAAATCCCGATTTGGTTCATACGACAATGAGCGCATTGATCAATACCTTAAAAGAAATTTTGACTAGTTTGTTGTTCACTGATTAACTCAATGAACAATACTGCTAAAAAGGTCAATTAAAACGATACGCGATCGTCTTCTTAGACTAAACGAAGTGATATTAAACAAAAGAAATTTTTGTGTTATCACTGAGTTTTCTTCCGTTAACATTGCATGATAAATAAGCGAGTAGGTTAAATCAAGTATTGAAGATGTTGTGGATAGATCTTAACTAGTATTGCGTACTTTGTTTTATTCCTTTTTTCACAAGGTTATAGTGTCAGGACCGGCCCTGTTGATATGACTTCTGCATAGAAATAAAGCTTTACTTGATTGATTGATTGATTGATTGGCGGATTGATTGATTGATTGACTGATTGGTTGACTGACTGACTGACTGACTGTTGGTATCGTTTCTGTTTTATTATTATTATTATTACTTTTCAATCAAGGTGCCAAAGGAGTTATAAACTACCGTCAGCAACTCATAGAAGAATCTTAAGTGAGCCAATCCTGGTCGCTACTCCAGTCCAAGATCCCAGATATCAACCTCTAAGAGCGAGCTAGCTATGGGAGATTCAAAGAATCCGCGAGAGACAGCGGGGTGTATTTCTCTGTTAACTTTTTCCTGGATGAGCAATGTTTTAAAACTGGGAAATCAGCAGCCCCTAGAGGAGAAACACATTTTTCCGCTTGAACCGACTTTTCGGGCAGAGCAGCTGGTTGACGCTCTGGAAAGGGAGTGGCTCGCAGAATACCGGACAGCTGAACAGAACGGAATAAAGCCTCGCCTTTGGAGAGCTATGTTGAGAATTTTTTCGTGCAGGGAGTACATTGTTGTGGCGATCTTGAGAATTTTGTTTTCTTTTGCAATGAACCTTCTCCCTCTGGCACTTTGGTTCTTCTTGAAAAACATTTCTTCAAGCTCCGGAACCACAACTTACACTTCCACTTTGCCCTTTATGTTTTGCATAACCGTGATCTCGCTTGCACGCGCTATGTTCATTAACCACGGTGCATTCAAGGTCGAAATGATGGCTTATAAATTAAAAGTTGCAGTGATTGGGCTGGTTTATAAAAAGGTATTGCAATGACTTTATCTTAGGGTACACCAATTACCACGGACACCTCTCTCAAAAACAGTTTCTAATACAGAATTTCAAATAACACAGTCAACTCGATGGTGCAGCTAACAATCTTTCATGGTCTGGGTAGCTAATGCAGTAAAAATCCGCGACTAAGAACATGCATTTAAACTGCACAGGGTCTACATTCACCTGTAGCTATCTATCTACATGGGAGGGGAGGAAGAGAGGGAATGACCAATGAAAATAATCGATATGGGTATGTGCCTTACTTTGACGATGACTATCTTGAGTGGCAAGAACAAAAACTCGAAAGGCAAAACGACATGGGGCCTTTACGTTTTCTCCCCTTCTCCCCTTCTCCCCTCCCATTATACGCCTGCCAACCAGGTTAGCGAAACGATAACTTTAATTTCCCGACAGTTGATCGGAAGATTTCGGATTAAAGAGGTCAGTTTATATATAAAAACTGGAGGTAAAACTGTCTCATGGCTCAAGTAAAGTAATATGCCTCAAGGGGTTTAAGGCCTGGATCAAAGGTGTGTTCGGAACGTATGAATGATTGGCAATATCTCTAACTAAAGGAATGAATGTACGCGAAGTTAGAAATAAAACTCTTAAATAATTCAAGATAAAATTTGGGCATTTAGAATTATGTTTTCCCTAATAATTTCTTATTGAAGTACAATGGACGGTCATTTCAAACGTAAGTGTTAGAAATATTTGATATGAAGTAGAGAAATGTTATTGCTCCATTTCCTTTCTTAAACCGGCCGCCAATTAGTCAGTAATTTACGATTTTTAGCAAAATGGTCACGTGAAATATCACGTGACTTATTAACACAATATTTTGATTCAGCGCCATAAACTATGCCCACGTTATAGCCAATAAATCATTTTCCATATGTAAACCGCTTAGTCCCAGGCCTTAAACTACTTTGAGGACAATGGGAAAGTCAATATGCTCGATAAGTGTGGCATAAAAGTAGTTGTATCTGAGCTTATTAGAAACCTCTAAATTATGCATAAAATCTTTCTCATCAATTAGTACAGAATTATATACATTGTAAATCAAAGCAATTTTGTTTCTGTCTTTTTTTTAGATTCTTTCACTTAATAGATGTGCCTTAGAAAATAACATTTCTGAAAACACTATCAATCTCGTTTCCAACGATGCCGTGCTTATTGGGGATGTGGGGTATGAAGCTCAAGGTTTCCTGTTTGTTGCCGTGGACATTGTCGTCGCTTTGTTCTTTCTGTGGTATTTGGTCGCCTGGCAAGCCTTAGTGGGAGTTGGTTTCCTCGTCCTTGTTTCTGTTTATGGATCACTTGCAGCATCTAAGTCCGGGAGGATTCGCAAAAAAGTTGCGGCACAGACGGATAAGAGACTGGAGATAATGAAAGAGATTGTTTCTGGAATCCGTGTGGTGAAAATGTACGCTTGGGAGAGGAACTTCAGGGATCTGGTAGCACAAATAAGACGGTTTGTTCATATACATTTCCTGTGCTGTTATTGTTGTCTTTTTTTTTCTTTCTTTTCATGCATAAAGGACAAACTGGTTGCAGGCTCAAGGCTATATCCATCTCCTATAACTTTAACTAGCAACCCTGATGAATTTCCTCAGTTTTGTTCTAAGTATCGTGTGATCAACAAGACAGTACAGCCTAGCTGTACCAGGATCATAGGTTTATATTTTAAGTTCCAATTCCTTACTTCTTTGCAGTAAAAGAAAGGCACAAAAAAAAAATCTTGTCATGGATTTTGTTGGCTTTGTTTTAAGTATAGAAAATATTTTGCAGGAAAGAGATTTCTCTCATTCGGATCCGAGGATTTCTCCTGTCAAGTATCCACGCCCTGTTCTTTACCAGCCATACCGTTACTGGGTTCATCTCAATCTTGGCACTGCTTCTCACGGGACACTCCTTGTCAACATTCCAAGTGTTCACGTTGCTTTCTGTCTTAACTAACATTAAATTCTTCGTAACTGTTAATATTGGGGAAGGTTTACATCGTCTTGCACTCGCAAGAACTGCATGCAATAGAATACAGAGGTTTATCTCAAGGAAGTCCGCATTGGCACCCAATCACTTAGGAAGATACGACAAAGACGAAAAAAATAATTCACAGTTCTTCAGCTTGGAGACCTTAAGACCAGCAAAATCTGTCCATAGTAGTGTACCTAAACCGGACGAAACATCGGAACTCTTTCAGCCACAGGTTGTTCTTGAAGACGTTTCCAGCTTTTGGAACGACTCATCACATCGCTTAGCACTACAAAACGTTTCACTGCAAGCTACCAGTGGGCAACTTGTGGGAATAACTGGACCAGTTGGGAGTGGCAAAACGTCTTTATTGATGACCATCTTAGGAGAACTTCCAAAATCATCTGGTCAGAGCTCTTGCTTTGGCAAAATGGCTTACGTCTCCCAGACACCTTGGGTGTATTCTGGCACCGTGAGAGAGAATATAGTCTTTGGTATACCGTTCATCAAAGAAAAGTACTTCAAAATTGTGGAGGTCTGTGACCTGGCAAAAGATCTATCAAGCTTCCCGAAAGGTGATCTAACTGAGATTGGACAGCGTGGAGTAATCCTGAGTGGTGGTCAGCGTGCACGAGTGAGTCTGGCACGCGCACTTTACTCGGACGCGGACATCTTTTTACTTGATGATCCACTCAGTGCAGTGGATGCCAAGGTCGGCAAACACTTGTTTGACAGGTGCATCAAAGAGTTCTTAGCTGGGCGAATTCGTATTCTGGTCACTCATCACCTACAGTTCCTTCAACATGCAGACAACATTGTTATCCTTCAAAATGGTTCCGTTGAGTACCAAGGTGGCTACTCTCAAATGGACCAGAAGAAGCTAGGGAATGATTTTATTGTACCTCAAGGAAAACAAGAAGAAGGCAAAAATAGTACAATTACAGGTCTCGGTGAGGACAAAAGAGCCAGGAAAGCAAGTTCCGTCGACGAATATCAGGAAAGACTAGATCTTGCAGAAGAGAAAGAAGACAGGATGGTAGGAACTGTCAAGTGGCAGTTGTATTGGAAATACTTTAGGGCTGCCCTTCCAGTCACTTTCATTGTTGCCCTCGTTGTGTTTTTCGCCATTGTCCAAGGTTAGTAAATTCGATTAAGATTCAACTTAGACTTTGAGGACTCACTCTTGCACATTAAATTATTTTTCACACAAGGACATTTACGGACTAGATCAGGCTAAAATAGCAATTGATTTTTTTCAGTTCAGAGACAAATGAGTTTAAGGAAATGTTTGACTGTACTTCACCAGCTGTGAGGCAAAAGTATTCGTGCATCTTTAGTTCTTATCAGAATGTAACAAAATGACTAAATACAGACATTCGAGACTGACTGCATGAGATGTTTTCTTGTAGTTGCGTGGATCGCGCCCTATTGGTGGATTTCATCAATGACAAAGATGTCACAACAAGAACAGAAGAACTACGTCACACTACTGATATATGGATCCATCGTCACGATGTCCTTGCTTCTTACAGTTGTATCCTCCTTTTGCTTCTATCTTGCCGCTTTAAAGGCTTCAGAAAACCTTCACGAGCGGATGACCAAAGCAGTTATTCAGGCACCCGTCCTATTCTTTGACACAAATCCAGTTGGTCGCATCTTAAATCGTTTTTCTAAAGACATTGGCGGTATGGATGACTTTCTGCCACCTCAGTTTCTCTTGGCAGTTCAGTTATGGCTATATTTCTTTAGTGCCACAATTCTTTCAGCAGTCGTAAATGCCTGGTTGTTTATTACTTGTGCTCCGTTAACCCTGCTGTTCATTTATCTTGCAAAATATTACTTGAATTCCTCTCGGGAGATCAGGAGGCTTGAAGCAATAACATGCAGTCCAGTTTACTCTCTTATAGCTGATACCGCAACAGGACTCGAAGTAATTCGCTCGTCAGGGATGGGAAGTGAATTCCTCCAAAAATTTTACAAGTTAGTAGTTACCTTTGTGTTTCTTTCCAACCGTTTATGGGTAGTTTTATACCAGGCAGAATATAACCTAAGTAAAGAACAAATTCGTTTCGAAACGACGATCCTTTTTTCAAGGGTTTGTCCTATTCTCTTCATCATTTTTGTTCAGAACACGAGGGTTTGAAAGAAATTGTTTCAAAGAATCAGTATCTCGCAGCAATGACGAACATGCTGACTTTTAATCGCTTTAAGAGCAGAGGAATGTGGAACAGATTAGCCGATCGAGATTCACGATTATTTGTCATTTTGTCACGCACGACATCACTTGGCAATAACGTTTAAACCGCTGTAAGATTCAGTAAACCATTTGATGAGCCGAAGGTACGTCACGATACCGATCGAGATCATGAGTTTCGAGATCATCAACTTTGACGGGTTCAATGTGTCATGCAAAACCCAGCAAAATCCAACATGTTCAAGGGCAGGGTCACGTGGTTTCAAAGAAGTAGAAATGAAAACGTTCAGTTGCACAAGCCCCTTTAAAACATCTTCGAATTTGGTTGGTCCCGCATTATGGAACGCATATCAAAAACATAATGACTAAAAATATGGGCTCAGAGCAAAGAGTATTGCGGAGCAAGAGATTTCGACGTTTTCCCGACGTTCTCCTCAGCCTAGTTATCAAATTCACTGGTCACGTGATTCTATAGCACCGTGAACAAGTGTAGGTCTGGGCCTCATCGCTTTTGAAAGCTGGCCTTACTTTTTTAGTATTTACGAAGTGCCTCCTTAACCTGGTGTTTGTATTTGTGGACACTAGGCGAACCTTTTTTTTAATACTATTACGCACAGTGTATTCAGAATCAGGTAAATAATCTTTGAGTAAATGAGATTTGTTGGGTGGCAAAGGAAGAACTCTCATCATTATTTGTGTAATCAAATCAGTACAGACCATACAACTATAACTTTTTTTACAGATATCAAGACAAAAACACATCAGCTATGATAATGAGAAGCGCAGCGGGAAACTGGCTTGCTTTACGAGGAGAGCTACTAAGTAATTTTCTTGTGACTTCTGTATCAGCTGGAGCTCTATTTGCCACGCAAAGCCGAGGTGAGTGGCGTTTTTATGAATTGTTTTGCCTCTCCTCAAGGGAAGTGGAGCGGAAGTAGGAAAAAGAAGTTGTTTTCTATACCAAACCACTCCCACCACACACCTTCTAAATTGCTTCCACTCTGCCGAGGGTTATTCTTCCTCATTCTTGAGTATGAGTCTATTTCAGAAAGTTTGTAATGAAGTGTAAAGCGCACCAAGCGCTCTGTAGGCTAATGACGGTATTATAACAATTACATTTTACCATCCAGCTGATAGTTATAGTTCTGCAACCTACTAAGATGAGAAACTTAAAATGCATTTCAACAGTGAACGTAAATTGCAATATATAGCAAACGTTTCAAGGGGAAACTCTCTTTCAGAATATAGAACGATTTTCAGGAGATTTTCCTTTGTGTAGGAATGTTTGAGGTTAAGTGAAAACAACCAATCACACACATTCAATCAGCTTAGGGAAATGAATAAAACTGACTTGTGATGGCACATTCAACACGTAAATAAATAAATCAAATAAATAAATAGATAATGATTTAGAGGTAGCACATCGACAAAGCGGTTCTTCGTCTACCTGATTCCTGGCCGAATTGGAATTCGGAACTGTTGGTTTTTGATGAGAGGGGAAAACCGGAGTACCCGGTGAAAAACCTCTCGGAGCAAAGGAGAGAACCAACAACAAACTCAACCCACATATAGCGTCGACGCCAGGATTTGAACCCAGGCCACATTGGTGGGAAGCGAGCGCTCTCACCATTGCGCCATCCCTTGCTCCCAAGGTCTTTGCCATGTGATTTTCTGTGACCTTTCAATGTACAGCCTTCAAACTAACCGTCAATACCTTGGTTGCAGCGCTGGCAGGCATGTCCCTGACATATGCATTGGACACTCTCGGAACCTCGCAATATGGAATCCTAGTCGCATCAGAGACAGAAAATCTCATGACCTCAGTGGAAAGAGTGTTCACCTACACTAAAATCGATCCAGAGCCTGGGTACCTTACGGACACCCAGCCTCCTGAAGACTGGCCGAAAACAGGCTCCTTGACATTACGTGACCTGTCATTAGCATACTTAAAAGGGGCTCCGAGAATTTTGGACGACATAAACGTTAGCGTCGCTGCTAAGGAGAAAGTTGGTGTGGTAGGTCGCACGGGAGCTGGAAAATCGTCTTTGGTGGCTGCTTTGTTTCGAATGCCAGAGCCTGAAGGCAACGTAAGAATGATAATTGTCTTCTGATTTGTGCGCGCACGCGATCGGTCGCGAGAGACTTGCACGGCAAGAAGGAGAAGACTTTGGACGAGTCAAATTATTTCTATTTTCCACTGTAATATACCATTGCTGTATTGTTATTACTGTACGGATGGCTGTTTTTTTCTCTCTCTTCCTCGGAGACATTATATATAAGACCATTTCGACATCTTGAAGGGGTTTCTTTTGGGTTTCTGTTCGAGGCCACCCCCCGCCCCTTCCCCGCCCCTTGATAATGTAATTCCTTGTTTCAAACGCTTTTCAACGTAATGGAAATTGCCAACTGGATCGCCCATCGGTAGCCTGGATTTAAAGCAATTTCTACTTTGTCCATTTCTTTCAATGGCCTATCGCATCCGAAGTCATCATAAACGTAGTGGATGCCTTGACATTGCAGAAAATTTAATTTGTTTACTGATAATTCAAATTAAAGTAAATCCGGCCGTGCGAGACGTTTGTTTGGCATCACTTAAACGCATTAAAATCGTGGTTATTTTGACGTCGCTTTGTAAGCAACACTCTCAGTTCCAACTCAGGTGAATGTTTGTGTTAATATAGGTGATCATAGATGGTGTGAACATCAGAGATCTCAATCTACAGACGGCTCGAAGGTCTATGGCCGTAATAACTCAGGATCCTGTCCTCTTCAGCGGAAGCCTCAGAAGAAACCTAGATCCGTTCTCTTTGTACAAGGATCACGATCTCTGGAGTGCTTTGGAAGAAGTACAGTTAAATACTCTAGTTCAGAAATTACCTGAGCAGCTAGAGTACAAGTTAAGGGAGTCTGGGAGCAACTTCAGTGTGGGCGAGCGCCAACTGGTGTGCTTAGCACGTGCACTGTTGCAGAAAAGCAAGATTATAATACTGGACGAGGCCACTGCCAATGTGGATTACAAAACAGACCGTCTGATTCAAGAAGTTGTACGTAACAGACTTAAAGACTCTACCGTAATAACCATTGCCCATCGCTTGAACACCATCATGGACTATGATAAAGCATTGGTTATGCATCAGGGACGGATGGTGGAGTTTGATAAACCTGACACTTTGCTTCAGAACAGCGATGGATATTTTTCTCGCCTTGTTCAGAATCACAACATGGCAACGGCTAAATGAGCATGCCAAAACTTATGACGTTCATCTCGAAAGTATTGTCCTCTTTGGAAACCTTAAAAAACGAGCAGTATAGCTCTGCCCTAAAGTGAGGCTATCGAATTTATTATCGTCTTAGTTCTCATTTCCGCAGTCTTTCAAGTGGATTTCAAGTAGCTTTTAATCAAATCTTGATCAGATAAAAGAAAATCTCATACAATTTTGACATCTTTTTCCGAGAGAATATAAACTTTTCGCTTTGCATTCGGTTAGCCTTAAAGAAATGCAAAATGATATTTAATACGTTAACCTTAATCAGTTGATAGTTACAACATTTAGGCTTAGGAACACTCAATTCGCGCCAATTTTTTTTCACTTTATTGTGCAACCTTTTTAGAGCGGTTTTCATTTGAGTGTCGAAAAGTAATTGGTTTTGCACTTTCTACACGATGCGATTGGCTTAAAAGATTCGCGCCACCTTTTCATCCAATCAGAAGTAAAACCAAAGCCAATTGTGACAGCTTTGCGTTAGCCACATGTAATTACTTCGAGTTTTGATTGGTTCAATGTATTGTCTGTGTCCTATGTGATTGGCCAGAGTAATTACTTTGGTTTTGGTTTTACGACACTCAAACGAAAACCACTCTAAGCGCGCTGAATCCCTAGTATCTCTTCGGCAGCCTGTTTGCAGGCTGTAGTCACTGAAAACAGTAAACCCAACTCACCCCTTGTGTTTTCATTTTTTGGTTTGGTGCAAATTCCTGATTCCTGATACTGCAGTATTCCCTTCTTAACCCTTCTTAAGTCCCAATAGTGACCAACCAGTGGTAGATCCAGACATTGAGATAAGGGGGAGGCCCTGTCATCCAGACCCTGAGGTAATGGGAATACCCGGTCTCGGAAAAAAAAAAAAAAAAATCGGCGCTTTGGCCTCAGCTTGGTTTAAAAATAAGGGGTGAGCCCAGACCCCTCCCCTAGATATGCCACTGACCAACATCAATTTTCTCCTGACGATATCCATAGATTGTCAAAAGCAAAGTCTATGAGAATTAATAAAATGATCACAAAGAAAAAATCTTTGATATTTTGTCAAATTCTCTCAACTTATTCGTATGTATGGAGATCAGTTTGGAGAATTTTTATGTGGATATTGGTTAGGGAGGTAAAAAAAGCAGTAGCCCAGGAATTCAGGTAAATGTGGTATTGGAAATGATTTTATGTGCATCAAACCATTAGTTATCTAAATACAATAATCTACATATTAAAGCCACTAGTACGGGGTCCCTCCTCGCAAAGTCCCACAGGGTTTGCTGACGGTACCTGCCAAGTATAATTGAATCTCTGATATAATTCTAAAATCATTCTAGGGAAAGGCAAATAAATGATTGATTAATCTGTGGTTGAATAGGTTTTGTCACCTTACCTTAGTTCTTCCCTGTATGGAACTTTGTCACCAACATTAAGCAAGTAAGGCCCTGAAATACAATGAGGCTCCTGTATCCCTACTATGCTCTTCAGCAGCATGTTAACACGCTATATTATAGTCTATAGGAAAGCAGAGGATTGAGGCTCCTGTATCCCTACTAAGCCTTTCAGCAGCATGTTTACAGGCTATAGTCTATAGGAAAGGGGAGAAGTGAGGCTCCTGTATCCATATTATGCTCTTCGGCAGCATGTTTACAGGCTATAGTCTATTATAGGAAAGGGAGAAGTAACACTCCTGTGTCCATACTATGCTCTTTGGCAGCATATTTGCAGGCATATACTCTATAGGAAAGGGAAGGATTGAGGCTCCTGTATCGATACTATGCTCTTTGGCAGTATGTTTACAGGTTATAATCTATAGGAAAGGGGAGGAGTGAGGTTCCTGTATCCATATTATGCTCTTCGGCAGCATGTTTACAGGCTATAATCTAAAGGAAAGGGGAGAAGTGAGGCTACCGTATCCCTACTGTGCTCTTCAACAGCATGTTTACAGGCTATAGCAACTGAAAACAGTAAAACAAACTCATTTCTTGTTTATTTTGTTTGCCTGGGTGTAATTTTTTGATTGCAGATAATGCTGTGAATTTCCCTCATTAACCCTTAAAGCACCAGTATCCATGTACAAATTTTCCACACTGATTTCCATACATCAGTTAGGAGAATTTGTTAAAAGATCAAAGCATTTCCCCTTAGGTAATTATTTCATTAATTCTTATCACCTTTTCTCTTGATTATTTATTGCTATTGTTAAGTGAAAATTGACTTCGGTCACTATGAAGGAAGTAGGTACAGTAACAACAGTTGTATCCCCCAAGGCATGCACTTATTCAGGAAAATGCAGTATTCGAGAAAATTTAATGATTTCATAATGTGCCCCATACCATTAGTTTAATACATGATCTACACATATCATTATTATTACTGTTAACTCGTCCAGGGTCCATACGCATAAAGCCCCACAGGGTTTGCTGAGAGCTCCTGTCCATTATTTTTAAATATTTGATATATTTTCTATTATCAGTTTAAGGAAAAGCAAATCAATGCTTGATTAATTGATCGATTGATTGATTGGTATTTTGTGTCTTTGAGGATGGCAGTGGATGAAAGTGCTTCCTTACTTTAGCACCTGACTGCCTTGAAAATAAAATTTATGATATTTTTTAGTTTCTTGGACCTTAAATTTGACCACTCCACCTGAAACGTGGTCATTTTTAATGATCATGATCCGAGACCACATTTGCCCCACCTCCCCTGGTGGTGGTTGACAACTTCAGTGTTTATCCTTGTTGCATTGGCAGTTGTGGACTTTTCCCATGTAAACTTAATATTATGCAGTGAGTATACCTGCCAACTTTTTTTAATTTATAGGCATGACATTTTCATCCTGAGAGTGCCAAGAGTTTTTGTAGGGTCCAATAATATCCGAAATGTCTGAAGACATTGTGGAGACATTCCAAAGAGTTCAGTACACGAACAAGGAAACAAGAAGGAGCACGACCTCGTGTCCATTGACTTTCCCCACTAAAGTGAGAGAATTTGGAAAAAAGTCCATCATTCACATGGACTTTTCTTTTTTCTCATTGGTTCAAGATTCTTTATAATTAATATATTTTTCAAAATGTGTCAGTTAACTCTGTAATGGCTCACACGTTTCTACAAGGTGGAGAAATAATGTGTGTTCCAATTATTAGCACAGGCGTGAGTAGGTGTGAGATCAAAGTTTTTGAAGGTATAGGTGAGGTAATGAGTATGCAGTGAGGATATGTTACAAGTTTAAAAGCTTAATTCACATTTGTATAAACAAAATACACCCATGTGAAGTGCTGTAAATTTTGGTCTGATGAATGATGGCTGTTCTGCTTTTTTAATAATATATGCATGCCATGTCTTTTCCAATAGTCAAAATCTTTCATCAATTCTTTTTTAATACATTTTAGGGCATTATTTGCTTATGAAAAACCCAAATAATCACATCAATATTGGTCAGAAAAGCCTAGGAAAACCAAGTTCTCCTCATAGCAAAATTATTTAAGGAGTTTAACATCACTTAAAACAAGCCCATATAATTATGTCAAAAATTAATTACAACATTGCTGCCGGTTACCTTTTCGAATTATACCATTTTAAATTAAAATCACACAAAACTGCAGGTTTTTTACACACGATAAAAAAAGGCAAAGGGAACATGCCCTAGTTTCATCCCTACATCTTGATAAACTTGTCCTCTTTCAAATATAATGCACATTAATTTTGGCTTGTCCAGTGGGGGAATTGCAAATTTTGTAAAATCATGGACGGTAACCACAAGGATATCACTGGGATTTGACAAAAAAAGGGTATTATAAAAGGAGAAACATTACGTCTTTCAAGAACTAACTCAGAGAGAGAAAACTTTGAGCAAAGCAGATGAGACCTTGAATGAGGCTACCCTGTAGTGCTTGTTCAAACAATACGGACTGAAGTTAAGTTCACTGACAGAAACAATGCTCTTCGCAACAAAACAAAACAAACAAAAGAGAATTTACCGTTTGTCACTACCTACAATACCTACAATCCGACCACACCGAAACTCAAAAAGACTCTCGTAAACCACTGGGCCATCATTCAACAGCAACCTATTAAAGCTTAAACATATCTTTAACCAGCCACCAATTTTCTCCTACAGACAGGAAAAATATCTCAAGGACATTCTAGTCCAGGCAACAATTCATTCAATCTTGCAACAATCACAAAATCAACAAAGCGGTTAAAATCAAACTAGAACTTGGCAATTTGCATACCTTCACCTTAACTGACTCCTAAAAATGGCAACCACGCATCCATTCGTTTATTGCAAAACCACTAGGTCAATATAACTTTCAGATCTCTTAAACCTTTCACTGATCATTCTTATTTCAATACAAACATAGAAGCTGAGGACTGGCAGACTTGCAAAAAATTTAAAAATTCATACATAAATGAAATACAATGAATAACTGTAATTTTTGAGAATCATGAGGTAGATGATTTCAGGTCATCTTAAGTAGTCTATGGAGGAACTATCAGTCTCTCCTAACCTCAGTGAATCTGTCTTCAGGTGTTCTTTCATTGCAATGATTTTTGTTCAATAAAGATATTATATATTGCTTCTCCGAGCCTGACACGAATGAGTAAAATTTCATCCCCAGATATCATAAAAACACCCCCTCCACCAAGTGAATCCCAGTTATATGAGGTGGATATCAGGGGGATTTTTCGTTGAGAAGCATTTGACCCAGGGGACTTTGTCTTTGTCCCCCACTCCTGGGGGAAATCCTCAACTTTGCTCCACCCATTTTACAATCCCCCTGGTTGGGCCGGGGGTTTACCCCCAGGGCAAGCCGATGACACGTGCATAACATCAGAAAAGTGGATCTTAATATGCTATTAGGAGACAATAATTGCTCACATTTGTAAATATTGTTCTCGCGAAATTCTTATTTGCACAAACTGTATATAGTTTTTCTTAATTTCTTATTTCTTAACATTCTGGTTTTTCATCTTTAATCAATTTATTTATATATTTATTCTTTTTATCATTATCATCATCATCATCATCATCATCATCATCAACATTCCAGTACCCTCCCATGAGCATTCCTCCGAACATCTCTGATGATAGCATCTAAAGAAATACATTCATTTGCTATTACCGCGCGTAAGTTTTGTCCATGGGTGCATGTGTTAGAGTTACTTTTCTTATATCCCAGCTATCACTGACAGCACTGAGCTGACCATACCGATTTTTCCGCATGTTTCTGTCAACTTTTAATCGTCAACATAATATCCCTTAAGGCTAGTTTAAGGAAAGAAAATAAACTTACCTCGCTGCTCATTTTAAAGAAAGACGTATTTACACTCTGGACACACAATATCTGTAGTTACGTTGTCGTTATCCAACCATACAATCACGGAAACCGCAAGTTACAAGGGCCGCCATTTTTTAAAACCGACTCTGCCAGACGTTCATAACCCTCCCGCCGTCCTTTGCGCCGAAGACGCTCGGTATAAAATATAGGGAGGACTCTGGACTGCGGATTGCGGACTGCGGACTGTGGACTGAGGGGCCGGACTGCGGACTGCGGACATGCGGACTGCGGACTGAGGGGCTAAGAAACGCACTAGGTTTAAAACGTGAACTTCTGAGTGTTTTTTAAACAGCTCTAGAAAAGTAAAAATGAGATAAAAACTTTGTGGATTACCGGTAGCATGAAACGGGACGTCTAATCTTGTTTTTCCCTTATCTACAAATAATTAGCCCAGTTTTGTTAAAACTTTATCCGTAGTCCGGATTTTATTCCTAGTCCGTCTTTTGTACCCAGTCTGAGTTTTTTATAATCAGTCCGCAGTCCGTAGACCGCAATCCATAGTCCATTCTTGATTTTACCCGTTTCCTGACTCCGCTCGTCCGAGTACGGTGATCATATGCTAGTGTTATGCTTTTGCAGTACTCAGCATGTTAAAGGCACGAGACTACAAGGACTCTACACAACGCTTCAGCTTTTCGATTTACTTGAAACTAGGACCGTAAACGACCTTTGAGTTTGGTGTTTATGTTTGTTTGTCGCGATTGATCATTCAGCAAGCCTAGCAAATTCTACGTTCACCAAACGGAGCCACGAGTCGAAACAAAAGGTGAGTTTGCCATACAGCCATGCATAACATTTTCTTCAATAAGGGGCACCCAACGAGAATATAGTTCAAACCACTTAAACATAGCATTGTTAAACGTATTTAAACGGTAGATATAGGCATATTTTTATCCCCTAAAAATTTTTCGTCTGTTCGGACTCTAGTGATCCGAAAATTATAGGGATCAAAACTTACCTTTTCGAAAATTTCAGCCAGTACAAAGGCTCCCGAAAATTCTAGGTAACCTTTTTAGGGTAAAAATCCGTTATAAATGGGCAATTATACCATTTGTTAGATGTTCGAAAATCCTAGGAGAGGCAGGCAAGCGAGAAATTTTACAAAAAAATGTTCCGAAGGCAGGATCTCAAATCTTCTTCCGAACAGATATTTTCCGAAAATTGACGTTGGGTGTCCCTGTTCAATGCTAGTCCCCGTTACACGGTCCCTTTTGTTTAAATCTAGTTGAACTTTCCATCAAAACTCACTCTCAGTATTAATATTACGCCGGTATATGCCTGATACTTCAGTTACAGAGTCTGATTGTAGTGTGACGGGCTCTCAAAATAATACATGATCTATGAGACTCTACCGATCCGCTCACCAATGGAAGGAATAGCAAATTTGCCAGTGGCGTATATTTGATTCTCGTGTGTTGTCGACGTGTCTTTCATTTGGTTGTTGAGCAAGATAATTGTTTCAGTGGGTGAGTTCACCCGGCGTTGGCGTTTTTGATAAGCTCGTTCGCCTGATCGTTAAACGAATGACCCTCAATATAAATTTGCATACCGGCACTATTACCAAGAGAGCAGAACCTCTCAAATATTAGTCTAATACATTGTTTCCTGCTGTTAGTGTATGGCTTTCGCAAAAATAATGAATTCCTTTCATATTTGTGTCCCACTAAGCCTAATAAGCCCACTCCGGACGTCAAAAGACCCTCTTCACCCATCTCCTCCCCCCAAGATGCCTTTTGCTTTCCTTTGTTTTACCTTTGTTTCTTAAGTTTGCTTATGGTTGAATGAGTTAATTGTTGCATATCGATATTTTAGATTTTTATGGTGGAAGTGTATATATTTTTATTGTTTTGCTTATTGTAAATAGGTGTTAATTTGTATCTTGTAATGCGCATATGATCATTTTTATGAATACCTGCACAATATAAGTGATTAAATTATTATTATAATTATTATCCTCATTGCCCAGTTTCAAACCGAGGAGGGCTGGGTATGAGTGGGATAAACAACATGAGACTCACATAGTCGGGAAGAGCCCATTACAATTAGGAAGAAATAGGAAAAAATCTCAAGGCCGGTGTTGATCAGGCCAATATTAAACAAAAGATAGCTATTTTCAAATAGTTTTTAAAAAAACTTGAAAATTTATAAGAGATGTATGGATTGCCGGACACACCGTCTGGGCATCTATATACTCCTTAGTAAATTTTGGAGTTTTTGAATGGCTGTATCATTAAATGGTCTTAAATATAGGCCCAGTAAACACCAAACTTGAGAATATTGCTTACCTCAATGTAATGTGCTCTTTCTGACCATATGGGCCTTGTGTTGTTTATCCCATAATAAAGGGACTTGCACCTAGTCCCTTTCGGTTTGAAACTAGGCAATACCTTTGTCCTTGATTTATGAAGCTACAAAGTGTTAAATAAATGGTTAGTAATGGCTATTTACTATGTCATTCAGTATAGCTGTTACCTTGTGATAAGCAAGTCATGGAAAAGGACATTTCTGTTGAGAATCCCAGAGAGAACAATGAAAGCGAGCCATTCTTAAAAGATGCTTCAGTTCAGAATCCGAGTGTGAAAATTAAAAGCAAGCCAGTTGCAGGAGACTTTTCATCAGAAAATCCAATAGAGAAAGCAGGATTCTTTTCACTGTTAACTTTCTCCTGGATGGGCAGAATTCTTAAGTATGGCAGTAAGCATCCTTTGGAAGAGAAACACCTTTTCCCGTTGGAAACACATTTTCAGGCAGGAGGACTTGCGGATGCCCTAGAAAGAGAGTGGTTATCAGAAATGCGGTCGTCCGAACAGAACAGAAAAAAACCTCGTCTTTGGAGAGCCATGTTCAAGATGTTTTCATTCAGGGAGTACATGGTTGTGGCGATACTGAGAATATTTTACTCATTTTCAATGAACCTTCTTCCTTTGGCTCTTTGGTTCTTCTTGAAAAACATTTCTACAAGCGCCGGAACGACAAATTACTCTTCCACTCTGCCATTCATGTTCAGCATAACCGTGATCTCGTTGGCACGGTCTTTATTCATCACCCACGGAGCATTCAAGGTTGAAATGATGGGTTATAGATTAAAAGTTGCAGTGATTGGGCTGATTTATAAAAAGGTATTGTAACGACTTAAATATACCGACAAGAAAATATTGCATCGAACACCTCTCTTATGAATAGGTCTCCTCTATGTTCTGACGGAATTATGTATGCGTTATTGATCAAGCTCCGCCGGGTACAACCTAAGTTCTTTTTTTGCGTTTTTATAGACGAAGTCGATGTCAAAAAGAAACGCAAAAAAAGAACATGTCTAATTCCCAGCCATCTTTAGCGAACGAGCTTAGTTAAGGAGGGTTTATTTTTTTATTTATTTCATTTGTTTGTTTATTTATTTTTCCTTGCGATACCAAAGCGGAAAATCGTGAGAGGGCATTATTAGAATAATACTGACATTCAATTGAGTGTTTTCACTCACGTGGCCAGTACTATATATGCAAATTTATTGAATTCAAGAAAGCGTTAAAGTAAGAAAAGATTTGAACTACCACGGGACTGGTTTGGGACACCAAGACCGCCAAGATGGGCACAGTGTTACTGTTTTGCGGATACCAACGTGAAGGACGTGACGTCATGTGAAAAGGGTCTCTATGTGACTCGGACTATTTCTAGTGTGGCTGCGACTTTCTAATACAACTGGTATCGTGCAAAAAAGACTGTGTGGTTTGTTGGTGTTGAAGTAAAACATGAGACGAGGTTGAAGAATTTATGTTAAACGCAGTAAACATGGTAGTTTGGCACGTCACGTCACTAGTCAGTTACGCCATTCTTAGTGGTGGACCCCCCCCCCCCCCCCCCCCCCCCCCCCCAAAAAACATCACGCCCCCCCCCCGAGCGTCGCCCGGCTTTTTTTTTTTTTTTTTTTTCTGTGTGGGGCTCCCCCCCCACGACTACTGAGCTTGGTGTGTGGTAGGTGAGGAGGGGGAGTATTTATGTTGTGGTGTGTCTTGTAGGGGGCCCCCCCCCCCCCGCCCCTCCCTTAAGAAAAATTCTGGATCCGCCCCTGTGAGTGTATGCCGCGGTGTTTTTTCCTGCAGTTTTGTGCCCGGAGGATCTCCCCCAAAGAAATAATTGGGTGCTTGGTGTGACTTGTAAGGAGCTGAATTTGTGAATTGGTAACTTTTAGATTGACCAAATTCAATTGACCGCCGTTGCAGATGTCCCGATACCTTTTAGGGGTCTTCTAGGTATCGAGCCAAAAAGCCGGACGGGAACTATTTGTTACTCAACTGATTCCAACTTTTTCATTTGGGTCAAAATGAATTCGCTAAATCCACATTCTTTTCATGGGATTCCAAAAAGCGATGAGCACCCCTGTCATTTTTGAAGGCAAATACCCCAGGATTTTATGTGGTATGGCGTGTATGGCTCGGAGAGTTTTGTCCTAGCAAGATTACATGATACAAATAAAATGACCCTCTACCAAGGGATTTTTAGAATCAATTTACATGGTATAAGAATAGATAACAGCGTATCACGGACAATTTAAATAAATGCTGGTTGTTGTCTTCGTTGTTATGTGATCACTCTAAGCGGTTATAGAAATTTAAGCTTTAAAGGGATTCTAAACCTTTCTTTTGCGATAACCTAAGACGACGCTCTATAAATTTAGCTTTTAGGGAATTCCCGTTTATCTTTTCAGAGTATTTCGTCACACAAAAGGGGTCAGTTTGCGTTCTGTGGTATATTAACGAATCGACATGAAAAATTCTCCGATATATGCATAATTAACCCATCAACATTACTATTTTGGATTTACCCTAACTCCACGTGTAATAGCTAAAGTAAGGAATTAAAGTTTATGCTCTCTCTTTTTCAGATTCTGAAGCTTAAAAGGTGTACCTTAGAAAATGAGATTTCCGAAAACGTCATCACTCTCGCTTCCAACGATGCCCAGGCAATTGGGGACTTGGGCTATCACGCCCAGGGCGCCCTATTTGTTGCTTTGGACATTGTCGTCGCTTTGTTGCTTCTATGGTATTTAGTCTCCTGGCAAGCTTTAATAGGCGTTGTTTTTCTGGTCTTTGTTTCTGTCTATAATTCACTTGCAGCTAAAAAGTCCGGAAAAATTCGCAAGAAAGTTGCAGCACAGACGGATAAAAGGTTGGAGATGATTAAAGAGATTGTTTCTGGAATCCGGGTGGTGAAAATGTACGCCTGGGAATGGAACTTCAGGGATCTGGTGGCACAAATAAGACGGTTTGTACACATACCTTTCCTGTGCTGTTTCTTTCTCTCATTTTGAGTCTTGCATAAGCGTAATATCGTAAGCGGCAATATATGTCCCGCTCTATCCCTTATAAACTAACAACGGTGATGGATCATCCACCGAAAAGGTCACCAGTTAAGGTGGCTCCGTAATTAATACTAGAGCATTTTGCTGTGACAAATTTTCCGTCATAAGTTTTTGGTTCTTAACGCGATGGCTGCGAACGTTTGCAAAGAACAACATATATCATTCGGCAATAATACGGAATATTCCGATTTCATTGATGGTAAATATTTCTTGAGAAATTAGCGCCCAAAAAGGACCCTACTGTTCGAAGAAAATCGCGTCTAGTAAAAAAATTTGCTGATATTTTTTACTGAAATTTCTGGTATCGCCTTTTATGGATATAATAAATATGCCAGAAGAATTTCAGAAAAATCGTTGGAGCAGAAGTACGTAATTAAACGTCGCTCAAAATTCAGCTGTGAAATTGTTTTGGAATTTCAAAAATAAATTACTATCAGGAAGAAGGAGCCAACCAGTTTGAATTTTCGGGACAAGTAAATTCAACGTTTGCTAATTCTTAAAACAAAAGCCGATTGCCTATCGTGCTATTCTTTAAAAGGTACTTTTTATTTTATAGAAGCACGATAAATTGCTCCAAACCTTGCTCTGAAGTAGAATGACTTGTTCTTCGACATTTTTAAAATATCCCTCGGCAGTTTTGGCCCAAACTCCTGCTGCATACATTTTGATGTACTGTAATGCATTTTCAACGACTTTTACTGCTGTTCGTTGCTTCCAACTCAGGAAAAAAGTATTGAGATTAGGATAGAACTGTCCAGTACCTTTGTTTATGACTACAAAATAAGCACGAGCGGCAGTTCTGCGAGGAATTCATACCTCACCTAGGGGGGACGAACGACAATGATGACCATGCCTGTGAACCGAGTAACATCACTGTGCCAAATAAATATTATCGCAAAAATACTGCCCGTGAATAAATTTACAACTCTGAAATTTTTGTCACTTCTTCCTTCAATGAATGGGTATTTTTTTCTTGATTATTATGTTTTGCTCTGCAATACATGTTTATACAGATCGGTTCACAGACATGGGCATCATTGTCATTCGTCCCCCCTGGCTGAGGTGCGAATTCCTCGCAGAGTTGCCGCTCGTGCTCATTTTCTGATCATAAACAAAGGTGCTGGACAGTTCTATCTGAGCTTCGATACAAGGTAGCTTACAATCCCAATACCTTTTTCCTGAATTGGAAACAACGTACAGCAGGAAAAGCCGTTGAGGATACATTGCAATACATCAAAATGTATGTAGCAGGAGTTTGAACCAAAACTGCCAAGGAATATTTTAAAAATGTCGAGGAACAAGTCATTCGAAGTCAGAGCAAGGTTTGGAGCAACTTATAGTGCTTCTAAAACTGAAAAGTACCTTTTAAAGAATAGCACGATAGGCAATCGGCTTTTGTTTTCAGAATTAGCAAACGTTGAATTTACTTGTCCCGAAAATTCAAACTGGTGTCTCCTTCTTTCTGATAGTAATTTATTTTTGAAATTCCAAAACAATTTCACAGCTGAATTTTGAGCGACTTTTAGTTACGGACTTCTACTCCAACGATTTTTCTGAAATTCCTCTGGCATATTTATTATATCAATAAAAGCCGATACCAGAAATTTCAGTAAAAAATATCAGCAAAATTTTTTACTAGACGCGATTTTCTTTGAACATTAGGGTCCTTTTAAGCGCTATTTTCTCAAGAAATATTTACCATCAATGAAATCGGAATATTCCGTATTATTGCCGAATGATATATGTTGTTCTTTGCAAACGTTCGCAGCCATCGCGTTAAGAACCAAAAAGTTATGACGGAAAATTTGTCACAGCTAAATGCTCTTGTATTAATTACGGAGCCACCTTAAGGAGTCATCACTAGCTGAGCAATAGTTTACATTCCACGTCCTTGACTTTTCCTTATAATTTTAAATAATTATTACCATGAAGTTACGTGGCATTGCTCCCTGTCTCTGGGAACGTGGATGGCCATATTGGTAGGCTTGTATGTTTTCGATTTTATTTTGAATATGGAAATATTTTTTGCAGGAAAGAAATTTCTCTCATTCGGATTCGAGGATTCTTCCTCTCAAGTGTCTATGCCTTGTTCTTTACCGGCCATGCTGTTACCGGTTTCATCTCAGTCGTGGTACTGCTTCTGACTGGACACTTCTTGACATCTTTTAAAGTGTTCACGTTGCTTTCTGTCTTAGCAAACATTAAATTCTTCGTAACCGTCTATCTTGGAGAATGTTTACACCGTCTCGCAGACACGAGAACTGCTTGGAATAGAATGCAGCCGTTACTTGAAGAGAAAACACTTTTAGGAAGCGATCACAAATCACAGTGCAAAAGGGGAGAGGACTTTAAGCCTGGGCAAATTGCCGTCAAAAGTGAAAGAAAACTTGAGGATACATCAGAAATTGCTCAGCCACAAGTTGTTCTTGAAAACGTTTCCAGCGTGTGGAACGATTCGTCAGATCGTTCAGCATTACAAAACGTTTCACTGCACGCTACCAGTGGGCAACTTGTTGGAATAACTGGACCAGTTGGGAGTGGCAAAACGTCTTTATTGATGACCATTTTAGATGAACTTCCAATATCATCTGGTCAAAGCTCTTGTATTGGCAAAATGGCTTACGTCTCCCAGACACCTTGGGTGTATTCTGGTACCGTGAGAGAGAATATAGTCTTTGGTATGCCGTTCGTCGAAGAAAAGTACTTCAAAATTGTGGAAGTCTGTGACCTGGGCAAAGATCTATCAAGCTTCCCGAAAGGTGATCTAACTGAGATTGGACAACGCGGTATAATCTTAAGTGGTGGTCAGCGTGCACGAGTGAGTCTAGCACGTGCTCTTTACTCAGACGCGGACATTTATTTGTTGGATGATCCACTCAGTGCAGTGGATGCTAAAGTCGGCAAACATCTGTTTGATAGATGCATCAAAGAGTTCTTAGCTGGACGAGTTCGTATTCTGGTCACTCATCAGCTGCAGTTTCTCCAACATGCAGAACACGTTGTTATCCTTCAAAATGGTTCCGTTCAGTACCAAGGTAGCTACTCTCAAATAGATCAGAAGAAGCTGGGTTATGATTTTATTGTATCTCAAGGAAAACAAGAAGAAGGTGAAAATAGTACAATTACAGGTCTCGGTGAAGACAAAAGGGTCAGGAAAGCAAGTTCTGTTGATGAATTTCAGGAAAGAGTAGATCTGGCAGAGGAGGAAGAAGACAGAATGGTGGGAACTGTCAAGTGGCAGTTGTATTGGAAGTACTTTAGGGCTGCCCTTCCAGTTACTTTGATTGTGGCCCTTGCTGTGTTTTTCGCTATTGTACAAGGTTAGTAAATCGAAATCAACGTTCAGCTGTCAAAGTTAAAAAAAAGGCAGCCAATGCCGTTCTTTGATACTTTTCTCAGACCTTCTTTTAGGTGGAAACCTCTTTACGATGCACACTCAGTGAAGGTTCTGACGGTATCCAGGCTTATGTGGCCAGAAGTTGCGTGACGGCAACTTTCAGGAAGCTTTTTTTCTTTGGAGTAACTTTTTTACCGCGGGACCGCTTTTGGAGCTTTCTGCTTTTCTGGAAATTTTACGGATGTATTATAAATGTTTTAAAAGCTTTCAAATGGTTACAAGAGACTAATCTGACTATAATTTTTGTGATCAACAATCACACAACTGCAACGTTTCAAATTGGCAGAGGTAGGCGATAATTCATCATCCATCTGTGAATGATCGGTGAGAGAACCTCTTTTCTGACGTTAATAGACCTGTTCATGTTTGTACAGTATCATAAAGGTATTTTGTTAGTGCTTTTTGATCTCCCACATAGAAAAAAAAAACTAAAATAAAGGCATATTTTTGCCTTGTTTTCTATCACACAAACGGTTAACTTTGGACCAACTTTTTTAACAAATCATATGCTGAAAAATACGTTCGAGCATCTTTAGGCAGTTTTGGGGAGCAACTTTTTAAAGAAATTTGGAGAAATTTGTTGCTTTCCCTAGTGGTGTCCATCGTAGCCATGAGTTAATTGTACTTAGTATTCGCTCACTTCGATTCAGGGATATTCCCTGGGAGGAAAATTTAATCATGTTTAGTTTCTGTCGAGATAAATTAATTTGACTGAAGCCTGGTATTTGAGATAAGTTGACAGAGATTTTTCTTTCAGTTGCGTGGATCGCGCCCTATTGGTGGCTTTCATTAATGACGGAGATGTCTTATCAAGAACAGAAGAACTACGTCACACTTGTGATATATGGATCCATTGTCATTGTTTCTTTGCTTCTTACACTTGCATCCTCTTTTTGCTTTTATCTTGCCACTTTAAAAGCGTCAGAAAATCTCCACGAGCGGATGACCAAAGCAGTTATCCAGGCACCTGTCCTGTTCTTTGACACAAATCCAGTTGGTCGCATCTTAAATCGTTTCTCTAAAGACATCGGTAATATGGATGACTCTCTTCCATCTCAGTTTCTTTTCGCAGTCCAGCTGTGTATATATTTCTTTAGCGCCACAATTCTTTCAGCAGTCGTTAATGTGTGGTTGTTAATTACTTGTGCCCCATTGACGCTCTTGTTCATGTATCTTGCAAAATATTACTTGAATTCCTCTCGGGAAATCAGGAGGCTAGAATCAATATCATGCAGTCCAGTTTACTCCCTTATTGCTGATACCGTGGCAGGAATGGAGGTGATTCGCTCATCAGGGATGGAAAGTGATTTTCTTCAACAATTTTACAAGTTAGTTGAAACTTCGAAAATTCATTCGTCTGTGTTTCTTTCTGTCTGCCCGTTTTAAGTTTTGTGTGAAAGATTTTAAAAATGTTCAAAAGGGAAATTTCCTTGCAAACATTAACCTTTGCTTCACCTTTTTTCCGCGTCGTTCTCTGGTTTGTCAGATCTCGAACGTTTAGTTGTTGTTTATTAAATGACTTTTGCAGGAGTTCGGGACTCTCTGTTTATGTAGTACGAAAAGATATGCTTATCAAGCCTCATACATTTATATAGCTACAGTTGCATCTTTTTTTATATATAGCGCAATTAATTCAGTGAGTCACTCGCCACCTGGTAACTCAGTTGGTGGAGCACCAGACTGAGGGTTGGCTGGATCAACACTTAGGATCGTAAGACATACTGAAGAGAATCGAACGTGCTGTATTTGGTCTGAGACAATGCTAGTTGTTAGAGTTTTTGGTCTTCCCTGAAAATTGAGCACGAAAAAACCGTTAACCTGCGAATACATTCGTTTCTCATCGCTTCCTGCCGCAAGGACGCTTTGCGAGTGGCAGGGAGCCCTGAGACGCGGCTGTATTCAAGGGCGTAAAAACCGAAGGTCCCATTTTAAAGCGTTCTCATCAGGACGTTAACGAACCACTAGGGACGTAACGAAAACCTTGTACACCAGGGCCCATTAATAACTCACTATTCCATTGATCGTAAGCTGCAAGGCAGCCATTTGATTACTCAAACAATCTGGTCAACCCAAGCTGAGGGGACTGAAAGAGATGTGAATGATTCTTTAACAAATCAGTGCAGATCTTATTACTACGATGTTTTGCAGGTACCAGGACAAAAACACATCGGCCATGATAATGAGGAACGCAGCAACACAATGGCTAGCATTACGAGGAGACCTACTTAGTATCTTTTTAGTAACTTCCGTATCAGCTGGAGCTTTACTTGCAACACAAAGCCTAGGTAGGTATTTTATTGATATGTAAGAAGTTTCCCCATAAGGATTTAAACCTATGACCTGGTTACAAGCCTAGATGCCCTACCACTTTACCTACAGGACACTGGTGGAAGCTAAGGCAGTGCTGCTCATGAAAGTGTTTAACCTCTCGAGAACATAAAATGTGTCCTAGTAATCAGGTGGCAATACCCTCTGACAGCTTTGCGGCGGCGCGTGTGATGATCGCGGTCTTTGTAATGACTTAGTTTGGAAACAAGCATGTGCAATTTTTGTTGCGAAAGAACTGATGTATAAAGGTTATAAACTTTACCCTTTCAGCATTAGCAGGCATGTCCCTGACGTATGCATTGGATACTTTGGAAGCCTCGCAATATGGCATCAGTGTCGCATCAGAGACAGAAAATCACATGACCTCAGTGGAAAGAGTGTTCACCTACACCGAAATCGATCCAGAGCCTGGGTATCGTACAGACACCCAGCCTCCAAAAGAATGGCCAAAATCAGGCTCCTTGACATTAGGTGACTTGTCATTAGCATATTTAGAAGGAGCTCCGAGAATTCTGGTCAACATAAACGTTAGCATCGCTGCTAAGGAGAAAGTTGGTGTAGTAGGTCGCACGGGTGCTGGAAAATCGTCTTTGCTGGCAGCTTTATTTCGTATGCCAGAGCCTGAAGGAAGTGTGAGTATAGCTTCTTTTGTTTTATTAACGTCTCTAGGAATGGCAGGGACCTCACAACAGAGATGTCCAAATAACCTTAGAGAAGAAAGGCCACGAAACCAGCGTCTACGTCACCTACTCTTTTCGAACAGAATCCTCGGTTCTTCAACGCCTTCTCCTTCCAACTGATAAGAAAGGATAAAGAATACGAGGCTAAAGTCTCAAGGGTCATCTGAACTTAGTCAAGGTCCCAATCACCGCCAGTTTAGTTCTGGCAGTTTTTTAATTTATGGTTGGTGGTGCGGCCGTGGTTTGGGCGGAGATGATCATTCTTTCTCAATTTAGCCTCCAGCAATGTTCTCTTGAGGAGCTAGTCGCCTGTCCCCACCCTTGTGGCCTGTCCACAGACTTGTTTCTGCGTCCGTAGTGGAGTGAGAGAGAGGTTTTTACAGTAAAACCTATGTTAGGTCAGCCTCAAACTCTCTGGGACTTTAACCCTTTCATGATCAATGGCAGATTGACTGATAGAATTTTGATAAGGCGGTTCTTACTATTTTGTCCGTGGACAAACCCCTAAGGTGTGACCATTCAAATTAAACATATCTGGCAGTACTTTCGTATGGTGCTATTGGTTTTTTAGCAGATTTTTACCACTTTCGGGATTTAAAGGGTGAAAGGGAAAGACTCACTGATCGCGATTTAAGAAAGGCTTTTGAGTAGAAGCCTTATGGACACCCTCAGTTCTAACTCACGTAAATGTTTCTATCAATACAGGTAATCATAGATGGTGTGAACATCAGAGATCTCAATCTACAGGCGGCTCGAAAGTCTATGGCCGTAATAACGCAGGATCCTGTCCTCTTCAGCGGAAGCCTCAGCAGAAACCTAGATCCGTTCTCTTTGTACAAGGATCACGATCTCTGGAGTGCTTTGGAAGAAGTTCAGTTAGATACTCTGGTTCAGAAATTACCTGAGCAGCTAGGTTACAAGTTGAGGGAGTCAGGGAGCAACTTCAGTGTGGGTGAGCGCCAACTGGTCTGTTTAGCACGTGCACTGTTGCAGAAAAGTAAGATTATAATACTGGACGAGGCCACTGCCAATGTGGATTACAAAACAGACCGTCTGATTCAAGAAGTTATACGTAACAGACTTAAAGATTCTACCGTAATAACCATCGCCCATCGCTTGAACACCATCATGGACTATGATAAAGTATTGGTTATGGATCAGGGACGGATGGTGGAGTTTGACAGACCCGAAACTTTGCTTCAGAACAGCGATGGATATTTTTCCCGCCTCGTAGAAACTCACAACATAGCCACGGCTGAATAACATTTTACCTTCGAACAGGCGGTAAACAAACAGCCAGGGCGAGAAAATCAAGGCCTTTATTCTCATCTCAAATCTCTCTTAATTGCTTGAAGGTCGTTTGTGGCTTTAGCATTGCACCAGGATAAGCGTATAGACAATGAAACCACTTTTAAGGTCATGACCAACTATAAATAGGCGAGGGCTCAAGAGTTAACAATGTAGTGAAACTATTATCTATTTGCGGCTCAACTCACCAGAGCAGCCGTCATCTAAGGCGCGACTTTGCACCTTACTCTATTCAAATTACCAGAAGAGTCTACGAATAAAAATTTAACTGTGAAGCTAGTCAGACACGGCTGGATCTACCATCTACTGCTTCTTTTTCTTCGCTCCTTGTTCTCTTGAAGTGAAGAAGGGTAAAAATGCGGCCCTAAGGCTCCCATACGGTCCGAAAATCGCACACGAACTTTTATGGACTGCTATTGGCATTTTCACTGGTCTTTTAGTCATGCAATAAGTCTCCACATAAATTCTAATGTTTTGACACCAACTGGGCAGTTGAAGAGCCTGGTCTTCATGTCGTCTTGGTTGAATTTGAAAAAGTTAGACTAACTTTAGAGCTGAGTCATTTTGTTGCTGAAAATTTCGTGAGAACCAATACTCGCTGTAGATTTCCTTGTAAGGAATTGTACCTGTTAGTGCTAGCGGAAACCGTTGGTATTAGAAAAAAAATCCCCTTCCGGTATCCCTTGTCGTATGCGTATTATGCTTATTTTAAAGAAACCTTGTGTACTTTATTACTAATAACGCTTGTTACGTATTAAACAGAGTTGTTCTTGCACAACATTGTTCTAGCCTTTTAAGTCTGTAAGCATGGTATTGAGTCACCGACCGAATGAAAGAATTAAGCGGTACACTGATTCTTATAGCACTTTCAGGGGCACGTTTTTTGGACTAGTCTTTGTACATAACGAAATTTAGACCTTTTAAATTTATTTTAATTCAACTACTCTGGTGTGAAGCAAAATGGTTAAAGTGACAAATGTCCCCGTGGCTGAGGTGTGACCAAAAAAGGACCGTTTCGAAGAGAATCGTGGCTGTATTTCAACCCTTTCCCCGACTTGGATGAACTTCTTTGGGACCGAATACTATCATTGTTTAATCGTCTGTTGCGGTTCCTTGAAGGTTCGGGGAGATTTACATGTCGACTTTGTCTTCCCGTCCTCACCGACGTAACAAAACCGTTATTGCCACTTCGATTACAACAAAAGCAAGACAGTAGAATCTTCTTAAAGGTCTTTCGCATTTCTGTATTTCGATAAGCGTAAACCAGCGGGTTTACCATACTGTTTGAATAGTGCATCCACTTTACAAATCGAATCAGTCTTAGAATATCAGGGTAAGGAGGCAAGCAGGGTAGACAAAACTCCGCAACTAAATTGACAACGAAGAAAGGGAGCCATGCAATGATGAACAATCCCGTAATGACGGCAATAGTTGCCGCTATCTTTGTCTCATTTTGAGCACGTCTGTTGCAATTGGCTGCTTCTTCTGGATGGACCCTTGCGCGCTGAGTTCCTCTCGCTGTCTGGAAGATGATCGCATAGACGGTCAGTATCACCAAAGCGGGGATGACAAAGCACGTTGTGACAAGGATGACACTGTAGGGTTTCTGCCACTTGTTATGCTGCACGGGATACAGACCAGCTATCATGAATGCAAAGACCCACGCTGCTGTTATCATGGCGTAATAGATCCACATAGAATAAGAGCGGTGGTTGAGAGGGCGAGTAATGGCCAAATAGCGCTCAATGCTGATAGCTGTGAGTTGCAAAACCGAAGCAGAGCCTGTGAATATGTCTACCGTGGAATAGAACGTCAGCATCTCTGTGCTATATCCGCAGGTTCGATACTGCTGGCAGTACGAGAAATAAATCCATAATGGGATCGACATCAAGCCGACTAAGAGGTCAGATACGGCCAGTCCAACTAGGAATGTGTTGTTGATAGTTCTCAGTCTTTGGTATGAGCTGACGGCTATGATAACGAGCATGTTGCCCAGAATTATTAGCAACGCTAACAATACATAAACTACAGTAGAAACAATTATTTCTACCCCGTCGTGCGGCAAAGTCGAAGCAACGCTTGACGATGATGTACTAGGCGGCAAAACCAAGGTTGAATTATTGCTCATTTCTTTTAAAAATTGTGAAATCTTGCTTTAAACCTCAAATCCCAGCCATGAGATGTTTGTTTTCACCTACAAGAAAAAATACAGTTGGATCAAGGACAATGTATAATTTATGAAAATATTGATTTATATCTAATGCAGAGATACTGATCTCTTATACTCTTGAGAATTGGTCACAAAAAAAAAACAGTTAAGACACATAATCTTCCTTGAAAAGATTTTGTTAATTAGCGAAGGCTTATATTATAAAACAATTAACGAACCTTCTAATCCGGCTGTACATAATGCATTGAAAAGATAATAGACACACTTGTATGGAAGCTACAAGCTATATAGCGAATAAACTGAGTAGAAGAAATTTTCAGTAAATAATTGAATTTTATATGCTGATCAAATTCATGGTTCACTCAGGTCAGCAGTAGTTAGCTGTAATACGAAGCATTTCAATCTCTCTTTGTTTAAGGACTTGTTGATCTTTGCCTTGATAATACTGGTTTGAACAATGGGAACGAGAAAAATTAATGCCTTTGTTACCAAGAGAGAATAATTTATTTATCTATTTATTATTCTCTCTTGTGTTGCTTAGAGACCATTTGTCTGTAAAACTGAGTCTTTAATTAAATGTTTTGCGTTTAAAGCAGCTTTGAGATCGAATTTTCTGCGTTTGCTCCTACAATTTGCGTTTTTTCAATCATAATTTTTATTTTTTATTATTAATTATTATTTTTTTTCATCATAATGTTAAACGGAACATAAAAATATATATAAAACTGTTCTAGTGAGGCCTTAAACTGCTGTTTAAAAGTAAAAACTAAAATCCAAGCTTTCGCCGATCAACGCCATCATCCCTGATGATGCCGTGGATCGGCGAAAGCTTGGATTTTAGTTTTTACTTTTTAAACAGCAGTTTAAGGTCTCACTAGAACAGTTTTATATATTTACAATTTGAGGCTATTTAGGTTCTTAAATAGACTGCATAATATGCTGATTTATTGCTACAATACAACAATATTAACCTCTTGCACTTTATTTTTTATTACATCAATAAATTCGCACTTATTTGCACGGCAATGCCATTTCTCCAAACAGGATTCTTGCACAGCTTTACAGCTGCATTTCACTAATATGATTTTAAAAAATAAGAACCTGTTTTTCATGTTCTAGGCTAAACAGGTTCTTGTTTATGGCGGGTATAAATGGCAAATTTTAGGCTAACAGGTTCTTAATTGTCAGTTTCTTACTCGCGGGTTTTTACTGTACCGCATTTTCTTGATTAAACCCAGGGCCCCGAATAAGCGCCGGGTCGAAAATATACAGTGGAACCTCGAAATAACGAAGGGCCAAGGGACTGGCAAGTATGATCGCTATAACAAGGTTTCGTTATATCGAGGTCCTTTTTCATATATTTTACTATTACTGGGGTAAAGAAAATCGTTCGTTATACCGAGGACTTCGTTATATAAAGGTTCGGTAAATCGAGGTTCCACTGTACCTCTCATGTTGTTCAGACGTTTATAGTGGTGTAAGAGCAAGATACAACGCTGGTAGCAAGGGGTCACGGGAAGGACAAAAAACAGGAGCCTTCCCTTGTGCCTTTGCGTTTTTGAAGCTTTCCCATGATTCTCTGGCTGCGACTACCGTCGAAAATCCTAAGAAGCACCTGGGTACGTGTCAGCCCAAGTTAAGAAGAGGGATAAGACGAGTTAAACAACTGTGTGAGGACATTTGTACCAGTCGCCCGACAAATGTTTTCCCCATAAGGTTATGTAGTACCCATGTTATTCATCTTTTTAAAATGTGACTACTTTTTGTGGTCTCTGTGGTAAAATACAGTGGTTATTCTTCTTGTTGTTTTGCCGATGATGGTCAGTGCAGCTTTCCTAGACATCGCGGCAAGAGATCCTTGAAAACAGTAAACCACACACGGCGAAAGGCAAAACCCATTAACTCTTGATATTAGTAAATAATGATCTAACAAGGTGCTACATGTAATAACCGAAGCGTCTGCTTGCGCAAAATCAAAAGGAAAACAGTTGAACATTCAGCAATTTGAGAAATCAAACGAAAGCAAGGAAAGATAACTAAAGGTAACTGTTTAGTACGTGCGTTTCTGCGCGCGGGTTTCCGCCGAGATGTCAAGGAAGCCGTTAAAGGACAAAGCCTAGCGGGCAGAACCAGTTTCGGCACGAAAAGTAGATACACATTTTAAATGAAAACACGATGTGAATAGGTCCGAACTAAGCATAGTATCTGCAACAAAATTCAGTGTTTTCAAATGAAATAGGCGTGGACTCTTGCACGCCAAGTAGTCAAAAGAGGAAGTCGTGGCCCAAAGGTTTGAACTCGATCGACCGTTCATTAATGTACAATCAGCACTTCAACCCGGATACAAGATAGATAACATCTTTAAAAAAATTGATAAACGTGCGGATACTAGACGGCAGCTTTTAACGAATTATGAAAAGCGCGCGAATGCTTGAATGTAAGGTAAAAAGTAAGGAATAAAATAGCTAAATAATGAACTCATACAAAAACCTATGTTGAAAGAATCAGTAGAATTTTGTCTTTATAATGGCATTAAATTATTAGCTATTATTGTCCACGTCATTAGTCATAGAAGTATGCCTTGACTCAAGAGATAGACAAGAGTTATTTACCTCGTGGAATGACCCTCATATTACAGCAACATTCGTCTTATTTACGTTTGTTTAATTGTTTGCCTTGAAAGGAAAGTTGCCCAGCCCTCAAAACTCAGACTTTTTACAAGTGAACAGAAATAAAATGCTTCACTTTACACATTTCATTTGAAGAAAGTTAGGTTGTGAAATGTTACTTTGACCGTGCGAAAACAACATCAAATGAACATCACAATTCAAACACACCCCTTGGACACGTATACCTAGTACTGACGCTGATCCAGAGTAAAACTGTAAAAATAACATTTGAGGCTTGTAGCCTTAGCAGGTCTGACTGGATACTGCTAACAGACTTTGTTAAACTACACTGAATTCCACGGAAAATATATAATACTGACTTGGTTATCACTTATGCAAAGCAGCTAGTTGAAACTGATAGCATGTAGATCTTCCTTTCATTCGGCTGGTGTAATTAAGAGGCCCGTATAAAAGGGGCGGTGGGATTAACTGAACGTTCTAGGAGTATTGGAAAAATTGAATGGAGGCTTTTCGCCATGAAACAGCTTTTATGTGTTGAAAAGAAATAACGGTGAATGTCATGTGGAAGGCTTTTTTTTTCTTTCTTTTTTTTTTCGGTTCAAATCACCAGTAGAGATCGATCAGTGGCCTTTGTATCTTACATAATAAGTTACATAATAACGTTTAATAAGTCGTTCATCACAAATTAATGTTTTCACTTACAGTTTGCTTTGTGTATATATTCTTCACTTTTCCTAGCTGTTCCATCTTTCACTTCGTACATGACACACTTGTGATGTTACTGACTCGTCACTGATTATAAATTAAGTTGGGAGCAGTCAAGCCAAAACATATGGCCATATTTTATGCTGAAGGACAGAGACTTCTGCGTGTTTATTATTTTAAGCTACAGATTAAGAGTGCGTTAAGATGTGGACGTGTTATCTGTCAAAATCAAAACGGCTTGGATACCATACTAAAATTAGATCTTAAAATATATGAACTGGCATGAATTTTTCGATAATGGCCATTAGTTCCACAAACTATCAATAGCCGGGGTCTTTGATTTTTCAACGAAATGGTCATGAAACACCGTTATACAAAAAGTTGTCCACCGAATTTGTACTCTTTATTTATCTCCAGCGCGGTCGGTTCGCCGACAGTTTTAAAATATTGCAAATGTCGAGCAAGATATGATATCGCGTATGAACCCCTCTTCTCCGGTTTCTTTTGATTTTTTTTCCGTTTGATTTCCGGTTTGACTTGTGTGTTGAGGCGAAAGGCCACAAAAAGGACCTCGGTAGAAAAAACGGCCGAGACAACATCACAACTAGTTATACTTGTCTTGTCTATGTAGTTGACCCGGTATACCTCAGACATGTTCTTAGAAGACTAGAATTGAGCATTAAACCGGGTGCAGCAAAATCTGTGTTTGGTCCCAGACTTACTCCTTGAAGCCTACATGTGTACTCCTTCTCGGTCCACTTGTTTCGAGCTGGAGGCAAGGAAAGCGTTTCTCTTTGTCCACGGCAATAAACAGATTTTTTTTTTACAACGTGAGCAGTACAGTAAAAGCTGACAAACTGTGAAATTCGGCAGCGATTTTTGCTTTTTTATCCGGGATGGTTTAGAGAAAATAGTTATTAAGTTCATTAACCTTTGTTCTGACCTCGAGTAGAACAGCTTTTTTTCTTTTTTTTTTCCTAGCGGTGGATCTTCGTATACCTGTTAGTGCATGTTAAAGTACTTACCGACTATGGGTTATTTTCTAAAAAAAAAAAATTGACATGATAAAGTCAAACCCTCCTGATAAAAAAAACTTTCCACATAATTTTACGGTTATGTACTTATATCCGTGCGTTGTTGGACTTTTAATCCGGATCGAATGACCGGTAATCACTTTTGTTCAAAAACAGGGAAAAAAGGTTAAATTTTTAACAGAGTCGTTCTGATATATCGAAGCAAAACCCTTGTTCAGTATCTTTTGAGACCTTTTATAACGTCTCTAAAGTTTAATCAAAAAACGTTATTGTCTAGTTCATTGTCTCTTGTCCACTATTACCGAAACAGATTTTCCACCCGGTTCAAAAATTGGAAACTTCCCACACACCAATATACGGTACTGAACTGTTTTCCGTGCCGAATATTAGTCTCTTACAGTGTAATCCGTATTGAGTTACCTGTAATCTCTACTGCAAAGCGAAGTTTGTTCCAGTACCGTTGTGAGTAACGTTTAAACGTTATGTTGTTTTGGTCACTTTGATACGTCTCAACAACACTGACCACTTCGATGACATTTAATGTATCAGTAAACTTTTCTTCAAGTTCTGTTTTCCTTATCTTATTCTTGTGACTAGAAAGAAGCAATCTAAGAGTGCAGAAGCAAACAAACATTGGTCGGCGCGACGCCTCAGTGCAATCGATGCTTTCAAGATTGCTTCCATTCTCCTTGGAGACTCTTTGTCGGAGAAAACCGTTTGCGTGACTTAGTTATAGTATGTATAAAAATGTTTTACCTTCCTTATCTTAAAAGATCGCAGAAACCGGATCAGTCCATTTTCATGTTTTTCGTTTCCTCTAAGGGTTTATAACAGAGCAATAGATAACAAGTTTTCAAGAAAACGTTTTCAGTTCTAAAAGTAGAATAAAAGAGTATAAATAAAACCCTTGGCATCTACATCCTTCACAATTTGGAGAGTGCTTTTCAACTGAACTGACTCTCATCGATCATGAAATATCCTTTCACCTTCTAAAAACAACACACTTGAAAAACACCCTCGTAACACGTACTCCGAGTCTTAGATCAAAGTTTAATGAAGCCTATAGCTTGATGGGCCCTGGCAGGACTGCAAACAAGTTTTCCTAACCATTTTGCAAATAGATTCCATGTTGCCGCTTGTATATGCAGTGTATATAGTGTACTCGTGGAATACTATGCGCTCTGTGATTGGTTGTTTCCCATAATCGGTCAGATTAGAATACTGAAAAGGCGTCACAAAAATGTTTAGAAAAACGTTGGACCATTTGCGAGATTATTCCGATTAAAACCAGCGAATGCCTCGAAAACCTTTAATGAGGAGCTATCTACAAGTATTAAAAAACAGGAAACCCACACAAAACACTTTAATGGTAATCAATCCCATTTGCAACACTCCCTTTATTTTGCCAGTTCGATTCCTCCTTTTAAGTGAACGTAAAAATAATTCCCAAACTCATTGATTTACGTAATCGGTTTGAAGAAAACAAAGATATCACCATCGAATCAGACTGCCATCGAATGAAAATCGATTGCAATCGGATACTAATTTGCCAAATTACCATAAAAGGTTTGCGATCTTTAGCTAGGAATTTTCAAGAATTCTTGTTCATTTGCCAAGCTCTAGAATGTCAAAAAAGTTCAAAGCCGAAGTTCAAAAAATGGGTTTTGCAACCAACTTCTTCGGTCTCTGGATATCGGATGGAAACACTTTGACTCGAGTCAGCGGTATAACGTACGGGTATATAACGTACGTATACGGTACGTTAATTCACTAATTTCGGTTCAATTCCTACTAGGAACAATCAAGTTTAGCTACTGTTAAACAAAACCGCGTTTTATGCCATATATTCATTCTGCCAAACGCTATTATCTAATCATTGTTATCGCGGTGAACAGTTCAGTTCACAAAAGCAGGAAAAGAGGCCTCTGTTAGCGGGTATGTGAGTGTAGACTAGGAAAGCAATCATCTCCTTAAAGTAACCCACTTAGGAAGAGATCTATGGAGGTCCCGAATGATTTCTTAAACCGGGGCCTTAGTTAGGTGTTGAAAATATCCCATGGTTACTTAGTCTTACCTATAATTGGCTCTGTAATTATCAAGGAAGGGTCTTCCTAACACCTTTTGTAATCACTGCATCGCTATAATTCAGGTTTCCAGATACTTTAACGTGAAATGTAATGTTAAGGGTCGCATCATTCCTTTTAATGTATTCGTGATTCGTGATGCGTGAACGTTAAAGAACATTCGTGATGCGTGAAATGGGCACCGATGTTTCTGCAAAGAGGTATGGGGCGCCCTGATTATTATAATTACAGCGCCACATAACCTATTTATAAGTGAACGTAAAATCAAATTGAATAATGTTGAACAAACTAATTGCATACATCAGGAAAACAGATAACTCCAGAAAACTGAGTGACGTACATCCTGGATTTTTCAATTAAAATAAATTATCTTTTGAATCTGTTTTCTGCGAAATTGATTGACAAATTGTATGGGATTTTTCTGCGCGGTTCGATCTAAGAGATTATAGTTAGTTTCTATATTTTCTCAGCTTTACGGAGGGCCCGACAATTCAAAATAAATTAATAAAACTGACGTGATCTTTTATCGTTCGTGACTGCTCGCTGGAAGGATTTAAATGGGCCGCATTTGACATAAAAAAGATTAACTTAAAAAAAATCAAAACACGATTTTTTTTTGTCTTTGCACATGCGCAGTAATAAAACATGAATTGCTTCTATTCTTAAGCATTTCTTTATTTTTTTGGCAAAGGTTTTCTGTATTTTACTAAACTGCTTAAGTGTAAAAGAAAACGAAAATTATTAAATAGCTTTTAGTGGCTCGGAGTATTAACACTTGAAATTAATCCTAGTAAACTGACACAACAGGCCGGACGGCAGCAATGCATTAAAAGTGTTTCTTCCAAAACGTGTCATTTTAAACTCCTTCTATTTCGGAAGGAGCCACGTAAACATTCTAGAAAAAACACATTACCCTTTGTTAGCGTAAAATAATATCAGTTGTTCAAATGAATGGGAGTAAAGCCAGTTCTGTAGATAAGAACCAGTAACTTCAGCTTATTCATCACACTCCGTTTTGTTCTTCTCAAAGAATATTGTTTTGTTATGATCATTTCTTCCATGCTTAAGTGTCAGATATTTTTCTATTATTTATTCTTCTTTTATTTGTGCGGTCATAAGTCGAGAAACAGTGTTCGAATTTCACAGTAAATTGATGAATAGCGAGAAAGGACTTGACAACCTCTATCCTTATCATAACTTTCTAGAACCCACTATTTACTTTTTCACACTAAAACAATTGTTTTTGTTTGTTTTTGAGCCAGTGTTTACGATCAACACGCGAGCTTTATAGCAATTTTGTTTCAAATAAAAGCTTTTAATGAGCAGCAAAAGTGTCTCCACGCATGTCTCTCTTAGATAACCTGTCTTCTGCTTTAAACAACAAAGTACAGTAAGTCACGCGCGCGCCTTCAAAAAAGGATCAACTCGATTTTTCTTATTTTCCTTAGCAAAGAAGTTTATAAAAAATTAGCTAGCTATGGGTTTACATAGTCAAAAAAAACCCTGGGAGAATATCATAAACTGTTGTAAAAGGTGCAGCCTCGATTATATACCTATCTTTCTAGACCGTAAAAAATTAACTAAGTACTACACGTCAAAAGCCTGTACCTTGAAATCGAGGTGCTGCAGTGCACGGTTATAGACTTCTTGTGATTTATAATTTGTTTGAACAACAGAAACAAGCTTAGAAATTTAAAAGCACTTTTCCAAACAAGGTTGCCTTCTCGCAACCCAAAAAGGCTGATTTTCGATTGAAGATAGAAGCGTCTTCTGTTGATAACCTGTTTGTGGAACCAAGCTCGTACAACATTGAAAATGACACATAAGCGCTCGTTTTCACATAGGCTATAAGGTCGGTATTTACTTAGGGAACAAAGATTTTAATTTATTTTCCGGCAAAAGTATGGAATTAATAACGTAAAAATTAAGAATCTGCGATAGCCTTTTTGTTAACAGTTTGAATGCTAATAATGCTAGAAAGGAAAAATAGACGAAAACCGCGACGCTTTTCGAAAAAAAAAAATTAAACAAAAAATAAGTTATCATGAAAAGAAAACAGAGTTTTCTAAATTTTGAAAAGTTCTATTCACTAGTAAAAGATCCTGAATTTACATTTTACATCTATTGCTGAGTAAACAAAGAATCAGCATTTAAGATTACTTAAGGAGTAACCTGCCAACAAAAGAAGTAGAAGCTGACGATTATAAAGGTATAACAAAATATAAATTATTGTGTTCATTAGACACTCGTACACGAAGTCAGGTGCGAGTGAGGGACGTACATTAATTAGTCCTTGCTCGCTAAGAGGAACCATTGTTTTTTTGTTTTTGTTTTGTTTTGGTTTGTTTTTTTAATATTAATGTTTCTTTCTTAGAGTAGATTTATAATGTAGAAATTGTAGATGAAGAGCCTCACTTTGTTGGATACTCATCTGCAATAAATAATAATAATAATAATAATAATAATTATTATTATTATTATTATTATTATTATTATTATTATTATTATGTAAAATTTAGCACAGGGATTTTCCCTGGGGAGAAATATCCAGTCAAGTCTCATCCCGAGACCTCAGACTTCCAGCACCTTCCTGAGGATATGTGCCGATCCGAGGAGTGCCGACTTTTGCATCGTTCTTGTTCGGTTTTTAATTCCTAGTTGCTCCAAGTGGCCTGCCACCTTATTATTATAATTATAATAATAATAATAATTATTATTATTATTATTATTATTATTATTATTATCATTATTATTATTATTATTATTAAGCTTGTAATAAGGGAGGTTTGGACCAAATGTCCCTGTATCAAAGTTTTCATTTATGTTGTGTATAACTGCAACTTTTATCCATGATTACTCCCTGAAAAACTGTTTCTTTACCTGATCAGATATTTTGGCCACCTATTATGAGTTGAATATTATGATTTATATGTTTCTAGTTTGGCATTGTTTTCAGATTTCATGAGAACGTGCCAGTTAACTTAAAAGCAAATTGACAACTTATTCAGGTCAGTGTTCATTATGTTATCAAAGTCGCCTTTATCTCTGTGAGCGGACAGAAAAGATTCCGAAAACATTGGCATCATCAGCAAATAAGATCAGTTGTAATAATGAAGATGTTGATTATATCGTTGATGTAAACAGAACTGAAAGGTCATAGAATACGACTGTGGGGAACGCCACACACTGCAGTATTGACATGAGAAGATAAATGTTCGGTGTAATCTATACAAACTGAAGTCTGTTAGAGAAATAGTTCTTTATCCATAAAAGAGCAAAGCCACGCATGCCATAATGTTCAAAAAAAGGGATGATTAACTGCATCAATAACTTTCGAGAGATCTAAGACGATGTGAGCCGCTAGTTCACCACGATCCAAATCAGACGAAATTTTATCATACAAATTAATCAAGGCAAGCGTCGCAGAGTGGTTTTCAGTTGTGAAACCGAACTGGTTATCACAGAGAAAATGCAAGCGATTATAAATGACTCTCTAGAAATATGGAAACGTCGATAGGTAGAACCAAGATGGCCGGCCTATAGTTGGTGATAGAATAGTGACTGGTCATCAGCATTAAAGAGATATTAGATACTATTTGTAGAAACATTAGTGATATTTAGAATGTCATTTCTTTACAACCCAATGAACTTTCCAAAATTGAGTACCCTTTCAAAATTGCTGGCTTGTTATGTCAAAAGAGAAATCAATTTTGCTGTCAATTTTATGACGTCCCCCACTAGGGGTTATACACTCTTTCCAGTGCTTAGTGTTGGTTGCATTTTTCTTTCAAATACTGAATGGATGTTTTATTTTTATTTTAAATTTATATTTCTCTTTCTCATTGCTGTACTTCGTTTACCACACTGAAACAGCAGGTGGTTGCAGAGATGAATAAATCGTATCAGGTTTGACGTCATTTAATGCTGACTCATAATACGGCTATTATAAAACTCTCTATGCTGATTAATTGTTTCAAAAAACAGAGATATACCTCCATTCTCTCTTTCTTACTACAGCTTAAAAAAGACTTCGAATTGCTTATTGTTTTAGCTTTAATATTCCCTCCCTTGTTTAAAAAAAACCATTTAAGATTTAACTCAATAATAAAGAGAATTCAAGTACGTTAAACGTTGTGGAGAAGAATCTGGAGAAAAAGATTCTAAATGAAAGTGCGTGGCATTGCATGAATTCGCCAAAGGCAATGTCCATTGTAACTAAAAAGCCATCTCTAAATAACGAGACAAAAAAAGTCTAATAAGGCTAGCTCAATCAGAGCAGGTACAGTCAAAACAATATCCTTGACAATCTGAAAATTACAAATTCAGAAAAAATAGAAAAGTAGAATTTCCTAAGAACACCTGTTAAATTATCTGACTGTTTATTTTGACAAATACGTCTTCTCAAGGAAGGATAATGTAAGTGTGTATATAGAGTGCTTAAATGTTTTCAAATAATTATTTTACATTTTTGCATTGTCGGGAAAAGATGTCATACGGTGAAAACTAAGTCCAGGCGAAAGCTTCCTGAATAAGAATAGTATCATTATATAACATCCGTATGGAGTGGTCGATTTGTACACTCTTCCTACGGAATATCCTAAGATTAAACTGAGTCTTTTCATGCTCAAAATGAATTATCTAGACAGGAATTGTAAACTTTGGCTTTTATGTTCAGTTCTTAAATGTTTTTGGTTTAGTTTACTTACTATCTTGCAGAGTGTTCATTCAGACGAAACCTCTCCCGCCATAACAGGCGGCGGTTTGAAAGTTGATTGAAGAGTTTGTTAAAGCGGCCGCGTTTGTAAGTTGGAGAGTGGCACCCTATCAAAATAGCGAAAGTTTGGTTTGATTTGATTTGGTTTGGTCTGACTTAATATTCCTTCATTTTTACCATTTGGGACTTATATGGAATGCAGCATTTCTTTTTATAACTGCTGTAGCATTTTTGAAGCTTAATCTTCTGTAAACATGTCAAAAGTTTTCAAATGCCGAAGTCAAATATTGAAGCAAACGAATATTTATTGATTATATTAAACAAACAACTCGCATACCAGTGTCAATATATTTTCCATAACATACTTTTCTCTTAGACTAATATATTCAATCCGAAACTACACACGGACTAGTGTATATAGGGCATTCATGCACTTATAATTATAGCTCTATTTATGCATATACTCAAATACATGTATACTTTCCAATTATACTTTTTACAACGGAACGACTTGGTTATCACTAGGATCAGTCAGTCGGAGAAAAGGCTCAGAATAGTTTATACATATATAACAACTGTTTTCTTTTTGTTCCTTTTCTTCTGTCTCACTTTAATTTTTTCATCAAGAACGTTTTTAGCCCTTTTAAAAGAGTTATTGTTCTCAGAACAAGAATTACATCTGTTCAGACCATTAGCTTGCACGTTCTCCGTGGCGGACTGCTTCAGAGGATGTTTGGCATGGCGTTTGGATGACAAGTTTCTTGTCCACGATCTCGCGAGATATCACATGGAAATATTTTGCCCGCAATTTTTGCGAGAGTCGCCCGCATCTCCCGATTTCTGTAAGCGTATATATAAGGGTTGATAGCGCTACTTGAGTACTGTAGAAATTTGAAAAATTTCACAAGGTGCAACAGAGCAGCACCAGACGGCAGACATGTCATGCAGAAGGTTGCAATCACGGTCACAGAAAAGAAGGGCAACCATGCAGCTAAAAATAGACCAGTGATGACCGCTACTGTAATGGCGACGTTCAGCTCTTTAATGGCTACACCCGGTGTGGTCCCGCAACGCTGAGAATCCGAGCAACTCGACAGTCTTCTTCGTGCTTGAAACCGTGTAACTTTGAAAATATAACAGTAGCACGACACAATTATCACAAACGGGAAGAAAAAGCAAAAAGCAAATAATGCCACTGTGTAAGCTTGTCTCCAGAGCTCTGTTCTTACTTGCAAGGGCTGCAGAACAGCCATAACTGTGGCGCAAAGCCACGCCAATGTCAATATGATGCAGTAGACCCACTGAGGCATTTTTCGATGAATTAAAGGCCATTTCATGGAAAAGAAACGCTCAATTGCGATGGCCGTCAGTTGCAAAATCGAGGCACAACCAGCAAAGACATCAAAGCTTATATAGACTGTGTACGTTGAAAAACAGTAGCCGGCCATGATATTTTCATGTGATACGATAAACGTCCAGAAGGGTAATGCAAACGTTCCCACTAGTATGTCACTGGCAGCCAGGCCAACAATAAAAATATTCGTTGTGGTCCTTAACCTGGTGTTGGAGACAAACGCAGCAATTACAGACCCATTTCCCAGCACGGTTAAAGGTATAAGCAGTGCATAACATGAAACAATGGCGATGGAAACCGCAGATGTTGAGAAAAGTGCAGAGTTCTTGCACGGATCGCCATGGCTGGAATTCGTCGACAGATCTCGAAAAGAAAGGTTCTGAATGCTCGAGTTGTTTTCAAGTGCGGCCATTAAAATGGCTATCTGTATAAACACAGGTCTTTTAAGTAGTGACGCTATAAAATATTCCTTTCGTCCGCAAAAGCTCTAGAAGAATCACCTGGTAACCAACCAAACAAAGACGAGATGTTTTGGTAGACCAGTATTATTGGGAACACTTTGGGTATAACTTTTCATGATATTTCCCTGTCCGCTTTACCTTAACTTGCTTCAAAAGGTCGGCAGCTAGTGAGATTGAAACGCATGAAAGAGCAAGTCATGCAGATTCTCGAAATTCTTGTGTCAGGTTCTAAGATGATGACGAAAAAGAACATTCACACACACAAAAAATTAATTCAAATAAGTTCTAGGTTTTTCAAATATCGGAAACAGAACCCTAAAAGAGTACTGCTGAAGAGGTTTTATTCAAATTGTCGCACCAGAGGATTTTATTTTAGGGGCCTTTATAAGCTTTTTTTGCTTGTTTTTAGTGAGTGCGTGGGCTGAGCTAGCACGGTCAATTTGAAGTTTTTTAATATTACAAAAGACACCTTATCACAGTATTTTATTTAAACTAATTAGGTAATTAAAAAACGCTTCATAGTGTTGGTTGCATAACAAATTTAGTGCGGACAGAACCGTTTGACCTGCAACTTCAGAGGTCGGGATTCCACTCTTTGAAAATTGAAAGACCTGTACTTAACCATTCCCTATTCGAAGACGTGAAAGAAGCGACCTGTTTTAGTAACGTTGCTCTTATGCTTGTGTCTGGCTTAAAGCATCAGCCATTTGAAAATAATCAGTATTAAAAAAGCAAAGTTATAGGCACATTCGTCTGTTACGGTTCGATTTTAAAATAAGCTGAAATTTTGAGTCCATTATAGATAGTCAAATTTAATGGTCATAACATCTCTTGCTTATCGCAAAAAATGAAGACAAAAAAGAAAACCTCGAAGATCATTATATATAGCTATTATCTTAAATCATAATACACTTGTCCCTGGAATGTAATCTTTTTTTTTTTTACAGAAAAGAAAAGGAACCATTATGATAACCTAAAGCTCTAAGACTTATTCCGGAGCTTATATAGGTCTTAAACACACGCTAAATCGCGGTCCGTTGAAATTTCCAGAGGATATAGATAAGTTAACTTGTCTCTTTCCTAGAAAGTGCAAAACAAAAACGAAAAAACAACAACAACAAAAAACCACCTATTTGTCATTACCCTTTAAATTAATGCGACATTAAAATCAATACCTAGTTTATTTTAGAATTGCCGGGTGATTTCTCGAGCGCTCATTGATCGCGAGCTGTGGCCTATGAAAGTCAGTATAGACTAAGAAATAAGGTAATAACAGCGCAATCTTACTTTATACTAATCTCGTGCCCAGGTATCACTCTGTTTTACACTGTTTTTTTCCCTTGACCGTGGGAGATCTGGGTGCGAGATTAACTTTGTACCTCCCGACCAGATATGCAAGGCAAAAGAAAACACTGAACTTTCCCGGTCTTTCCCGCTACCTTATTTGGTGAATACATGTTTTATTTATTCCACTGATTTTCCCGTCTATTTCTCCCATAAAAGTTCAACATAAACTAATTATCGTGAATCTAAACGAAATAGTACACTGTATCAGTAAACCTTTTGTTCTCATAACTATACTTCACTTTAACTTTTGTGTGCATGTATTTATGGAAAACAACAAATTAAACTGAAAAAAACTCACTGATGATCTGGATAATATGATGAACGCTTTTACTTGGAGAAAATTTAGAGACGCTACTTGGCCGGGACATTTGAATTTGAAAGGTAACTGATAATGAAAGAATTTAGGACCTTGGAAGTACTTAGTGGGGTGAAAGAGCCCCCTTTCTATAGAACTAAAAGTTTTGGGGCCCAAAACTTTTAGTGAGTGATAGAAAGGCATATCAATCATCATTATAATCAAAAGCTGCAGTCCTTCCAAAAGCTACTGCTGACCGAGCGCGTTTATTAAGCTTTTTTTTTTGAAGGAGTCCATAGAAGTTTATTGATTTCGATAGAAATAACAAATTTAAAATTAAATTCAAACATACATGTCGATACGAACCATGATGCTCTGCTCGCATATAGCTTGGCTAATCGAGGCGGGCAGAGGAAAACATGAAGTAATTTACTAGGAAGAAATTATGAAAAGGAGAAGAAACAGAAGATAGATCTATATAAAGGACAAGAAGATAGACTGAAGTTATTACGATACAACGTTTCAAATTACAAACTCATTTTACATAATTTTCATATCATCTTGCTTAGTGTATTATAAGTAAAGTAGGTGTGTCAACATAAGTATCCTCCAATTCCGAAAGGCGTAAAAGGAGCTGATGTAAAGAAGCCTTAAATTTGTGTTTAGGGAGTACTCGGATTCTTGCACCAAATCTGGAAAATGAATATTTTAAATGATTTGTCCTGAAATATTCAACGTAAAGACTACCAGTCTCTAAAAACCTAGTATTGTAGATATGCACTACTTGTGTAGGTTCAAGCCCGAGAATAAGTTAGAAATATTTTCCGAAAACAGTTGTTAGAGACGTCATGCATAATAGTACAAACTGGAATCGTATGAGATCCTGTATGGAGCAAAGTAAATTAAACGAAGAGCGCATTTTGCAAAATTAATAGTTTGTCCAAGGTTGTTTGAGCAGCTTGCTCGAACATACGCTTAGTAAATATATATGATCCATATAAAGCTCGTATAGACTCAAAGAAGACACTGGCAAAAATTTAGATCTTTCTTAGTTATCACCATGAAATACCATCTTCACATTGCTGTTCGGAGCAGTATTCAGAGCTTGACAGAGCGCGAGTCACACAAAAAACCTCGTCAGTTTAAAATGGCGTTGCTCTCCATACTTAGAAAGAGCACCGCCCAGTGTATGGGTGGACTTAGTTTCAATTTCAATAGGGGACGTAAGTGGTTTTCTTTGTCCTACATTCAGGCGAAGATAAAGTAAGTGTGTGTGAGTGTGTGTGTCGGGGGAGGGGGGGGGCACATTTTGCTCTACTCTCTCCTCCCTTTTTAGCAATGTTGCCTTTGTTTTCCAAAAAAAATTTAATTTTAAAACTGTCATTCACGCTTTCCTCGCCAGCGATGGTGAGCTCGCTCGCAGGCTGGGCTGGGTAATGATTACTTTTGCAGAGAGTTTTGTAAATGAAACTTTAGCCTAAGCGGATTGTGTCGCTTACACAAGAAGGTTCGAAATCAATTTCACCTACTATATATATTGGTTTATTACCGCGTTCGGATTAGCTCAGTTGGAAGAGCCCTTGACTGCAGAGCGGGAGGTCGCGGGTTCACTTCCCGGCGCCGGACCAATACTCAGGATCTTAAAATATCTGAGAAATGAAGGTACTCCCTTTGCACTGCAAGCTGCCAGACCTTCGCGTGGCTCGAATGACCACGTAAAATGGCGGTCCCGTCTCCAGTTGGAGATTAGCCTCGTGTCCTAAATTAGTACTTTCGTGCTAAATACATTCTTCACACTCAAAATAAAAGTGTTTGTAAAGAGTCTTCGGGAATTTACCCAGACAACCGCGCATTAAACTGCCTGGTTTCCGGATTTATCGAAAAAAAATAAATAAACAAAAAAATGCAAATAAAAGCAGCAATTTGATCTTACATAAGCCGCTCAAACTGAACTTAAACAAAGGTTTTTCTTTCAAACCAAACCACATGAAATTTGTTTTGTTTTAGGATTGGGTTATCGCTGGTTTGGATGTAGACATAAAACAGAAAAAAAGGGCATTGTTTTCAATTTATTTTTTGTTGATTTTACGTTGACTTAAACGTTGACCTGTGTCACCAAAGCCGGTTACCGGCTTTGATGACATGGCTAAAACGAACAAGGCTGTGGCAAGGGTACGGGGGGAGAGGTTAGACTTGAAAAAATGCTATAATGCGATAAATTCTGCACCATGGAATAGAAATCTGTCTATTTTTATTAAGCTAAACGGGATTCAGAAAGTAAGCAGACCAAGGTTCGTTATAAGGAATAGCTAGAAAACAGACAAACTTAAAGCAAAGGGCATAAATACACCAACCCACACCACTGCCCGGGTGATATGCATGGCTGTGTGCATGCGTGAGGTACTGGCCGGGCCGCGGGTTGGTGTATGTGTGCCACTTGCTTTAAGTTTGTCCTACAATACAGAGCAGCTTCGCTTCCAACAGAGCCCATTCGATGGAGGAGTTACTCAGAGAACATTTATCGCTTTCGACGAAGGAGAACGCAACCCTATTGCAATTGATTTTCCTGTACATTTTCTATGCAGCCAAAAGAAAGACAAGAAACGTGCAGTTATGGGTACTGTTATCTAGTATATATCTGTCCCTGCTTTAGTGAGGGCCAGTTCTGCCGGTTCAACTACCAGAAACTAGTTACTTTATAGCCAATCATTGAGCATCGCGGTCTCTCCTTTGATCGAACGTACCTGCCAAATCAGAGATATAACTACCGCGGGTTATTTTAACTTCAAATCCGGGCTTCTAGACAATTAAACATGAAGCTTTCCTTTGACAGCATTTGCCAAAATTAACCTTACCTTCACCGTTTTGCTTTATTAGTACCATGTATGCCCACATTGAACATACGAGTTAAACCTTTTGATCTCAGTTCTAAGTATTTTTTTTGTTCATATTGTAACCGTTAATTACTTCGGAAGATCTATGTTGGAACATACGAAACGCCATGTCAGCAGTGAAAAACTTTACACTTTTGAGTTTGCATGCTTCAGCAGTCGGCAGTTTCACAAAGCTCATCGAAAGTCGGTAGAAGTATTCAGACTGTGTTCGACGATCTCAGCACTGTTTTCACACATTCTCTCTAACGGCTACCGCTACCTTGCCCGCCACAATGTTATTTTCAAAGCGGAACGAAAATAGAGCCTGATCTCAGGTTATGAAGGATTCTTTAGAAGATCTCTCCGGTTAGCAAAACAAAATGACCAGAGGAAATTGCAGATTTGCGCATAGTATAAATAAATAAATGCGACAAAA